TAATAAGTCCGAACGGCATAACGAAAGTCTTAAATTATCCTCGCCTTATCCTAAAAGCTACTTTCTATTCGTCTCCTTTAGCTATTTAGATAAGATTATAAGCTCTTTTAAAGTCTAAGGTAGTAAACTATTAGGCGTTATAAAGTAGGTCTTATAGTTCCGAGATCAAAGGTAATAGGTAGTAGTTTTTAATAGTAATATTATTTAATTTCCTATAATCTACGTATAGTCGCTTCTTACTATTTTTCTTTAGTATAAAGAATACTAAGTATCCGGCTAGTAATATCGAGGGTTAGATAAATCCTTTAGCTAGGTTCTTATCTAGCTATTCGTCGAAGGCGTCTATTTCTTCCTAGTTAAGGGGGTAGATTTTACTAAAGGTAGGTTACAACCTTCCTTAAGTTTGATTTTATAATCGTATCTACTATATTCCGGTAGTCTAGTCTTAAGCTTTAATATAAAAAGCTTGCTATATATCCTATATTTAATAGGTATCTTCGATAGTAAGTCTTTTATAACTTTGTAATAGCTATCGCAGCTAGCATCTTAGTATATATATCTTTTATTCTAAGGAATAAGCTTAGTCTAGTTCCTTATGCCGCTAGTAATCCGCGTAAAGGCTTCTATAAGCGTTACTTAGGGGCTAGATTATCGTATATAATTAAGCCTTTTCCCTAGTCTATCTAGGGGTTATTCTTTCTTAGCTATAAGATTCTAAGGATAACCTTATATCGTCTTATCTTAGTAATATTAAGCGTAATATATTCCTAATAGCTATAGTAAATTAAAGGGAGTAACGCGGTCTCCGAATTAATAATGCCTCCGCTATACTTAACTCTTTTCCCTTCTACTATATTTAAAGGTAAGGGTTTTATTTCTTATCTTATAATATTTTTCTTTTTATATTATTCGTAAAGATATAAAGTTTCCCTAGGCTCCCGAGTCGATGAAGGCTTTTATAATATAACTCTTAGGTTTACTATAATCTTAAGATATATATTGTTTACTATGGTTATATATAGGGACTTTTCCCTAAAGCCTATCTCTTATCCTTCTAAGAGTAGCTTTGCTTGTTTTTTAACGATTTCTTTCCCTTACGTTTGTTTTTTTCGCAGGATAGCAAGGTCGGGTATTTTTTTAAATAGTCTACTAGGTTGTTATAATAGTCTTTATACTTTAGATTTATCCTCGTAATATACCTTATAAATATCCCGAGTATATTTTTCTTACGATATTATCTTATCGTATTAGCATCTTATTAAATACTTATAATTAGGTATAAAGATAGCGATACCTTCCTCCTTCTTATATCTTACTAAATCCTATATAGTAGTTTGACTTTAGTATAGACTTACGTAATAGGCTTAATACCTATCTATATAGATAGAATTTATATTTATATTTATTAATAATATATAGCTTATAGCTATTAATAATATATTATCTTTAAAATAAGTTATAATATTTCTTAGCTTTTAGTTAAGGATTAGGTAGTCGTTAGCTTAGATAGAAGATTTAAAGTATGTTTTCCTTTTCTTAGCTAGTATCCCGAAGAAATATAGTTATTAGTTATTATCGTAAAGATTAATTTCTTAATACTAAGGGATTTCTATTAAGTATCGGATCTTATCTTATCGTTCTTAGTCCTCTTCGGAACTAGTATTATCGATACTAACTACGTCTTATAAGGTTATATCTATATAGTCGTCTTCGATTTAGTTAGGTTTTTTAGATTAGTAGGGGGATTTACTTATCCCGAAGTATTAATACTAAGTAATTTTTTAAAGCTATTATTCTTTTTAAGGTTATATTTATTAATTTCTTTTTCCTTGTTTATTTATTTCCTTAAGCTCCTAGTTAATCTTACGGATTTGTTTAGGGTTATCTCAAATATTAATTCGTCGTTTAATCTAAGCATCTAGCGCTTTAGTCTATTATTACTAAGTAGGGTTACTTAGGTCTATTAAGCTTATTATTAGAAAGCGTCTTATCCTTACTATAGTTAGGCAATCCGTTGCTTATTATCTTAATATATCAAGCTTACGTCTAGTTACTAGGTTTTAAAGTATCTTATCAAGTTACTTAATTATTTTTCGTTTTATCTTACTAGCGACTGCTAAGGTATAAGTATTCTTCATCTTATCGTCTCTAGGTACGAACCGGGTAGTTTTATACTTAAGTATATATTATCTACGCGTGTTACCTTATAATAGGATATATTTGTTTCGTTTTTTTATAAAGTATAAAGTAACTTTATTATCTAGAATAGTTGCTTAGGTCCCTGCTCTTATAGCTTTGTTAAGTCGTCGAATAGCTTAATTATTTTCGTCTTCTAGTTATTAAATTTCTCCCGGGGTAAAAAAGTTAGGAATTATAACTTAGTTAACTTAGGTATAGTTAGTAAGTCGTCGACTATCCTAAAGTAGTCCGGGGTAATTTACGATTATTCCGTTTATAAAGGCTTTATTAAGTTTATTAGCAACTTCTTCTTATTTATACTAGTCTAGGGGTTAGTTATTATTATTAAAGAAGCTAATGTCTTATCGGTCTATTATTGCGAGAATTTTATTATTTATCCCGGTAGTATTGTATCTAGATCGTCTAGAAGGGTTTTTAAGGTATTATCTACTATTTTCTTTAGCTTCTTTATAGTCGTTATAAAGATCGTTAAAATAGTTAGTCTATTTTTTATTATTATAATCTTGTTGTTTTTATACTATGCTAGCTTGTCGTAATAATCCTTAGATCCGTTTAGGTTATCTATAGTTTCTAGCTATATATCTAGGTTTATTATAATTATAATACTTAAATTCCTTCTTTTATTAAGTTTCTAATTCTATCGGTTATCTTTAGTATAACGCTTAGGTTTATAAGGCTGTTATAATATCCGTAAGCAGTACTCTACTATTAATTCTACTAAAAGCGGTTTTTATCGTATTAATAAAACTTCTTCTAAGGTTGCTATTAGTATTTCTTAGCTAAATTAATAGGTTATCGTCTTTCGCTTTTTTCTCTTCTTTACTTATAAAGTCGGTTATCTATCTTAATAATAAGTTCGGTATAGCTAAGAAAGTCTTTTAATTTGTTTAACTTAACGATCTCGTCCTTAACCTCGTCTTTAAGTCTTAAGTAGAAGATAAATATCTTAGACTTATTAGTTATATCTAGGGTAGCGTAAAAGCGTCGAAACTTAGCAGCATAGTAAATTACTAACTTAGTTTATCTAAGGTTATTAAGTTCCTTTTCTACCTTGCTATGTTTATCTAGGTCTTAGAATAAGGATTTAAGTATATACTTAAATCCTTCAAAGCTATTAAAAATATTACAAGTCTTTATATTATAGTCTTTTAACATTTCGTTTTGCTAGTAATTTTCTAAAAACGGTTTAAACTACTAAAAGGCTTTCCTATCTAAGAAGGTTAAAGCATATAAAACTTTCTTAGACTTATTTTTAAAATTAGAATAGTAAAAGTTATAGTAATTCTTAAGTTAAATTAAGAATCCCTTAAGTTTGTTAGGAATACTATATACTTACTAAAGGTATTAAAACGGAGTTTCTCTCGTCTGTCTATAAAGGTTAGATAATATTAGCAATACTTTATAAGGTATAGTTCTAGTTTAGGAGTTCCTAGTTACGTCCTTCGAGGTTCTAGATAGTAGCTTAAAGTTGCTTAAAGACTATAGCGTTCGAATTAAATATTTCCTAAAGTCTTTTAACGTTACGGTTATTCTTATAAACCTAACGCTAAAGTTCTTTATTACTATTATCTTCTTCTTTTTTAGATTCTTCTTTTACGTCCTTTATTTCTTCTTCTCTAAGTTCCTAAGTAAGGTTCTTAACGGGTGCCTTCCTTTAGAAGAGTTAGGAGAAGTAGTAGGAGTTTTAGCAATGCTAGATAAAGATATCTTGTCGAAGGTATTGTTTATTAGTTTCGCAAGGTTAACTTACTAAACAAGAGTAATTAAAGTATTACGGCTAGCTAGTAATAGTAGGGTTTCTGCTAATAGAAGTTAAGGCTACGATATTAACAATAGGTCTTACGTCGTATATAGGTATATCGTACTAGTAGATCGAGGGTTAGGGTAAGGTAATTAGTCTTATACTAAGTAATAAAGTAGTAATATTATAAACTATAAGCTAAGCTAAAAGTTATCGAGGATGAATTATAAGTTGATTGCTGAAGAACTATCTAGAAGGCTTAAGTAGGTGCTTAAGTCCTGGTCTATATATAAGTCCTGTTTCCTAATGTCTTAGAGAGTCTATAGAGTCGCTTGTCGACTTTATCGACTTTCTTCTGATTAGTCCTTTACAAGAGTCTATAGAGTCGCTCGTCGACTCTGTCGACTCTGTCCTGATTGGTCGATTGTTACGTGACTTGTAACATAGTTCTTCCTTGCCGAGAGGTTTACCCTTGTTCCCGTGATCCTACGTATATATGTCCTGTCGTAGCCGCCCGACCTAGTAGGTTTGTTAAGTGTATCTGACGGGTCGTAACAGGGCGTATACGATTTGAAAAGGTTATAGAGGGAAAAAGAAGAGAATTAGAATAGAATAAGGATTTAAATATTAATATAGGGTATATACCTTAATTAGTAGTAAGACGTAATTAGTAACTAGTCTATATACCTAACCGATTAAAAATTCTATAGTTAGGTAGACCTACTTCACCTTAATACAGCTAATCATAAAATTAGTCAGATAAACCCATAATTCATTTAAATAAGTGGGTAATTAGTCAGGTTATCCCCCCCCCCCAATGGTCGCCTTGACCACACCCTCCAGATGAGCTCAATCGCGCAAAGTTGCAAGGATGGGCCCATGTAAATTGAAAGCATCGTGAAAGGAGAGAATGATTCCAGATCGGCGGTACGCACGCCAGAGTATCCGTACTGCATGGGCAATAAATACCCAGCGGGTAGATCTGAGGTTCCATCGGGTCTCGCTCTGTTAACTTCAAGTTCCAACTTCTTACACTCGTTATATAAAAAAGAAAAGAAAAATGGTTGCGCTACTTCGTACTTTGGCTTTGGCCGCTGTAGCGGTCGCCGTTCCTCTCGAGGTTGGTGTCTCTCTCGGCACCACCGATGCTGCTCCTCAATGCAGCGGCGACAAGTTTTCGCAGACTCGCCCGCCCCGGAACGCCGTGGTTGTCGACGCTTCCGGCAAACAGCCAAACAGCTTCCCTACCGTTAACGAAGCAGTTGCAGCTCTGAAGAACGTTACGGATGAACAGTCCGTCTTCATCTACCCTGGAATTTACGAGGAGCAGGTTCGCATTCCGGCCCACCTCGGACCTATCACCATCCGAGGCTACACTTGCGATAGCCGTACATACGCAGGCAACCAAGTGACCCTGACGGGCAAGCTTAACCGCCAAGTGCCCAACATCACCAGCAATGATGGAACCGCAACTCTCCGCATCTGGACGCCCAATGTGAAGCTGTACAACCTGAACGTGGCCAACACCGCCGGACAGCAGGCCAAGAACGGCCAAGCTCTCGCCATCAGCGCGCAGAAGACCAATTTCGGTGCTTACGCATGCAAGTTCACCGGCTACCAGGACACCGTCTATGCCAACGTGGGCCGCCAGATCTACGCTCAGACGTACATCAACGGCGCTGTTGACTTCATCTTTGGACTTAACGCGTCGGCCTGGTTCGAGGGCTGCGACCTGGAAGTCATCGGCAAGGGCTGGGTCACTGCCAGCGGTCGTGATTCCGCCCAGAACCCTGCATGGTTCGTCTTCAACAAGACCAGGGTCTTCGGTGACCAAAAGGGCTTGGCTTTCCTGGGACGACCTTGGAGGACCTTTGCCAGAGTCTTGTTCCAGTACAGCGACTTGAGTGATGTTGTGCAGCCGGCTGGCTGGGCTCCCTGGGACGCGACCTCGAGCTTGGCGAATGTTGTCTTTAACGAGTACAAGAACACTGGCCTTGGCGCTGCTGGCCAAAGAGCCAACTTCAGCTCGCAGATTGATGCGCCCGTTAAGGCGGAAACAGTGCTAGGAAAGGGATTCGACAAGGAGTGGTGGGTTGACAAGAGCTACTTGTAAAGCGTTAAAAGTTATCTAAGGATTTCACTTTGAAGAACAATTTTTTATTTTAGTCAATTTGTCCTCTCCTCTTCCCTGCAACCCCAGTTGCATTTCTCTTACACACTTTACACCATTTTCACTTAACTATCTTCATAGACATATCTTCAATAAATATTACCTGCAGCGTGTAGAGTTCGTCTAAGCTATCTGACATCAGAATTGGTTTTTGTTTCTTCGTGTTGAGTAAGGTGTCATGAAATGCCTTTCGAATTTCGCGAGATGGCAAGGCTTAAGAAGAGTCTTGGTAGCCTGGCTAACAAGAGTGGCTATATATCCGCGACTATTGACCAGACGGCAAGCTAGCCATGTGCTGTATTCAGGAAGATGGTTCAATACCTTGGGATCTTCCTGTTATGAACCAATGGCGAACTTGAGTTTTATCTCGGAAGTAACGATTAATATGTAACATATCTAAAGCACCAGGCCGGTGGTGTCTTTTTAAGCACTAAACAGTGCCAAATAAGGACCCAACAACATGTCAAATCTTCTGGTGGCATATCGAAATTTCCTGCTTGCTAATAATCATAAAAGTGACTTGTTAAGCTAGGAGCATAATCAAGAAAGCTCGCTTATCCTCAAACGAGCTAGTTTCGAGCAAAGTGTAATGCTTTTTGGTAAGGCCATAATGATGATGTTCAGATCGCGAGCGAATAGCGCACAAACACGAACATTAGCTTTCCACTCAACATGTTACGGACGCATAACACTAACCGCAAATGACAATATCGAAAGCTCCTATGTTGGACTCCGCTTACGGTTCGGCTCGGATCGACCCCCACTTCAGGTCCAGTTGCTCTCGAATTACGTATCTACGATGACTATCGAGTAAGAAATGGACTAATTGTACACTTTCTTTAAACGTTCAGTACCAATGAATTAACATATTTGGTGGTGCTGAACCATGATGAGGGCATGAATTTGTATGGAGCTCATGCGAAAGACTTGGGCTCTCTTCCCTTTTAGTTGTCTCCAATTTGGTTACAGTGGTAGTTTGTCTTGTTTCTGATACTGTTAATCGCTATTTACTTTCCAGTCAATACAGCTTGTGTTAATCTTGTTCTACTAGGTTGATATTCTAATTCTAGTTCTGCGGTTGTTGCAGAATAGGGCCATACCTTGGTTGTTCTGCACAACGTCAACTTTATGATATCCCCTGAAACATTCATCTACGCTAGCAAAGGCTTCAGCAATTGGAAATTAGATAGTAGTATTGTTAAAAGGGTTTCAAAACCCCCAGTTATCGGAAGCGGAGCTTGAGAAACCCCAAGAGGAATGCATGTGAGCGCTTTACGGTACCGCGTTGGAACTTTCTACTTGATATCGACCTGGCTTAGAGCAGAGATTGCCAAAACTCGTTATTTTCATCACGGCAAACCGGACTGGAATTATAAAGGTCAGATTCTACATAACAGCAAACAAATGGCTATGCAGTCAATTCTGAAGATTTTGAGAGGGTAGGTCTATTGTAGTATCAGCAAGTGAACCCATGATTACTGCTTGTTTGAACCTTGATATAGGCAACACATGCAACCGGTGGCAAGTTTGGGAAGGAAAGTAGGTATAGGTGCTAAGAAACAGCACTTATAGAAGAGGTACGAGTACTACCATCTTTTGATCGCTGAGGGTGGTGTCGACTGAATCACTCGGCTACGGTTGCCGGCTCTAAGAGCCTGAATGGATCTGGTGATCATTACATGACCCATTAGTGTCTAGCAAAGCCACTGATGAGTATTTTCACACAATTTGACACACTGATTTACTCAGAGGCTCTAAAGTGAATTGATATACATTGCAATAGTGATGTCAGGAGGATCAGAGTTGTATAATTCTACCTTATTGTGAATACCTACCAGAGTTGCAGAAAACCACCTGTCAACGAGATGGACGTATCCAACTTCGCCAATCCAGACCGACATGCTGACCTAAGTATCGTATATCTAATGAAATTGAAATGGTAAAAAACAAGACCAAGCCAATCTTTCGGCTAAGACCTTGTTCGGTAAGCACGTTACCAGCGAAAGACGCAGAATTAATACCTATTTTGCCAGTCTGTATCTCCTCGCTAGCCATCCATATACAACATTCACCGAAAAGAAGTCACCAAGATTCTTTTCTAATCCTTTCAATCAAATCGACAAAGAACAGGCCGTTGGATTTTTACAGCAATGATCCACTTGCTGGGGATGGATCACATGTCAACGGTGTCCTTGGTGTGGACACGACTGCGAACGGAAAAATCATGCAATTTAATGGACGTATTAGTTGATGGAAGTACACTCTGATCGTTTTCGAGATTGACTAAAATATTGTACTTTCTTTATCAACAGTTACGGATATTTCAACGATACACTTATTTCTGACAAAATTCAAGGCGACATCCTCTTTTCGACTGGTAAATAGTTGTAGAGACATCACAAGAAAGCAGTTCTATCTCATGTGGGTATTAGACACATAGCTATGCTCGTCGTCTTAGCCATGTAATCAGACCACGGTTGTATCATCGAAACGGTTTCAAAGTTACATTGTGAAAGGCAAACGATTAACTACATGCAAACCGCAAGGCCTAAGTACGATCGATTACCTGTACTATGTGATTGTCAAGTTAGCGAGAGCTAAGTCGTGTATCATTTAGCTACAAATGATGGTAATAATACTGCAGTCATACCTCATAATAGAAGAAATGCACCAACAAGGTAGACTGTTAGTAGGGCATCATTGGTGTCATCTTTTAGTATTGGTGATCCAAACCGGATGGTCAGTTACCGTCACTAAAAAGATGGGCGAATTTAGGTGATGGACATTCTCGCACCTACCCAACAGCTGCAGTTCTGCATCACTATATGGAGTTTCGTACTTGATGTCGAACGTACCTTAGTCACCTATTTACGGCATTTGTGCTTGGGTAGTCAGCATCAGGGAGGCATCCGAGGTACCTCATCCAGCAAAAAATAATGAAAAATATCGTGACAGGAAATTGCATCCATTAACGCTCAAACAAGATCAAGAAGGTCATGGCCAAAGCCTTCCACCACATGAAGTGTTACACCACAGGAGCTTACTAACATGAAAGACGGTTGCAATTGAGATGAACCCAATAATAGCTACTGCGTGAGAAGAAATGAAGAAACTTGTAGTTTATCACCTCTGCATTTCTTTTCATGGAATACGTCAACTAACTGAATTCAAAAGGGGAAAAATTTCCGATGGTGAAGTGCTAATTTAAGATCTGGCAACAGTTGGGCCCCCAACCCGTATAAGGCGCGATCACCATAAGCTTCGACTTATCAGAATTCCACCTTTACCAAGCAGGCTTTTGGTAGTGTAATAAAATTCTTAAAAGCGTGCGCAAGGAACAGTTGTTGTCCTCGGTCTCGGTGTCGAAAACTAGGTGAAGAATGTGGGGGATAACTTTAGTTACTGGACCTCGGACCATGATGTGACTCTGGGATCAATCATGGGATCAATCAGGATGGGAGTACTAATCAAATCTAGCTACAAACTGTAACCTTGTGACGTTCGTCTCTGTGGGCGATACTTTCGGACTTACTCCGGAGCATGCGTGGCAGATGCCAGCATGTGGCTCCCGTGTAACGAACGCCCGCTTCAAGGCTGCGCGCGATCCGGGGTCGATCTTGGGCGATTTAGGCGAACTGGAGCGGGTACTACATAGTATGGTTTGTGACAGGTGGAGCGAAATAAACAAGGTATTCGTAGACTCGTGTGTCAGTAGCAGCATCTTCATTCGCTACAGATAACAGCGCTTTTCACAATCCTGGGTTTACTCGGTGCCCATCCGTATTTGAACAGGGAGTCCCAGCGACTATAATCTTGCTTGTTCGTAGATGAACGAGTTATTAACCCCCATCAATGATAGCCCGCCTTGGGCCTACGCGTTGCAATTCTTGGCAAATGTCTGGCGTGACAAGGTAGAAAAATGTTGTGACGGCCGATCAACACATATTGACGGCTGTGGGACAGTAGATTTGACCGTGGCCATTTATCTTGAACCTAGTGGAAACGATATTTTGAAATTATATGTGATGCGGGAAACCCGGCCCATCCGCTGTTCTTTTACAACTACCATGTGCTCTACCTTTATAAACTTCCAGGTTGCTTGTCAGTGATCCCTGCACCACGCGGGCTCTTCGCGCATCAATAACGGTCCAAGGTAAGACTCAGGGAGAATAACACCACTGTCCATCCAGTTGCAAGGATTTGCCCATTTTTCATCGTTTTCGCAGTTGGTGAACTGCGTGTTGGCCATCCTTATGTTGGGGCCCGAATCCGAGTTGGTGTAGTTGTACTCGCAAAAGCCGTGAGAAGCCAGGCAGGTCACCTTGGATTTCCCGTCGAAGCTGGGATCCTTGCCTGTGCAATCTTCCACTTTGAATATCTCACTGAGGTTGGCCCAGCCCTTATCATGAATGGTATTCATAATGTCGACGTGATTGTGTTTGTACTCTTTGGGATTGTGAAGGGCGTATGTGTTGCCTGTGTCCTGGTCAATCCACCACTGATAACAGTTACCAGCAGGACCGAGCCCAGGGCAGTCAATGGCGCCGTTGGTTTTGGGCGCGAATTCGAGTGCGTTTACGCCAGTCGAACGCGTCGAGACGATTCCGTTGGCCTTGAAAGCCAGGGAGATGATGAACAACTGCAAATCGCGGTACAGAAAGTTGGACTGAATGTTGAGACTTGTGACGGCGCGCTGACTGAAGCCGCCGGGCTCGGTTGCAGCAATGAAGAGGGTACTATTACGTTGGAGTTCCGTCAAAGCGTTCTCCAGGCTGTCTTGGTATTCGATGATAAGCTGGGCAAGGTTGGTCCCGATCTGACCCAGGGTGATGAAGCGCGCATTAGACGAGCCTTTCACAGAAGTCTGAAAGAAAGAGCTCATTCCCGTGACAACGGCCATTCCCGTGGCGATAGTAGCCAGAAGTGGGTTTAGACCACCAGCTGCGATGAGCCAGAAGCCACCCGATATCACCATCCACAAGAGGTTGCTTGGGACATCTGGATCAGTAGATGGGGATATAGTGGCGACAATGTCCTGGACTGTGTCCGCAGCGAGCGCATGTCCGTTCCAGAGGGCCTCGGAGAATTGGTTGAAAAATTGATAGATGGCGTAGATGTTCCAGAGCGTATAGAACTCTTGCGGCGAAGAGTAGTTCGCGAAGGAACCGGCAGTCTCGAAAGCGTCGCATGTGTCTCGGGTGAGTTTGTCGCATGTACGGCCGCCGTAACCGTTAAATGTCAAAAAACACTGCGCGAATCCCAAAGTGTCGCAGTTAGCTTTGGTACCGTTTTCGGCCAGCCATTTGGTGATGTAGTCTGATACATTCAACCGAGCCCAACATTCAGGCTTGAGACCTGTAGGTGATGATGGAGAGCAGTCGTCTAAAGGGAGTGCGAGGGATTCATTGACTACAGGGGCGGCCACTGCAGTGTAAACCAGCCCAAGGAACAGAAGCATACGAGTCGCCATGGTGGACGAAGCTTTTGAAGTTGAGACAAAACAAATGTGGCACCTGTGATGATTCAACTTGTAGGTTGACGCTCAACAACTTATACATTCTATGATAGATGAGGTGGTCTTAACTGGCATACCGGCAGTGTTGCCGGTCCATGGAGCACCCGGTGTTGCAGCCGGGGAAAGCATTGGATTCTACAATGCTACGGTGGATATTCGTTGATCCCAGGTGAAAGCACAGATTACGTTCTGACTCGAGCCTCGATGTAGGGGGAATGGATTTCTCTCGTGGGGGAAAACCCTGGGCCCAATCAATAAACAACCTCCCCTGAAGATCATGAGAGGGTGGTTCGTCTCTTTGGTAGATTGATCTGCCCAATATCTCTATCTCGAATTGTAGGACATCTCCAGATGCGGCCGAACAGGGTATAGACACTTTTTCTGGCACTCACTAGGTTTATTTTGCGATTGACTAATTTATTTTTGATCCTTAATTCTGCTGCAGTCATTTTTAAATCATGACTGGCAAATGCTCGTCATCTCTGAGTAGAACATAAGAAGAAAAGGTCGTTATGGTGACCGTGTAGTCACATACTCAGCAGGAACATTACTCTTGGCAAGATTTGCTTAGCCTTGTCTGATTTAGTGCTTAAAAGCAAGAAAGGGAATTTCTCCTTCCAATGCCACCATGCCGGTCAAGGGCTGTTGACAGCATCACCCTGTTTGGCCAATCATTCTCGATCCCAGCTGCACGCTTCGCTTCAATCATCGCCCGAATAGGCGGAATTTGACTTGTGTATGCTTCTCAAAGACGTTCAGCTGTGCTCTCAGAAGCCTGAATTGTGTGCAAACAGGCAGTCTTCGATAAGCGACAAATGACCGTAATGAGGTAGTTGAACTGTGTTACTAGAGTTTACACAGCACTTGAACTCAAGGGCACTCTGTCACTCGGCTTTTTAAGGACCAATACATTGTCCCTTGTATCGATAGAAAGGGAACTGCGTGTGATGGGAATCGAATTTGATGCGTGGTCTAGAGGTTCCTGTGGGGAGGGTTCGTCAACCAATGCCTCGAGTAAGGGTAGCATGTCAGCCCCCCACCCTGCGTGATCTATTTACATTCCATATCCCTGACCAAGCCAAGCCCAATGCCCGGCAGTTCGAGTAAGTAGAATGCTACACATGGAGTCCCTTTCCAAGTAAGCGTGCATGGCAAAGTCTGCTTAGCGGGTATGGTTCGGCGGCTAATCTTATGAACCCACTAACCAGTAGACGAGTCTTGCCCTGGTCTGAGGTAGACATCACGAGGATAATTGCCTTTGCTATATTTGTCCAGAGGCTACGGGGTGGTATGCGAGAATTGCCGCGCCTCCCCAAGACCGTTGTTGGTATGCGAAGAAGTCAAACGCCGAGTTATTCGATCTTACTGTTCATTAAAGTACTTGAGTCTTGACATGGCCCGTTGAGGGAACTTAAAAATTAACTAGGAGATCGGTGTGTGTGACCCTGCGTGAAGTTCAGATGCCAAGTTCCGGGGTCCGCCCACGCCGAATCCGATGCTTCATGACGTCTTGTTACCTCCTGACTCTAACCAAGAGACCTCATCCTAGAGAATCATATCCTTGTAGGCCGGGATGATAATTAATCGTGCCGCAATACCCATGACAGCCGGTATTCTCAATAGCGACAGAGGCGGGCAGCCGGTCAGTAGCTTCATGACTGGCAGGGTATCATCAAACGAGTAGACCGCTGCTTGTTAACTTATTGTGTGTGATTGCCTTTCCGAACAAAGCAGGTAGAAGTGATATTATTTCACTAACGGATAGCTGAGGCTCCAGGCTATGCTCCTAAGTTGCTCTAACGTACATAGTACATTCATATTCCCTCAATCAAGCGTACCTTAAATGTCAGTGAGGCCTGTCATTACTGCGAACAAATACGCCGAAGGGAATCATTTCCTAAAGTGAACTTTCGAGCTCAGATAAAGGCAGTAAGTGGCGATGATTTCCTCATGCGGTAGGCTGTTCCTTCGGCTATCGCCAGGCATGAACAAATGTGCTGGTCCTTTCTCGTCCACTTACCATCGTTCTGTTTATGCGTTATTTTCAGCGAAGTTGCTCCGTTTTGTGACTTAGAGAAGAAATACTTGCCCCAAATCCATGGAGAGAGATATCAGATTTGCGGGTCATTCTATGTCTTTGACTTCGTCAGGAGTACCGTGTCATATCCCGGGTAGCTACACTACATTAGCATAGCCGAATCGTGCTGTGGCGATCAAGGAAAAGCACTTCACTCTGGAAGAACCCACGGAGCGGAGAATAAGGGCGCACAGTGTTCACGTTAGATGGGTGAAGATGGCGTCCAAGCATGCTGTTAGTCCAAAGCCACTTGCCATGTTGCCCAAATTTGGCTTGGTCAGAGTTCTAGGCGATTCATGCAGCACATTCCACCTGTTCTTGGTTACTACAGGGATTTGGTTCTTAAAAAATGCTTCCATGTAATTTACGCAGGTTCGTATGTGAAGTATTGAAGGTCAACAGCGACAGTACACAGGTGATTATTGAAGTTGTTCATTATGCTTTTCCATTTTCCCCATTCTCACTGGATATAGAAATGTTAGATATTCTTTTGTCTGGGTTTGAATTTACATCTATTAGAGTCAAAAGGGTATGTTTCATATTATGCATTGTCGTTACTTTAGCAACCAGATTCCTATATTGAAAGCTTTACTGGAGGTCTCTGCACCTTCCCGGGCTTTGACTCCTGTTGAATCCAGATTGCAAGTTTATAGTACCATTTGAAAGCTGGCTTTTGCAACGAGGAAACACTTCCTGAACCAGACCAAGATTTACTCTATTGTGTTTTAATATTCTAGATGGAACGGAATCCAGTTCTTATTTGCCATAAAGGCAGTTGCGAGCAGACACCGACTTCCTAGTAAATTTGACGAAAATCGAAATTCAAGGTTCAAACAAGACCAACTCAGCTGCCAATGATCTCACTCTTCATGCACACGGTGCTACCCTTCTCAACCAGAATCTCATACTTCTTGTCATCTTCTACTGCCGCAGTGCGAATAGTATACTGGTCGCCTGCATATAGTGGCGACAACGCTCTGTAAACAATCTGCCGCACCTCTCTTCCGTTTCCACCGTAGATATCCCTCCAGTAGTCCAGGATGTTGATCAAGTTCAAAGGACCGTGAACCACAACCTCGGGATGCCTCTCAATATCCTTGGTCCAAGGCTCATTGTAGTGTATCATGTGGCCGTTGAATGTGAGAGCAGAGAAACGGAAGAGACCGACAGGTGACCATTTAAGGTGACGGATGACGGCGTCGCCCGAACCCTTCTCATCTGTGATTGTGGAGGGCCCGAACGCTGGTTCCCTCTCGGGACGTGGCGGCGCAGTCTTTGCAGCCAAAGAAACGTTGACCTCAGGGCGGAAGATCCATGATCTTGACATGTGTTAGCCAGGCGAAGATAAATCTTAGTCAACAAGTCGGAAACGAACCTCTGGTCCTTGACAACAAGCCCATCACGCCCCCAGAACTCCTTCTCAACGTCCACAAGAACCATCTCATCTCCACTTCTGCTCTTCTTAGGTGTAGCACCAAGAAGCCTCGTTCGCTCCTCAACCTCTTCGCCAACCTTCAATGATGCCCCCTCGATGAATTGCATCTTCCCACCGGCCCACATCCTTCGTGTAAACGGCGCTGGCGCATTGAACGTCTTGTCAGTGCCATCCATACCCAATTCGCTTTCGACACCCGCCGGTGTAAAGTAAACAAGGTGATAGCCGGGCGGAAGCGGAGTGCCTTGCACAGGTGGGTCAGACCATACATCAACACCAGGATGAAGCTGCTTCCGATTCAAAGTCAAACTAAGGCGTTGCAGTTGGTTGGAATCAAGTATTTGTTTCCGCGTGACATCTTTGCCAGCAAAGGTTTCGAGAAGTTTGGATGCAGCGTCCGTAGCATTGGTGGTGAGAGATCTTTGTCCACGCGTGTGGCAGTGGGAGAATGCCGGTCGCATCCGGTGAGCTAGAGATGCCATAGTGATGATGATTGAGCCCAAACCGGGGATGATTTGCGGGGTCGACTTGTGAAGGGGATTTGGTTGATTGTTATTTTCAAGAAAGAGGAAATCGTTTCAATGGATTTGAAGACATCAAGGCGGATGGTTCTCACTCGCTCAACACCAATTCTCGGTAAGTAACGCCGACCTTGCTAGTTGAGGTGTAGGCGAAGTGCTGCTGCATCGAGGAGTGAGGCGGTAGGCTACTCGGCTATATGCTGTCGGCTTCTTGCTCGCCCACTAGTGGCGGAGACAATAGCCGAGACATGCCCCTGGGGAGAAGTAGCCGAGAGATGCAATGGCGTGTGTAACTAGGGTTTCTAGTCTTCTGCAAAGAGAGTCTCGGAAAACCAATTCCCGAGATAACATTGATGATTGAACCCCAATCAGCCATCTGGTAACCCTTGTCATAGGCACCGCTGGAGAAAGTTGAGCCCCTCAACCTGCATCGGACCATTGGCGTAGAGTTGGGGGTCCAGAAACAATCCAAGGTCTTCCAACGCATCTTCGCCTTCCCAATTGGTTCTCATCAGGTTAAAATACTGATCCTCTATAGCATCAGACCTTCTTTGCACCGGTGGGTCGGAAAGAAGAGCATGAGACGGGCTTGTTGTCGATGTATCGAGCGGACTAAAGCTAGCTGTAAATCCTGGATCGCCCTCGGCGGTTGCAGAATCGGTGTTGTTATTGTGTAGCCTCTTAGCGATTGGCTCATCGAGATACTGAAGGAAGAGATCCAATACGTTATTGTTTATGCGCCAGTACTTTTGTATTTCTTTCAAGCCTAATAGGCACATTTGTGCTCTGTGCTCTGCGAGTCGGCGTCCTATTCCATCAGCCGACCTGATGTCGATAGCGTGGATACAAAGAGCCGCAAATAAGCTTGTAAGCCTAGAGGAGTAAGACAATGGTTCGAAAAAGTTTCGTTGGGGGCACTTACAGATGCATTTGACCGTACTGTAAAGTCTTCTGCGCAAGCATGTCCTCAGCAATCCTACTAATACGACATGCAGCAGCGAGTGCTGCTTTCTTATCATCTTCATCTTGGTTTCGAAGCCAGCCATTGCGGTGAACGAGAATACGTAGGTGACTGAAGTATTTAGTGGGGGATCTTGAACAGAAACCATGGTGTTGTTTCGGCAACTTACTTGTAAGCTAGATGTATGAGACATGTCAGGACTGATGATTGACCATCTTCTGGACCCCTGCGCATTTCATCTGGCAAGCTGTTCTTCCACCGTTCAAGTTGCTGCTTTAGATCGCGGACTTCAGCAGGTCCTGGGGGCCCCCGCCCTGGAGCGAAATGAGTATCCATTATTCTTCCAACTGCACATGCGTTAGAGAACAGATAACAAGATGGACTGATGTTCGAATGACTTACGTAGCCGCGCAATATCCACCATCTTAACAGCGTAATGGATATGCTCAGGCTTAGTCGAGCCAAAGTCAGTTCCCTGTTGGTCGTCTGCATCATCTTCGAGGTCTGCGGCCGTCAACGGCTCAATGTCGCAATCTTCATCACGAATCCGACAAGGCAAACCGAGTGATATTGCTGCCTGCCGTTCTCGGACCTTGGTCAAGTCAGTCAACTTGCATAGCTTTCATAGTATAACATGGTTCTCACATAGATGGACCACCACACTCTCCTTCTCATGCGGGCGAACTGAGAGTCCCGAGTAATAAATCGAGTCCTTTCTAATCAGCTGTTACACCCGACCATACCTCAGTAGTGCATACTTACGATCGATGAAGTCCATGTGTCTGAGCAAGTGTCAAGACGCATCCCAGCCAGTATCTCACATCTCGCCAGTCCGTAGGGCCGCCCCTCCAGAAACTGCAAAGAAAGAGGGACTGGATGAGAGTGAATTCGTCTTTCTCCCAGTTAGAATGAAATAGAATTCGGGCCCTTGAATAGGTTACGTTCTTCGCCTCCGAGCGGTCTTTGAAACCCATGGCGGTGATGGTTGTTTCATCACAGTAAGTGGAGCCGATGAAGAGCATTGCCTGCAATAAGAGAGGCGAGATATCCATTGTCACAAGCCGCTTTGCAATATCCGCGCGATCGAGAATAGGAAAGCAGGGGTGAAACCACTTGAAATAGGCACGAAGGGCTGGTAGACAGCTTTGCATGTCAGGGAAGGTCAAGGCGCCTTCATCTCTCAGATATCTCTCGGTCGCTGAGCTGATATGATGAGTGCTTGCAGGTGACGTAGCTAGGTCTTGGAATTGTGGTGTTTGAGGAACCGGAAAGGCGAGGCGGCCCTTCAAGCCAACGTCTCCAGCAGTAGCATCAGACCCAGTCTCAGAAGCTCCAGGAACAAGGGTAAGGAAGTTGGATTCCCCGAAAAATCGACTACTCCCCGTCCCGGAAGCAGAGTGTACTGATGCTGGCGTCTCGACATGAAAATGGGCCTGCGAAGTACTAGAGCTCGGGAGTCCTTGAGACGGCGATGCGGCGCTCATGGAGGCAAGGGTTGCTGCCACGGCGGATGTGAGCGCCGAAGGCGGAGTCGGAGCTGCGGGCTCCGGGGTCGCGGACGCGGCCGCTGCGAGTTGCTTTTCCTTCTTCGACTTCCGGGGATATCTGGCTGGTGTCAGGTACCGGTACTCATGCATTGACGTAAGGGGAGGAGAAACTGCACTCACCGGCCTCTTCTTGAAGGCAAAACTTCGCATGTTGACTTTGAGATCTCGCAATTGGAGCATGGGAGGCGCTCAGTGACGTTGCAGCGGATGCGGCGAGAGTTGCATTCCCTACACGCGTGTTTTGCGCGAGGTTTCCTTAGTCCTTCGGCTGGCATTTAGAATGTGGGCCTTGAAGAAATACTGTCATAAAATTCAAATGAGTGGTATGACGGTTTTGTTAATCTTCGCCGGGTATGGCTCGATGTATACTCTTGAGCGCGTCGAAGACAGGCTGTGTGACGGTTGTGTATTTTCGACCCCAGTCATGGGATGGGAATTACACATGTTGGTGCCACAATTCCAGCCAATGTTCCTAGTCGCCTCGGCTTCTCTACCCGAGGCGGACTCACCGAGCGCCACTTTGATACACCGAGAGTATAAGCTCAAAGAACATGGCAACACCTGAGTGTTAAACCATGATTTTGAAGATTATATTAACATCAAACTTATTCAAAACAAAATTGAGCCACCGCCAACTTGAGACGGCTTGATAGATATTGAGCACATATACTATGACGATGGATGAATGATTACCTTCTGGAGAAGTTCTCCATTTGAATTTATCCTGTCCCATCACTACAATTGGGTTGACAACCTCTTTCGCATTGATAAAACATTTTAATACGCGCATTTAACAGTTCGGTTAGATTGGACTGTGAAAACGAGCAAAAACAAAACCTTGAAGTTAGTAAGTCGACAACATGATTTAATGTGTTCACAAAACATCAGTTGTTCAAGGTGTTTCTATTATTCTCTGCAAATAATGATGCCTAGTAACGCCTTCCTATAACCCTTAAACAAAAGCCTTCTCTTCAATGCTGCTCAAATCTCTCTTGAGTGCTGCTTAGTAACTTCGCGGCAGCTGGAGTACCTTCTCACCAATGTAATTCAAAATCATCTCTCGGCTAACAGGCGCGATGCGAGGAACAAGACACTCTCTGAAATACCTTTCCACATCATATTCTGCCGCATATCCCATACCTCCATGTGTGAGCACGGCTCGCTCGCAAGCAGTAAAGGCTGCCTCTGCAGCCATGTACTTGGCGCTATTGCATGCAACACCAACAGCATCTTGACGAATAGACGCATCTTCTTTGCTGGCGTCATACAGTCTCGCCGCGTGGTAAGTCGCCAACTTTGCTGCCTCCAACCGCATGTACGCGTCGGCAAGTGGGTGTGCGATGGCTTGGTTCTGCCCAATGGGCCTTTGGAAGACAACGCGATCGCGTGCGTACTCAGAGGCCTTTGCAATCGCGGCATAGCCCAATCCCAAAGCCTCACCTGCCAGTAGGCAACGCTCAGCATTCATGCCGTGAAGGATGATCTTGAAGCCCTGGCCTTCCTGGCCGATGAGGCTGGAGGCGGGGATAGCATAGTTGTCGAAAAAGACCTCGTTTGCGTCGACGGCACGGCCACCCATTTTCTTGATTTTGCGCATATCAAGGCCAGGTTGGCTGCGGTCAAGATCAATGCAGAAGAGAGAAAGGCCCTCGCTTGGTTTCTTGCAGTCTTCGAGCGCTTTGGTTCGTGCGAGAAGGATCATCTTGGATGCGACTTGCGCGCAGGTGATCCATATCTTCTGGCCAGTCACCAGGTACGAGCCATCGGATTGCTTCTTGGCCGTCGTTGAGAGACGAAGGGTATCAAGACCGGCGTTGGGCTCCGTCACTCCGAAGCATGCACGCCATTTACCTGAGATGATGTTGGGGATCGTGCTCTCAAGCTGTTCTTGGGTTCCAAACTTGGCGAGGGGTTGCGTTGCGTAGACATTGGCATGAATGGACTGAGCACCGGCCATGCCGGCGCCGGACTCGGTGATTGTCTGCATCATCATGGTAGCCTCTGAGATTCCCAAGCCTGAACCTCCCAGGGACTCTGGGAGTGCGATACCCAACCAGCCATCCTTGGCGAGGGCGGCATGGAACTCCTTCGGGTCTTGTTCGTTTTGATCATGCTCTTGCCAGTAAGTGTTGGGAAATTGAGCGCAGACCTGATTTACTGCTTCTCGGACGGTCAGCTGGTTTTCCGTGAAACCAGTTGTCTCCATTATCCTGCGCGATGAGGATGTTGAAAAGGTCGCACCCTTGGGCCTAGGTACTGGGGTCCGGCGCAGACACCCCGCCGTCTTGACGGCTGGTCTGACAAGGCGCCAAAGGTTCCGAGTAACTGGTTGCGACATGATGAATAAGACGAAGCAAAGTATAGAAGAAACTGATGAATTGATTCGTTGCGTTCGACTGAGCCTCTGTCAACCAACCTAAATATCATACTCCAAAGGCCGACTTGCTTTGTTAAAGGCAGTAATGGCAACTTCTCACCCGGCAAATGAACCCGAAAACATTAATTATTCCCGGTTAATTAGCGCCTTAGTGACGACACTAGGTGGGCGATCGGCAAGTTGGGGAATCTTGCATAAAGCCGACTTCGGGCGAAGTAGCCGAGTCGACTAACTGCTGGGGCAGGGCGCTCGATGCCGTAAACCTGCACTATTGGGGTCTGAGACAAAGGCCGAGGTCAAATACCATTGCTTGTTAGAACAGGTTCTTGCGGATATCTCTCTCGAACAATGAAGGCATAAGAAAAGACAAGCCGGCTTTTCACAGATGTTCCATTGTTCTGGATGAACCTCTCATGTTTGACTAGATCTTCTTTGAAATTGTAGCTCCATTTCGCCAATCGCAAGCTCGGAACCCATCAGCTGCACCCCCTTCAGCTCAAAAGTCGGAATGGCTCCCAGCCGAACAGCCTGGACCTTCTTGGCCCCCAGAGCCAACCTGCTCAAGATTCCACTTAGAGCAACTCTTACACCAAAAAGATGCCAAAGGAGTTGTGTATCTTCAAGTCGACATCAATCTCCCCATGGTATTATGCCTCATAGAGCTATGAGTACAACGCCAGTCACGGCCGCCAAGGAACCACTGCCTCTGGAAGGCATCACAGTCGTCAGCCTCGAGCATGCCATCGCAGCGCCCTTTTGCACTCGCCAACTCGCAGACATGGGTGCCCGTGTCATCAAAATTGAGCGCCCCGGTGTTGGGGATTTTGCTCGGGCATACGACACTCGTGTCAACGGCATGGCATCCCACTTTGTGTGGACCAACCGGTCTAAAGAAAGCCTTGCGCTGGACCTCAAGGACCCCAAACATTTTGATGTTCTCAAGCGACTCCTTGCAAAGTCGGACGTGCTAGTCCAGAATCTCGCACCCGGCGCAACGGAGAGACTGGGCCTCGGATACTCTACCCTCAAAGAATCGCACCCGTCACTTATCGTCTGTGACATCTCAGGATACGGCTCAGACGGTCCATACAGAGACAAGAAGGCATATGACCTACTTGTCCAGAGTGAAGCGGGTTTTCTATCTGTCACGGGCAACGGACCCCAGCCAGCAAAAGCAGGCATCTCCATCGCCGACATCTCGGCGGGAATGTATGCTTACTCCAACATTCTTGCCGCCATTATCAAGCGTGGCAAGACTGGCAAAGGAACAAGGATAGATATATCGATGCTGGAGAGCATGACCGAGTGGATGACCTTCCCCCTGTACTACACTTATAATGGGGCCCCGGGACTCGCCCGATCTGGTGCTTCCCATGCCTCGATCTATCCCTACGGCCCTTTTGAGACTGGAGGGGGAGGGACTGTGATGCTTGGCGTGCAGAATGAGAGGGAGTGGGCAAATCTTTGCCGTGATGTTCTTGGCGATGAGGCGCTTGCCAAGGACCCCAGATTTATGAACAACACACTTAGGACACAGAACCGTGAAGAGTTGAGGAAGATCATCTGTGATGTGTTTTCCAAGTTCTCTCCTGAGGAGCTCCTGAAGAAGTTGGACGCTGCTTCGATTGCAAACGCCAAGGTGAATGATATGCAGGGCGTATGGGATCATCCGCAACTAAGGGCGAGGGGGCGATGGACGGATGTTGAGACGCCGAATGGGACAATTCCGGCGCTCATTCCACCGGGATTTGGGAACGTCGAGGCTTCTCGGATGGACAAGGTCCCCGACCTGGGGGAGCACAATGAAACCATCTTTAGAGAGTTGGGGGTTGAACCATAAACCACTGATGTGGGTAACTGGTTATACCATTGAAGAGCGGTTAGCTAGTCATTATCCAGGTGGTACAATTGTATTCTTGGATACATAGAAATGGTTTACGCTATGATTCAGCTTCGTCAAGGCGAAAGACAGAGGAGAGTATAATGATGCTAGCCTAATAAGCATGGCAAGTGTGTTAACGTCAATTCAATGCGTTGGAGTGTTGGGGATCCAGATAAGTATGTTACCTCTACACTAGGCTGTGATCCATTTACTACTGCCGGTATCGTATTCTTACTTGTGCTGCTCATACAGATCCTACACAACAATGACCCCTAAATTCTTTTTCGAGCAGGCAGCAAAGTTCCTCGAAATAAATTTCTGCCATTTGGGAATGTCGACAGACTTTCTGAGGGTCGAGTACTTTTTCCATACGCACTCTAAAGGAGAAGGCTGCGTCTTGACATTCTCGACTCAAGCTTACGTAGCTGGAGAGTACGAAAAGCTGGCCCGGGATATTTCAGATTTAGATATGCTTCTCATACTCATTCATAGCATGGCACAGAGACTCAGACGGGGCACCATCAGCATAATGGTGTCGACGGCTTTGAATGCATATGAAGCAACCGCGGATGGACTAGACCAAGCCACAAAGGACATCAAGACATCCCAGCAGATAATCAAGGCAAACTGCCTCATTCTACAACGCAATGCATTGGCGAAGTCTGAAGAAGAAATTAAGGGTGGCCAACTGAAAAACAATTACATTCGTGCCAGTGACATTAAAGCCAGACTGCCCAAAGAAAACAAGCCGAATGCTTAAGAGGCTAAGTGTAATGCTGAAAGTTACTCCAGAGTAACGCACAAGTTGATGAGGTAGTCTAGAATGTCCAGAGGCTTTGATCAAGTGCTTAAGACCTGCTCTGCACATAGTCTATGTAATTCCCGCTGCTCAAAATCTTTATAATTTAATCATCGTGAGTTGAAATCTTTAAGTGAGATAATAATCTGCAAATCTCAAGAATCACCATCCGCTGCACTGTGGCATTATGTTTACCCCTAGCAAGTGGAAGCACTGATTAGGTGCCAAGGGCGGCTCCCTGTATGTCAGACAAATGTGGGTACGGGTGATCCCGTCATTCGGGAGTGATTATCCTGACATATTCAGATACTATCATTAGAACCTTTCTCCCAGGGAGGATGTATTCTTCCTATCTGTGACTAAATATCGTTTGTAACATTCTCAATCATGGATCATTGTGGGGTCAGCGCCTGTCCGTCTAACAACTACAATCTCACGAACCTGCAAGTACTCCATGCTAAGAATGATCTTCCTTGAATTACAGAGCTTTGCTCATTCTAGCGGCTAATTTGTCAAGTTCAGGGACCCTGATGATAGGGGGTAGTGGTATCGCTATCAAAATCTTTTTTGTTGCTGCTAGTGGTGTCTTACTTTATGCTATGAAAGTGAATCTGCTCTACAAGTCCAGGGGATACAGCGTGTGGGCTGAAGGCTTTCGGCATCGTTACAGGGACTTCAAAAGGATTGTGTACCTGAGTACTGAGCACTATTCAGCGGCTATTTAGTGGCAAAGTTCAACAGCGCATGCACCTATGCCTTAATCTTCCCCAGCTTTTCTTATTGCTTTGCGTGACTCTACACGAGCTGGGACCGCTCGTCTACCTGGCACGGTTTGAATCTATCACAATACTGTTTACTATTCATGGCTTGCCTGTATCTCTGGGTATTTTTAAACCGTGAACCAATGCCCTCTTTAGAGTAGTCTAATTCCTTGTTGATAACACATTGGGTTACTGATCCCTAAGTTGTCTACTTTTATTCAAAGACAACATCGCAGGTTAGCTTCATCGGCGCTTCGAGTTCCGATGTGAACACGTAAAAATAAGGGAACAGTTACCTCAATATAGTCGCGTGCTCCCCGCCGCGGCGCGTTGCACTACAATACCCACGCCCTCGAAGACGGCCATGAGAAGGCCGCAGCCGATGGCATTGTTTCTCGCGGCCTTGTAGCCGCTGCGAATGGCTAGCGACCCTCCCGTAAGAAGTCCGGCGGCGATACCGTTCCATGGATCTTCCTTATGGCGGATGCCGGTGACGGCGCAGGTATAAAGACCCAGAAGCCCCCCAAAGGCGGCAAAATTACCACCGAGCACCGGGACCCTCGACTTGATAGCCGTCATGGCTCCGATGCCCCGCTCACCGGCCGGCGAGTTGCGCGCCCCTTTGACGCCATGCCAAATTGTACCGCCGATTACCTGCATAGCAACACATGTTAGAGGGCTCGATTCTGTCAATTGTATGTAGAGTGGGAGAAAATTGCGTACGCCCATGCTGAACGCGCCGCCGGCATCTGTGAGAATGACCCATGGGCAGGGTTCGCGCCCGGTATCCATTGCCAAGGTGGTATATTAGATAGTGAGGTAAAGACAGATATCCATCGGTGAGTTTCCAGAGTCTCCCAAGGAGACCCGGCGTCCATCAGCTTTCTCCTTTAACATCATAGACGTTATATAGTATACGCCTGGTGCAGGCGTTTTCGTCCGACGCTGTTATGCTGACAGGCTGATGGCCAGCCATCTTTTGAGATGGACAGTAAGCGGACATGCGATCGCACTCTGGTCCACTTATAGACAGTAATAAGCTGGTACTCACGTATTTAACACACCGCGCAATGCAGGGGTGCATGACAGGCAGTCGCCCAACACGCTGTAGGCATGCGGCAAAGCAATCTTTGGCGATTATTTTATGATATGTCTTGTGGCTGTTTTGCCTGCGGTCTTCCCGCTCTCAACCTCAACACACCATCCACAAATCATCTCTTCTCATTTTCAGCCTAAAGCATCAACTTGAAAACATGGCGGCGCCAAGACCCATCAGCTCTTACAGCTGCCTTACCTTTGACTGTTTCGGTACGCTGGTCGATTGGGAGTCAGCCGTGTTTAACGCCCTATCGGAGGTGAGAGGCCAGCTTGACCCCTCCCATCCGCTCCGGAATGACCAAGGCGGCACTGTCAAGCTCTTCGCTAAGCACGAGGGACGCCGTGTGCGGGAGCAACCGGAAGAAATCTACCAGCGGATCCTGGAGGACGTTTACGGCGACATTGCCGACGAACTGGGCGTCAAGGCGCCCGAAGAGTCCAAAAAGCGTTTCGGCGCCAGCATCGGAGAGTGGCCCGCTTTCCCCGACACCGTTGATGCTCTCAAGCGTCTCAAGAAGCACTTCAAACTCGTCATTCTCTCCAATGTCGACAGACGCTCTTTTGACGGAACTTTATCGGGCCCTTTGAAAGAGGTCGACTTCGATGCCATATACACGGCACAAGATATTGGCTCGTATAAGCCTGACCCGCGCAACTTTGACTATCTGGTCGAGCACTTGGGCAAAGATCATGGGGTGAGCAAGGACGGCATCATTCATACAGCCTATAGCTTTCCCCATGATCTCGTACCGGCCAAGAAGATCGGTATCGTAGGGGCGTGGATAGAACGTGGCCAGGAGGTCCCGACAGTCATGGGAGGCAAACTGGAGGATGTCCCGGAAGATCTGAGGCCGACATGGCAGTTCAAGACGCTTGGTGAAATGGCGGATGCGGTAGATGCCGATGCTGCAAAGAACGCGTAGTGGCTTAAAGGCTTGGTCACTGGTTAAGGTTGCGATTCAGTAATGTGCACCCCAATTTGATCGGCAATGACAGATTAATACTCTATGAAGCCTACTCTTTTCATTCGCACGATACATCACAAGGTAGAAATGCGGATTTCATACATAGAAACAGTCGTTGGGAATATAATGACTGTTGTTTCATGCGTTACCTGCCTTGTACTTCCTAAAGTCCGAAAAGATACAGATGCACACACATGAGATTTTTAATAAAGTGCCAGCTAACAGCTACATCCCAGCACTCTGTGCTATCAATCCAGACAAGAATCTATACACTTAACGGGAGCATGTATTATCCACCCGCGAAAATGACTCCTCTACAGGCGCCTTCGCCACCTCACAGTGTTCAAAGCCATCGCTTCTCATTACAAATATAAAGCTAGCCCTTTCCGAAGGCTCGGGTGAATCCCATGAGGTTCGTAAGCTAAGGGGAAAAAACCCCACGATCTTAGCATTCCTAAGAATGGGTGTGCTCTCGGGATCGGCCCGCTAGCCACTAGTCCGCTCCGGCTTACTGTCGGTATTATGTCAGGTACCGGTCATGTAGCCCATTGCGCTTCTCATCCCAAAGCAGGTTGTGCTTCCTGACTCTAACTGTGTCCAGTGAAATCAATAGGTCGACGGAGAAATTGCCTATTCTAGATGGCACCCATCTCAGAATAACCAGGTGAGCATTCAAGTCAGCCGCTTACCACACGTTTCTCGTAGAGGTGCCTGGCGGGAACGTTGTCTCGGCATGAGCTATACTTTGAGCGACAGAAAGGATATCCTAGATGGTTCGGCCAAGGTAGATGATAGAGTGTCTGTCAAGCTGAGAACCGTCATATCAAAGTCAGCGATATATGATGTAGGGTCCTAGATTGTGATGCAAGTGAACAATCACACCATAACCCCCAAGTTCGCTTCGCTGTTTGAAAGGTGCACTTGAACCTTCAAAATATCTATCTCCTTCTTCCCCTTTCAAAGGCATATCGCTTTATACTAGGTTTCATTGGACGTAACGCTTACTTTCAATACTGCCCCTACTCAATCTCAAGAGCTTTACTACAACTAAGCAACATGTCCTTTACTCACCCAGACTTCGTTCCCCCATTGGCCTATGACCCTCCAGACACGCTGACCGTCCATGAGTTTCTGTTTGGGGATGGGGACAAGTATGGACGGCACCCCAAAACTAAGTCGAGGCCACCGTTTACCTGCGGAGTTACGGGCAAGGCGTACTCTGCGGTCGAGGTGGCTGAACGAGTGGAGCTTCTGGCGCGAGCGCTTGGCTCGGACTTGGGGTGGCAAGTCAACGAGGGACATGAAATGGACAAGGTGATTGGAATTTACAGCCTCAATACGGTAATGACCAGAATATACCCAAATGCATGGTTTATATGGTATTAACATGCGCCCAGATCGATACGTTGACCGTCTCCTGGGCCACCCATCGCCTCTCGGGCGTATCTTGCCCCATAAGCTCCGCTTATTCCGAGATGGAGCTCACAAACTTGTTGAAGAATGTGAACTGCAAAGCCTTGTTCACGTGCAAGCCTCTCCTGGAGCAGGCGCTCGACGCGGCCGCGGCGGTCGGCATTCCAAGCCGCCATGTTTACCTGCTTGACCTACCTCCTCAGTTTGAAGGAAATGCCACAGTGTTACCGAGGACGAAGTCAGTCGATCGTCTGATTAAAGAAGCCCGCAGCATGAAGCCTCTACCACGACTGCAATGGAGCAAGGGCCAAGGCGCTCGTCAGACTGCGTTTATCTGCGCCTCCAGTGGAACATCTGGATTGCCGGTAAGCTACGGAATCATTGAAATCGCTCTTAGCGAAACCTTACTGATGGTGCGGGAATAGAAATGTGTTAGGATGTCACACAAGAACGTTATCGCAAACATTATCCAAGTAGCTACATATGAAAGCGTCACAAACCATAGGGAGACAGAGTTGAGCCTTGGGGTCCTCCCACTGAGCCATGGCTATGCTTTGAACACAGTCTCACTCGTTAGTGTCTATAGGGGAGATGGTGTTGTCATTTTACAGTCTTTTGACCTCTTTCAAACACTTGAGGCTATCGAGAAATATTCTCTGAGACGTCTATGGTTGGTGAGTACAACATGGCGCTTTCGTTTGGCTCTTCTGCTAAAGACTTCATTCATACAGATTCCTTCCATGATTACCGCCATCACGAAAGCTATCTCTCTTGTTAACAAGTACGATCTAAGCAGTGTCAACACCGTAGTTACTGCGGCTTCTCCGTTGGACCAGGAGACGTCGTCTCGTTTCAGCCAGTTGTTCCCCAGTTGTAAAGTGATCCAGGCCTACGGCCTTACCGAAGCGTCGGTCATCATTACAATGACGGATTTGGACGACATCATGCACGGTTCCAGCGGGAGCTTGCTCCCCGAAATTCAAGCGCGACTGGTTGATACGACCGGCCAGGATATCGACGAGTTTAACCGCGCAGGCGAGCTTTGGGTTCGTTCCCCTGGAGTGATGCTCGGGTACCTCAACAACGAAATGGCGACACGAGAGATGATTACCGAAGACGGCTGGCTACGAACAGGTGATTTGGTGGAGATCAGACAAAGCCCTAGAGGAAATGAGCACATCTTCATCGTAGACCGCATCAAAGAACTCATCAAAGTCAGGGTAAGTCAGCGGCCAGCTTATTTCCATACCCAGAGACAATTGCTGACGCATCCACGCACTGCAGGGCATGCAAGTAGCACCGGCAGAGCTAGAAAGCTTCCTTCTGCTGCACCCTGCCGTTATTGATGCCGCAGTGGTTCCGGTGCCCAGTGACTCTGCTGGGGAGCTACCATTAGCATACGTTGTTAAATCGCCGTTGGCAAAACACCGAGATGAATCGCTGCTAAGAGAGGAACTTTACAATCATGTCAAAGTGTCTCTGTCGCAGTACAAGCACCTTGATGGCGGCATCGAGTTCACGGACGTGATACCAAAGACGATCAGCGGCAAAACGAAGCGAGCAATTTTGAAAGAGAGGGCCAGAAAAATTGTTAATGAGAGAAAGCTACTGGCTCAGGTGGCAACTGAATGGCAGGAAATGGCGGAAAACGGGGATTCTGGCTTGATTCAGGTTGTTGATTTTGACTCGGATTCGGATGATGATTATTGATACCTTCGCTACCAAGCAATACTTTTCTTTTACCGTTTAGTCCAGCATGTATTTCGCCGCTATGGAGTCAAATCTTTTAAAATTCATTGCTGCTTTTTGATTAAAAAAACTTCTTCCTTCGCGTCTATGATTTCCTATTGAACTAGGTAGATTTATCATGGCCGTAGACCGGGCCAGCGCTTAGGTGCCACCAGATTGATTCGTCACCGTGATAGTTTCAGCTACTCCCCTGTTCGCCGAAACCTTCTTGATAGGAAAATTCTCTGGCCGTCAGTAACCAGGCAATTGTTTCTAGTACTATGGTGTCGCAATCACCTACATCTCAAGGGGTTGGAATTACCTTACTGCATAACGTGCTGCGCCTATAGTAACATCGCTGATAGTACGCATGCCGCAGTTCATTATCCTACCGGTTCCTAGAAATCCGTTTCCAGAAGCTGATCAGCGTTAAACCTAAGAAAAAAAAACCTGGACACTGTCCGTTGTGCCGCATGCCTAATATCGCCCCTGGTACGTAAGCTGCATGAGACACTTGGCTTGCCATGAAGACAGGCGAGACAATCTGACTCAGGAGTCCGACCTGGCCGCACTTGCTTATGGGATCTCCACACCCCGCTTAGTAGCCTTGTATCCCTTCTCTTGGGCTTCGCTAATGCCTGTAGGAGCAGCGCCGAGCATGGGTAACGTGGGCTTGTCTGGTGCCAACTCTTGAAGGAATGCAGAAATTAGTGGAAAGCAAACGTCTAGAGCCAATCGTTAAAAAGCTTCCGGGTTTATATACCAGTTTAATAGAATGAAAGGGGCGACTGAGTCCGACCATGGCATGAGACTAGAACACCGAGGAGAGAACCCAAACCCTTCACTGTGAAGACTCACTTACCATTCGGCCTCCACATTCGTCCAATTCAGAAGCCTAACTGGGTTTGAGAAATAAAGTCATCAGGGAAAGATCTACTCTATTTGGCTGCCTAGCGGAGGTATCCAGTAACGATTACTCGAGCACTTCTCCTTGAAGTATCTTGGCTTTAGTGTTTGAGCTGCATCCGGCATACAGGCTGCGTCAAGAACCTGCCGTATACCTCATATCGACGGAATCTGTCTTCAAGCTCTACTTGTTCGTCGATTTATTCTAGAATCAGCATCGCCCGCTTTATGTCGAAGATGGCATCTATCGCGCCCAGTACAAGGTTCATATCCAGCGCCGAACCATACAGAATGAACGGAGACACGAATGAGTATGATATAGAGATGTTCGACGACGAAGCAAGCAATACAGAGTCTGGACCCTCTGTCGCTTCTTCAGGCGCTCTGGATGGACATAATGACACCACGGTTACCCCCAACAGCGAGCCTGCGATGGAGCAACATCTACCTCCCATCGCTATCGTTGGCATAGGACTCAGACTTCCCGGCAACGTATCCACGACGGAAGAGTTTTGGGATCTTTTAGTCAACAAGAGAAGCACAAGATGCCGGGTACCTGAGAGCCGCTTCAACGTCGATGCCTTCTATAGCGACTCGGGGAAGCCCGGCACCGTGAACAGCAAGTACGGACATTACCTCGACATTGATATCGATCGAATGGATGCCTCATTCTTCTCCATGAGTAAGGCCGAAGTGGAGAAGCTCGATCCTCAACAGAGACTACTTCTGGAGGTCGTCTGGGAATGTATGGAGAATGGCGGCCAGAAAAACTGGCGGGGCGGTAACATAGGCTGCTATGTTGGCGTCTACGGCGACGACTGGCTGGACCTTTCTGCGAAAGATCCTCAGCGTCTAGGAATGTACCGAATAACCAGTTCTGCAGAGTTTGGCGTTGCAAACCGGTTATCGTATGAATTTGACCTCAAGGGGCCTAGGTAAGACGCGCCGTATTATTTCTGCATATCTTACTCCCTCGCGTTATAATGCATGAAAGAAAATTTCCAGAGACTAACGATGATTCGTAATAGTATGACAATCCGCACGGCATGCTCTTCTTCTTTGGTAGGCCTGCACGAGGCTTGCCAAGCAATCTACTCGGGATCATGTGATTCCGCTGTGGTAGCCGGCGCAAATGTCATCGTGTCTCCAACCCTCGCCGTCACATTGACCGAGCAGGGCGTCATCTCGCCCTCCGGCGTTTGCCAGTCTTTTGACAAGAAGGCCGACGGCTACGTCAGAGCCGAGGCGGTCAACGCCGTGTATGTTAAAAAACTGAGCGATGCCTTGCGGGACGGCGACCCTATCCGCGGCGTCATCCGGGCAACCGGCTCCAACTTTGACGGAAAGACTAGTGGTATCACGAACCCTAGCAAAGAAAGCCAAGAGAATCTCATTCGACGGACGTACCGCGCGGCCAATATTTCTAATCCTGGAAATACGGGCTTCGTGGAATGCCATGGAACCGGCACGGCGGTGGGCGATCCTTTGGAGACGTCCGCTGTCGGGAAAGTCTTTGGCGGGCAGGGAGAAGTTCTGATTACGTCGGTGAGCAGATTTATCTTACATAAAGGTATTCTGGATGCTAACATCATCTCTAATAGGTCAAGCCAAATGTTGGTCACTCTGAAGGCGCATCCGGTCTCACTAGTTTGATCAAGGCTGTGCTGGCGCTGGAGAAGGAGGTCGTTCCGCCAAATATCAACTTTTCCGATCCGAATCCAAAGAGTATGTCTTTCTCTTCAGTTTTGAGGTCTTACATGTAACCACATTTGTCTTAAACTAAACGCTAATGCTATCTCCACTTCTAGTTGGGTGGCAAGAATTTGGCCTTCGAGTGCCGACGGAGGCCCTTCCGTGGCCAGAAAATCGTGCAGCCCGCGTATCTGTGAATAACTTTGGGATTGGTGGCGCAAATGCACACGTAAGACTATAAGATGCGCTTGGGTCCCGTTTTTAACTAATCTGATATGATCGTAGGTTATTATAGATTCGCCAAAGCCGTTCCAGAAGAATATATCGAAGGTCGAGGCATATGGACAACATCTGCTCCTTTTCTCCGCGCATGACCCTGGTTCTTTAAACAACATGGTCTCTCAAGTGAAAGAGTACGCCAGCAAGCATCAAGACCGCCTTGCAGATATTTCTTTTACACTGGGAGTCCGGCGAGAACAGCTTGCCCACCGAACATTCGCAATTGCTGATAGGACTGGTCTATTCCAAGCTTCCCCAGTCGTACAATGTACCGACAAGTCGCCCAGACGCGTCAACTTCGTTTTCACCGGTCAGGGAGCTCAATGGGCCAGCATGGCCGTCGAGTTGTTGGATGAGTTTCCCTCCTTCCTTTCCGATATCAGACACATGGACAGGACACTAAAAGCATTACATCATGCACCGATTTGGTCAATGGAAGGTAAGATTCAAATCAACATTGAGCGGCGGAGAGATACAAACTAACTAAATACGAATTGCTGCAGAGGAATTATTGCGACCTTTGAAGCAAAGCAGAATCGACCAGCCCGAATTTGCGCAGCCTATCTGCACTGCTGTACAAATTGGAATCATTCGTCTTCTTCGGTCCTGGAACGTCCTGCCAGCAGCCGTCGTAGGCCATTCGAGCGGCGAGATAGCCGCGGCATTTGCAGCTGGCTTGCTGACTCTTGAAGCATCCATCGCCGTCGCGTACTACCGTGGACAGGTTACAAGACAGCAGCTTCGTTCCGGAGCCATGGCTGCAGTCGGTCTTGGCCCTTCGGATGTAAAGCAATACCTGGAAGCCGGTGTTGTCGTCGCTTGTGAAAACAGTGCCACCAGCACGACAATAAGTGGCGACTCAGATGCTTTAGACTCGGTTCTTGAAAAGATCAAGGTTGAAAGGCCTGAATGCTTCGTTCGTAAGCTTAAAGTCGACAAGGCGTACCATTCCCATCACATGCAGGAAGTTGGCGATTTATACCAGAAACTCCTTCATGACTTTATCCCGGGATCCATGTTCCCCGACGACGAAGAGGATGGGGAGAAAGAAACCTCCGTTGTCTTGTTCTCAAGTGTCACTGGCAAGCAAGCGACAAGGGCTCAGATGGGCCCGGCATATTGGAGGATGAACCTCGAATCCCCGGTAGTATTCTCTTCTGCAGTGCAGGCAATGCTAGCTTCTACCACAGAGGAATCCTTGTGCCTCGAGATCGGCCCTCACTCCGCATTATCGGCCCCCCTCCGAGATATCATCAAGTCCGCCAACCTACAGAACTCGGTTGCCTACGTACCCACACTGCTCCGTAACCAGAACAGCACGCAATCACTGCTTTCATGCCTTGGACAGCTCTTTCAGCACTCGGTTAATATCGACATACCCACAAAGTCCGACTATAGGGTGCTGACCGATCTTCCCAACTACTCCTGGCGACGTGAAGAGGCGTATTGGAACGAAAGCCGTGTATCCCGAGAATGGCGTCTGCGCAAGTTTCCTCCACATGAGCTGCTCGGCATTCGAACCCTCGAGGCCTCTGACACGAGGCCAACATGGAGGAATATCCTGAAACTTAACGATGTCCCTTGGCTGCCAGACCATAGGATTAAAGATGATATAGTACTTCCTGCTGCTGCTTATCTAGCTATGGCGGGCGAAGCTGTTCGTCAAGTTGCGGACGGTCCCGTGGTCGATTTCTATCTGCGACAAGTCAACATTAAAGCCGCGCTTGTGCTACGCGAAGCAGAAGGTGCGGAGCTAATGACATACTTGGCACCAATGCGCCTCGTGTCGAGTTTGGATTCCTCCTGGTACGAGTTCTCAATTGTCTCGCACAACGGCAGCGGCTGGGTTGAACACTGCAACGGTCAAGTGAGAGCCGGCAAAGGAGTCCCTATTCCCTGCCATGAGAAGGATTTTGCCAAGTACCCCAGGATTTCGTCGGCTACAGCATTGTATAAGAGCATGAGACGTGTTGGCCTCAACTACGGCCCTCGGTTCCAGGGAATGGAGGACATATCTGCGGAGCCGGGATCTGGCCGTGTTTCGGCGAGCATTTCCGACCATCACGATTCAAACGAAAGTAGCTACCAGCTGCATCCTTCAACAATTGATTTCTGCCTACAGTTACAGATTGTTGCTGCAGCAGAGGGACTCCCGTACCGTATCAACAATATTTGCATGCCAACCTACATTGAAGAGATGTATGTTGGACAGGCTTCATCAGAGATGCGTGTCGCAGGTCAGGCCAATTCCTCCTCCAGGGGAACCATACGCGGTTCAGCAACAGCCACTTCAGATGACTTATTGGCGTTGTCGATCACAAACGCGCGCTTTAGCGTCCTTGATGATAGCGGTGTGGGCCAAGACAAGGATACGGTGGCCGCGGCTCAGCTGCAGTGGAAGCCTGATGTAGACTTTGTCTCTCTAAGCGATCTCATCCGTCCCCGCAAGTGTCTTCGGGAAGTACTGTCAAAGCTTGAGAGGCTCACTCTACTGTCCATGGTTAAGACTCTTCAGCTCGTCGAAGGTATCCAGATCACCGGCCATCTTTACAGGTTCCGCTATTGGCTGGCATCCCAGCGCACAAGAGCCGCCCAAGGCGAGTATCGTCATGTCGATGACGCCGAGGCATTGGCCTGCCTTACTGAGCCGCAACTTTCAGCCGAGATTGAGTCCGCAACGGAAGACGTACGTAAAACTGGAGGTTTTGAGGTAGCGGAACTGATCCTAAGAGCCATGTCGAACGCCCCAAATATTTTCAACGGCAAGGTCAAACCGATCGAGGTTCTGATGGCGAATGACGGCCTTGGGAATATTTACAGGTTCATTCAATCCCTCTGCGATGGCACGCCTTTATATGAACTCTTGAGCCATGCAAACCCAGCTATGAAAGTACTGGAGATTGGCGCAGGGACCGGTGGTACAACGGCAGAGATCCTCCGCGGCTTCACCAGTGATACCGGGGAGCGTATGTATGCGCAATACGATTTTACGGATATCTCGACTGGCTTTTTCGCCGCGGCGCAAGAAAGATTCAAGGAGCATGACGGCATTGAATGCAAGGTGCTGGACATTAGCAAAGACCCAATTGCGCAGGGCTTCGAGGCCGAATCTTATGACTTTATCGTTGCATCTAATGTAGGTAACAACGAAGTCTCATAAAAAAGACTTGACTGACGTGATTTAGGTTCTTCATGCCACACCAAGTATTCAAGCAACACTGCGAAACGTGCGGAAGCTGATTAAGCCGGGTGGTAAACTGTTTCTCCAAGAGTTGAGTCCAGGTGAGATTAAGCATTATGAGTGTTCTCTGATGGGTATCTGTGCTAATCATTACTAGAATGGCGTATGATCAATTATATCATGGTATGACTAATTTTCGATGAATTGGACCATATTATACTAACAGATACAAGGGGTTTCTTTCTGGCTGGTGGCTTGGAGTATCAGACGAGCGACTCGATGAACCGTACATCTCCCCGACCCGATGGGACTCGGAATTGAGAGAAGCTGGTTTTTCGGGTACAGATGCCGTGGTTTACGACGATGAGACTCCTTACCAAATCAACGCCAACATCATCTCCTCGACGGTTATTTCGAACATCTCGCCCGGTGAAGTTAGCATTCTTGTGGAGTCTTCCAATGGCCCGGCTAGCCTCCTACAAGATGCTCTGACCAAAAGAGGCTACAATGTGTCCCTGTCGTCTCTCGACGAGCTTCCCGACGATGACGTGGATGTCATCTCGCTGCTGGATCTGGAGTCGCCCTACTTCCATGACATCTCAGATGAGAGGCTGAAGAAGCTACAGACTTACTTGGCTACGTTGCCTCCGGACACTAGCGTTTTATGGGTAACCGGGCACTCCCAAGTGGGATGTGATGATCCGCGGTACGCTGCCAGTATCGGAGCAATCCGTACTATTCGGTCGGAACTTTCTTTGGACGTGGCGACATTGGAGTTGGACGTCCGAGAGGACCTTGACGTTGGAAAGGTTGCCGATGTTTTCCACAAAATACGGCGCCAGTCGTCTGTTTCGAGCTTGGATCCCGACCGAGAGTTTGCAGTGCTCGGAGACAAAATCATTATCCCACGTTACAACTGGATAAACGTACGAGAACAGAGCGCCGACAGTAAGAAAGAATGGGTACGAAAGCTAGAGACTGGTCGTGTCGGACAAATTCGGAGTCTGAGATGGGTTACCAAGTGCCCCGAGGCTTTGGCGGATCACGAGATTGAAATCGAGCCGCGAGCAGTTGGGTTGAACCTCAAGGTAATTTTCCACGGTTGTAGCACTGAGTGGATGGTTAGTAACTTTGATTAGGACATTTTGTTGTCCACAGGGGCAATCGAGGCGACCACGTCTGACCTTGGTCAGGAATGCGCCGGCATCGTGCGTAAGATCGGGTCCGCTGTTGACGATGTCAAAATTGGCGACCGTGTCATGGCACTTCATCACGGTAGTTTTGCATCTCGGGTTGTTTGTTCGATGAACGAGGTTGTCGCCGTGCCCGAGACGCTCTCCTTCGAAGAGGCTGCAACTGTGCCTTATGTTTACTCAACGGCGATATACTCGTTGATCACTGTCGGAGGCTTGGAAAGAGATCAGGTGGGCTTATTGAAAACCATATGCAAAGGTCTGGCCCTAACTAATGCTCTCAGTCTGTCTTGATTCACTCAGCATGTGGCGGCGTCGGAATTGCAGCCATGCACATAAGCAAATTGATCGGTGCCAAGGTAATTAAAACTTACTTAAAATAGAAAGCTTCTTGCATGATGCTAATGTTGCAACTGCAGATATTTGCCACGGTCGGAAGTCCCGAGAAGGCCCAGTTTCTAGTCAAGAACTTTGGCATACCCCAGAGTCACATCTTCAGCTCCAGAGACTCGTCCTTTTACTCGGGCATCATGGCTGCAACTAATGGCTCAGGTGTTGATTTGGTTTTGAACTCCCTAGCAGGGGAGCTCCTCCACCTGTCGTGGAAGTGTGTTGCAAAGTTTGGCAAATTGCTGGAGCTGGGCAAGCAAGACTTTGCAGGCCATGGCCAACTCGGAATGGACAACTTCGAGGCGAACCGGACATTTTGTGGCATTGATATATCGCAGTTGGCTCTCGAGAGACCAAAGGTTCTCAAGAAGTCTGTGGCCCCATTGACAAACATAACACGAAATCTTGAATGTGCTAACATATTACAGGCTACTTGAACGTTGCACGAGCCTCCTCGACAGCGGCAGGATAAAGCCCATCAACCCAGTCACCGCGTTTAAAGCCACAGATATAATCGAGAGTTTTAAATATCTACAGGCGGGAAGTCACATCGGAAAGGTGGCCGTCTCAATGCCCGATAAATTCAGCGAACTTCCCGTAGCGCCCGTCACATCCAAGGCTCAGTTCAAACCTGATGCTTCGTATCTCCTGGTCGGCGGTCTTGGTGGACTGGGTCGCACCATTTCAACGTGGATGGTGGATAACGGCGCTCGCCATATCATCTATCTCTCCAGGTCGGCGGGACAGTCGAATCGAGACAAGACATTTATTCACGAGCTGGAATCACAAGGTTGCGCAGTGCAGTGCGTTGCAGGAAGAGTCGAAGACCCCGAGGCTGTGACGAGGGCGGTCAACAACGCAGCTAAGCCAATATCTGGAGTGCTCCATATGTCTCTAGTGCTAAGGGTATGCCAGGTATCCCTTCTCATGATCTTGATTTTAACAAAAACTAACCTTTCTCGTGATGTAGGATCGCAATATTCTAAACTACTCTCACGAGGACTGGCACGCGGCGGTCAAGCCAAAAGTAGACGGCGCATGGAATCTGCACCATGCGCTCGCCAACACGAAGCTGGACTTCTTCGTCCTATTCAGCTCGATCTCATACGTCGTCGGACAGTCAGGTCAAGCAAACTATGCTGCCGCGAACGGGTTCCTCGCTGCGTTCGCCCAGTACCGCCACGCGCAGGGCCTGCCGGCGTCTGTCATGGACATCGGGATGGTGGAGGACGCCGGATATCTTTCCGAGAACGCTGCCATTCTCGAACAGTTCAAGGCACTTAACTACCACACACTGAGGGAAGCTGATCTTCTGCAAGCTCTGACATACTCTATAAGCCGCCAGGGACTACAACCACTATCGACTTCAAACGGAAACTGGGTGAACTCTGCTGAGATCGCTGTAGGTCTGGGTAGCACCAAAGCCTTCCAAGACCCCAGCAACCGCATCCCATGGAGGAGGGACGCTCGAATGGGTGTGGCCCACGTCAAAGGCTCGGCGAGGGCGGCGCAGGCAGAGCCAGAAAGCCAAGGCCTGGCACAGTTTCTAGGCAAGCTCGCTGCCGACCCATCTGCATTAGATGCGACGGAGAGTCGAGATTTCTTGACGGCCCGGATCGGCGACACTATTTATGGGATGATGATGAAGAACAAGGATGAAGTCAACGTGAACTTGCCCTTGGCTGCCCTTGGCGTCGATTCACTTGTCGCCATTGAGATACGAGACTGGTGGCAGCGCACCTTTGGTCTACATGTCAACGTGCTGGAAATCATGGGCGCGAGTGGAATTCGAATGCTGGGACACATGGCGGTGGACGGCCTGAAAAGGGTTCGGCTGCAGCGTGATGGGTCAGGACGTAGCTAAGTAGTTGGAATCCTTGATAGATTTTCTTGTCTAGTTGTTATTACGGAATGTTGGTTGGCGGCGTCAGGCGCGGCATGCTGTAACTTTAGTTTCTTAATTTTCCTGAGCTTTTCTGTGGTATGAAATGAGAATGCTGATTAAGAAGGCTTTATTCACTACATGTGAACGCAGCGTGATAGATTTAGACTTCCAAGTTTCTAGAAGTGACTCGCTATCTAGCAGTATCGCCTCAATATAAAATAGGAATGTCTGAGTTCTTCTTTGTGCCATGCTAGGCCTGTGAAGGACATGCTACATATATGTACTTGTAGTGAATTGGATATGCCACTTATGCTCAAATGCTAGGGCAGCCAAGCCCAACAGATTCAAGGAAAAAATCGTTCATTTCACATACAATCACATATAAAATGCTGGAGCTTTGCTTCTGGGAAGATCTTGTTGTTATCGTGGACATGATCACTGTTCCTATATTGCCACTGAGAAATAACAGCAAAAGATGAAAGTGGACCCATGATATTTTTCTTATAATACTCCCCGGAGCTTTATAGTTTCAGAGAGGAGATTCAACAGCAAGGTAAGGATTGATTAAGTCGTCCCCTTGGCCTGCCATTACGGGCGTACGAGTTAGAGGCACTCGGGTTTGAATGTGCTTGTTACAGATGTACCATTACCCTCACGTACTCCGTTTGTTTCATCAGAAGAATTGAAACAACGAAAGCTAATTGATCGAATGCCATTTGACAATCATCACTGACAGGGATGTCTTGGTGAAAATGTCTCTTCGCACGATAGTCAGCCGAAAGCGAACTTCCCCCGACAGTAAACATGACTAACATACTCGACGAGTGTCAACACTTTAAGTCGTTTTTCAAATTCTCCCCGCCATCAATAAGGTCAACAGCCACTACTCCGACGTGTAGGTCTAAGCTCCCGAACAATTGCTACCTTGTGCAGTCAGGAATTTCCTTTTAAACTGCATGGAGTTAATTTTAAGGTTTGGATCGAAAGTGTGCAGTGAGATGAGGGGGATCTACTTGGACCGTGAAGCTTTTTAGCCCCTGACTTTAGCAGGAGTATCCAGGTAACATTCCATGGAATACTTTGGGTCTCAAACAACTATGGCCAAAGTTTAGAGGACTTTTGCGTTGCTGTAGGTTAGTCGACATCTCTGGACTTCATGACTGTGTCATGTGTAACTACATCCTACTCTTTGATTATTAATTATGGCATTTCTGTGTTCTCCATTTTTGATCTAGGCAAAGTCTCGTGGGAATGATTATTGTTCACCGAGCAATACTTCCATGTCAAACAACATAGCCGCTTGCAAACTTCTAGCATGCTGTACAAGCTAACTCAAGACATTATACGCCTCTCAGAATCTGTAAACACCATCCTAACTGAGTATATAGAAGCCGCACAGCATTTGGGTGGGACAATTTACTGGGTTCAGAGGAGAAATAAGCATATCACGTAGACTTTTGCAACAACCAGTTACTGCCCATTTCTAACGTTCCTGAACCATTGCCAGACACCATTAGACATGTAACAGCCAATGAGGTGGCTCTTCGGTTGGATTGATTGGGACTCTGCTACATCCTTCCCCTTCCCCACGCTGTTTCATCTGTTCTAGCCAACCTTATCAACTAACTTTGATATAAGCGGAACGCGGTGTGGTCGCTTAGGAACTGTAAACTCTAGCGAAGTACTCGACGAACCTTATGACATGGTTCGGTAACGGAATAGATATTAATGGGGGGGCTTATAACGTCAGTCTTTTGATGAATTAGTGAGCTCAACGTTGGCAGTCGTCAGATACTGTTAATATTGCTCGGCAAGTAATCGGGTCAGGATGGACAGCCAAACACCACTACGAACCTACATGAAGGTGTTCGCGGCCGTTAGTTTTGTCACGGCCGCGATAACTCCAAAGCCCGTTGGACCTGCTCATCTCGATCTGCCACCAACGCTGCAAGCAACTGCAATTACATGGACAGCCTGCCCGACGGACGTTAAGCCATTCAAAGGAAACAACGACACCCAAGCCGTCCAATGCGCGAACTTCTCGGTGCCCATAAACTATAACGATGCCAATGGCGCCAGTGTGAACCTAGGAATCGTGAAGTTTCCCGCAGCAGGTAAGCGCATTGGTAACCTATTTTTGAATCCGGGTGGGCCTGGTGGCTCAGCAGCAAACACGGTTCTCAGGGTAGCCTCGAAGAAGTTTTATATCAGTGATGCGATCCGCCAGAACTTTGACATTATTGGGATGGATCCTCGCGGAGTCGGTCTGAGTTCGCCGCAAAAATGCGACACCAATTTGCTCAACCAGCTTAGTGATTTTGATGCAACGACCCCTGAGGGCTTTGAAAAGTTATTCAACTACAACAAGGCGGTAGGGGAATCATGCCGAGCTCTGACTGGGCCCTTGTTCGATAATATGGATACAACACTAGTTGCTAGAGACTTGGAGGCCGTCCGAGTTGGTAAGTTTTGGAATGATAAAATCCTCTAAAGAACATCCTGGCTAAACAGGCCCGCAGCTGCTGGAAACGAGCCGATGAACTACCTTGGCTTCTCATATGGTACTCAATTAGGGGCTCAATATGCTGCCCTTTTTCCAACCGCGATACGGGCAATGGCGCTTGACGGGATCCTCCACCACGCTGGTACTTCTGCAACGAATATTGTCACGGAGGCTGCGTCTCTCGACTCAACGATACAAGCCTTTTTCAGGTTCTGTGAAGCTAATTCCTCCAATTGTGGTGAGGGCGGGCAAGACATCAGACAAACTTGGAACAAGGTCATCGAAGTCGCCAAGGCTGGCAAGCTTAAGGCCGCAGAATGTGACGGAACACCCAAGACGTTATGCCTCACAGATGCCACGGTGTCCGATGTCATAGGTACCACTCGCTCGGTTTTGGGAAATCCGATTGACAGAAAGGATTTAGCCGAGCAGCTCCGTCTTGCAATGGCAGGCAACGGCTCGCTCTTGACTGCTGAGTTACTCTCCGGCGATCCGTTTACAGATTCCAGTGTCGTGGCAATCACAAACGTCCTTTGCCAGGACGGAACATTCTTCGCAGCAAAGGACCATACTGAGGTGCAGTTGGTGGCAGATATGACGCGAACCTTTACTGTGACACCTGGGGTGGGAGAGTTCTGGAAGCGAGTTATCGATTGTACTGGGTACCCTGTAAAGATCTCCAACCCTCCAGCAGCCCTAAGCATCAAGGGCATGCAAAACCCCGCCTTGTTGGTGCAATCTCGGTTCGATCCAGCTACCAGTATTGTTTTCGCTGCCGGTATGGCTAGGGAGTTCCAGAATGCGACGATGGTTCTGAGAGAAGGATCCGGGCATACAAGTTATAAACTTGGGGGCGACGCTTCAAGAGTGATTGACGACTACTTGATTAACCTGAAGGTACCACCGCCTGGCACCGTTGTACAGAGTTAGACGGTGGGAAACTATGAATTCAATTGAGACACTTGACAAAGTCGATGAGCTCACGGAGATTTAAATTTAAATGGTTTGTCAGCCGGGCCTCTAAGTTATACTTGTCAGTAAGGCTGTAGTATGAACTTCCTAGTCTCCAGCCAGACTGCCTGATATGAAGAGTTTGTGACATGCCTTGAGTAGAGGAATAATTTGAGTAGATGTTAAGGAAATTATATAACGATCGAATATTGTTGTGGACAGACATGATGCAAAAGAAAAAAAGAATTCGGACTTAATTCTTTCCAATTACAGCCTTAGTGTTGTAAACTTAGCAGTAGCATACAGGCTTAGTCCATAACCCCAATTTGGAGCAATAAGAAGACTAATTCACTGTCGCAGGACATGCAACGCTCTAGAACGCTCTAGGAAACCACCAAACGTCTAGGTAACGGGATACAATTCTTTGCAAATCATACACTTAAAGCATTACGAATAGGGGATAGAATCACTATAATTCTGCGTAGGCGTCCGCCCACTTCTCTGACCGGTTTTTACAAACATCTGCTTCGACCTTTATGTTATTCTTCCATGTTTGCGTCGAGTGATTCATTTTTAAACCGAGGTGGAAAACAATAAAACAATACTTCTAGTCATAATCTTTGGCAGCAAGAAGCATTGTTTCCAATCTCTGGGGCACAGCAAATGAGTGATTTACGTAAATATGAGGAGGCAATAGAACCACACTTCATATGCAAATTCACCTTACTATAAATCTCATGAATTCTAATTAACGGTGGGTGTCTGGATTTAAACGAAGCTGACAGAATGGGTTAAAGCTTATATAAGCCGGCAGAGTGCCAATAATTAGTGTTTCGATCGTATTGGTTGGTGCCTTGCGCCATTTCTTTGCAACAATTTGCTGCCTAAAACAACTGTGGCATCACGCCTGATGTTTCAACTGCTTTGCCTGGGCTCATTGAATACTAGCTCTGGCCTTTGGCGTTGTTCAAGCTTCTGAAGATATCATCTAAAAGATGTCTCAATGGCATGCCGATACCTGCCGAAACCCTAGGGTCATTGTGGGAGATGCAGGGGTTCCTTCTTGCGAACATTGCGGTAGATCAGCTCAGGAAATATTGAATGCTTTTCGCGCCGACAAAGAAACTCTCCCACTACCACCGGTTCCGCCGGATGAGCCCCCTGGACAGTTGAATCTTTGGTGGCCTCCTTCTGTAACATATACATCAGCTTCTGGCTCTGGCAACGAGAGAGAGACAGACTCTGAAAGTCTGGAAGCCGAAACCCTAACTGAAGAGACATTGTCGAAACCATTAGAAAACCAGGTTCCTTGCCAGACAAACCTCATATATGAGAAGGCACTTGCATCAGATGAAATTCGCTTGGCCCGACTTGACTCGACAAGAACTGCGTCACATTTGCAACCTGTTCATATATCGTTCGAGATTTTCAACGACAAGCGTCATCCCGACTATGAAACTGTTTCGTATACTTGGGGAGGTGAAGAAAACAACTACACACAGTAAGTGAGCAATCAAACAACACAAACTGAGGCTGGTAAGCAGAGGAGGAGGAGAGGGAGAGAAAGGACGCTAACTTCATTGGCTGAAAGAAGCCATCCCATTTATGTAGGTGACTATTGGGACATAATCTACACTACTCGGAACTGCTGGGCTATGTTGCGATATCTTCGCCCGCACCGCGATACTCGGTTAATTTGGGTCGATGTCGTATGCATCAACCAAAGCGACATGCAGGAAAGATCGAGGCAAGTTTCTAAAATGGGACAGATCTATACTCGGTGCAACCAGGTAGTGCTCTGGCTCGGGGACGATGTTGTGAGTGACGATTACGAATCACTACCTTCGCGACATCCTCTCCATGAGATAGACTTGGCATCTTCACAGTCTCGGGTGCCGATGGCCTCTCAAGAGACAAGTTTTGAACAACGTTCTGCTTTTACTGTGCTAGAAAAGCTTTTTCTAAGAAGATACTTCACCCGTGTTTGGGTTATCCAAGAGCTAGTGCTGTCCCCACGCATCCTTGTTCCCTTTGAGGACAAGGTGTTTTGGGCAGACCCCTTCACTTCTGCTAGGATTGAAGGGGCTCTCAACAAAGCGAAAACGGAGAAGAAATGGTCTTGGAACAATACAGCAGCGCCCTGGCTCCGGTTGATGGCCCAGGGACTGTCACACGGCCAATCCTGGTCCAATGTCATGACGCTCACATCAAAATCGAGATCCTCTGACTCTCGAGATGGCCTTTATGGCATATTGGGTCTTTTTCCAGAGGGGCCTGATGGTATGCGATTGGTCCCCGACTATTCTATCTCGTATCAACATATGATGATGGGTGCTATGGCTCATGAGCTTATTAATGGAGGCAATACTGGTTTTCTCTTCGCTGCGAGAGGCATTTCACCGCCCCGAAAGGGAATATCAACGTTGCCATCCTGGCTACCACCTTGGGATAATTGGAACGAGGCAGAGAGAAAACTATTGCGATCACCACTTCCTGTTAGCCACCAGGGTAAGGCAATCGATGAAAAGAAGATAGTATTGCTATCGGAAGAGCAAGCCGAGTTCAGTGGAGAGAATTTTGGTTATTTTCGCTTTGGCCCAGTTTCGCCAGGGTGCGACAGAAAACATTGGAATGATCATGCCACGATCGACCGCAACACGGGGAGTCTCTCACTTTGCGCGATCAAACTAGTCACCATTAGATCGGCGTTTCGGAAGGATTCGGCGAAATATCTTCCGCAGCCTTCATATAAAGCCAAGCTGAAGGGCATTGGAAGCGTCTATGTGACAAGTGAACACGACCTTACGTCAGTGGCGAAGGAAGGTGACGAGATTTTTAGTCTCTATCCCGCCTTTACCAAAGGCAATGAAGAACCAGAATGTTCCGTGTATTTGCTCCTCCGCAGGATCTCACAACAACAGTTTAAGCTGGTCGCTGGGTTGTCATATTTGTATTTCTCCTGTGGGAATTTGGAAGTCTTCAGAGAACTACCTTTCCAAGGCGTCCGGGAAAGCCTAAGTCAAAGCATTTCCGTTCTTAAGCAAGTATGGAACCTGCCGTTACATACCTTTGATGAAGGTTTGAAATCAGAAAGGTCCTTTGGTCGAATCATAGAAAAAGCTTTCCCTGGAAATGATGGTGTCCCTTTCCATTTCATCGTGCCCATCATATTAGGATATGAGGGCTTCGGCAAGCTTCACCAGAATCCAGTCGCCCGTAAGTTGCAACCAAGGGTGGTTAACGACTATCTCGAACTTACCTTCGGTTCCGATGACTGGACCACATTCAAGAGCACATATTCAAGGAAGAAGCCACTTTACTACCCTCATCGACCTAACACTGGTTGCCTGTACTGGGAACAGGAAACTTTGAAGATCAAACCCCAAGACGAAGCTGCTAGCAGCGGCCAGCAGGAAGAGTTTAAATCAGGTGTTAAAGTTCGACTGCTTTTGGAACATGTCAATAAACTCTTCCGTATGATTGACGACCATTTGAGGATCAGCGGGATATGGGAGTCGATTAATGTGACAAATCCCAGGGGCTCGTGGGAAGAACTACTTCAAGCTGATGCGCTTTTTGGAGATGATATCGGCACTGTTGAAGTAAGAGGCGAGTATGCTGAAATGTTCGGTATCTGCGGGTTAAGTGGTGTTGAATCTCGAATTGAGATTCTGTAGTTGGGGTCTGTTGGCAGGAGGTTCAAACCCCCTGATGGCAAGCGATTTTCTTTCATTTTTGTAGTAATTTACGGTTCAGACAAATAGCTATGGTATTCTTCTTTTCAATTCAGTTAATTTGTCCATCCCCTCTGTGACAGACCAAATGTCGTTGCCAGTTTCATTTCAAATACATACCTTGAAGAATTCTTTTTAGGTTAGCGCAATTGGACTGAACAATACTTTTGAGGGTTAAGAATGAGACTCAACATAGTCTATGTTAACGACTATATGAGAAAGTGAATTTACGAGATCGTATTTATCAGAGCGACCTCGCACAGTCCATAATTGATCCAATACAACATCTCGCGCAATCTACCGCAGCTTAGTACAAGCTGATAGAATATCCAGCTTCAGTCTCCACTATTACTTCACTCCCGCTCGAATAGCCATTCAGTACGTACAAATGTTAAAGCTGATCTGGGGCCTGTCACCCAGACGAAGATCTTGCCCGTAAATGAACCCGCTTAGCTTTTAGATGCATTCAATCGCTAAATCCGTAGCCTATGTAAGGGGCAAGGAGCTGCACAAGGCAGAAGCATCTGGTGACCCTTTAAGCCTTACAGGTCAGACAATCTCATCAGCAGCATGCACGCTATAAGGACCGATTGGGAAAACTAGACAAATGTAGGCATCGGCACTTGCAGATTGATTCCCTAAAGAGTTCTTGTCGATAATTTTTGGATGCAGTAGGATTCAGCCTTCTGTTTCTTCAAGTGTGGATGAAGCGATGCAACATTGTATGTACATATCTGCCTGAAAATGGGATGGCATGCCAAGGATGGGGTGGCGGAGGTGAGAAACACACTGCCTGATAGTTGCATCGAACAAGCTGTGAGACAAATATTACTAAAATATCTCCCAAGCGTGGCGTTTTTCGTCCTTCAGCCTTAATTTGACTGACGTTTGGCTGACTATCCGGCTTACTGTCCGCAGCGCTAAACCGAATCGGATCATAACCCCTCCGACCCTTCGGGCCGCCGCCGACCTGCAGGTCCCACTCCTCCGTTCCTGATCCGTTCCAGTTGTGTGGGAGAGCCGTAAGTATCTGTCAGCCTCGGGATGCGCTCCGAATGGCACCAGGCATGCGCTTTGTTCTCATTGGACATGTCGATAGCTGAAGGTAGAACAGGAATAGGCTGGACATGGGGATAACGAAAATAGACTCAAAGTGTTCAGGGTGGGAGACAATTTGGGGGGGATCTTTAGAGTCTAAGATGCTAGTGAGAATGTGAGCGAATTCACAGTCTGACAATGACTTACAGTAGGCGTATTACTACGAGCTGATCCACAACTTGCCACAATTCAGCCTTGTTTGAGAGGTGCCTGAAAGCTACGCCACATCGTGATTATAGTTTCTAGGTAGACTTAGTAGAGCCCATATCCATGAATTTGTTCTTGTTTCGTCGTCTCTGAGAAGCAACCTTTCCGATATCGCGGTTCTTTCACTTGCGATACCAAGCTGTTAACGGTTCAACATCACCGATAGAAACATTCTACTCCGGATAGAGAAAAAGGAATAAAACAACAATACTCCACGAACGACATCACCACGAACGATTCGTGACCATCGAAACTACACAAAACAAAATACGAGATAATAATTCACCAAAATGAGACTTGTTTCGCCGCTCGTAATTGAGCAGCAGCTGGTTGGGGACGATGCCATAGAGCAGGTCCGAGTTCTTCAGGTTCCTGCAACCGGCGGAGCTGAGGCTCAACTAGCTGTTGCTGTCTCTTTGGCGAAGTCCAAGATTGGCGACGAAACGGAGGTTGCCGTCGTCAAGCGTGTCCGCAGAGACTTGGTTAAGAGGATGAAGGTAGCGGCGAACGGAGACTGGGTCGGCAAAAACGCCGTCCCGAAGAAGTGGATTATTCTCAAGGAGCTTCCCGTGGATGCGTACGGCGAAGTTGATAACGACGCCCTACGAAAACAGTTGACTGCTGCACCAGCTGTAGGTGCGCCCTTGACCGTGAAGCAGAAATTGAAGCGTGCCATCGCCAAGACGCTGCGTCTGCCTCTCTCCGACATTGCCCCCTCGGCCTCTTTTATCCGTCTTGGAGGCGACTCCGTCAGCGCCATCGAAGTGATGGCTCGCGCCCTTGAAGACCAGGTCATCGTACGCGTATCCGACCTTCTGCGCTGCGAGACCTTTGACGAGCTTGCGGCTACGGCCACCGCTGGAGACTCTGCTGCTACCGGCAGCACCACCGAAACACGCCCCTTTGCCCACATTACCGAGCTCGATCGTGTGGCCTTCTTGTCGAGCGCTCGTGCCCAGTGTCATCTGGCCAATGACGCCATCATCGAGGACGCTTACCCTCTGACTAAGCTCCAGGAGGGATTCATGGCCCTCGCAGCAAGGCAACCGGGCTCATACATCAGCAAATACGCCTTTCCTCTTCCCAGATACATTGACGCAGACCGCTTCCGAAGATCCTGGGAAAAGACTCTTGCACTATGTGGAAGCCTACGCACAAGAATGGTCTTCTTCGGGGATTCTTCCTACCAGATCGTTGTTGATGAACCAGTCCACTGGGACGAGACCTTGGGTTCCGATGTGGCATCGGCTGTTAATGCGATGAACAGTGTAGAGATGACATACGGCTCGCAGCTATGCCGTTACGGATTAGTAAAGGGCCCTGATGATCAGGACTACTTTATCTGGCTTATTCACCATTCTATTTACGATGGCTGGACGATGCGCCTCGTTATTGAAACCGTCCACCGTCTGTACTATGGGGCTGACATCCCACCCATAGCTCCGTATTCGGGACTTATCAGCTATGTGAAGAATCTTAACCGCGATGCCGGCGCTGCCTACTGGAAGGCCCAACTTGAAGACGCAAAAAGGCCGACGTTCCCACTCGTCCCATCCGATTTGGCAGCCACCTCGACATCTGATGGGGACGCTGAGACAGTAACAAGACTCGAGAATCACATGATTCTTATCGGAGAGTCAGCCGGAGCGACATTTACCAGGGCGACAATTCTGCGCGCCGCGTGGGCATTGTTGCTTGCGCGATACTGCGACTCTGATGACGTCTGTTTTGGCACCACGGTCTCGGGTCGTCAGGTACCTGTTCGGGGTGCCCAAAGAATCGCCGGACCGTTGATTGCCAGTGTCCCTATTCGTATTCGTCTCGATCGCCAGCAGTCCGTGGCAGCATTCCTCCAAGGCGTCCAAGATCAAGCAAACGAGATGACCGCTCACGAGCAATACGGCTTGCAGAGCATTGCGAAGCTTAGCCCCGAGGCGCAGGATGCTTGCGACTTTTCAAGCTTGATTGTCATCCAGCCAGACAAGATTCTGGGCTACCCGGATGTTGACGGCCTTAGAGTCTTGCTTCCTCTTAGCGATGCGCATTTCGGTCCCGACCAGATGCTTGAGGGGTACTACAACTACCCCCTCGTGCTTCAGGTGCATGTTTTCGAGCACCAGGTGGAACTCTCTGTGACCTATGACTCGCGAGTTCTTTCTCAATCTCAAGTACAGGCTTTGTGTTACCAATACGACCACATTGTCCAACAGCTGCTCAACCCCACTACAGATACCGCACTTGGAGACATCTCTCTAGCCGGGCCTTGGGATCTGCAGCAAGCACTTGAGTGGAACAGCGATGAGGAACCAGAGATTGTTTCCGCCTGTGTTCATGAACTTGTCGCAGAACAAGCACAGATCCGACCAGATGCCCCAGCAATAGCCGCTTGGGACGGCGAACTGTCATATCGCCAGCTAGATGAAGCATCATCCAGGCTTGCTCTCTACCTACTTGATACGTTCGGCCTCGTAGAGGATAGCCTCGTACACGTCTGCTTTGAAAAGTCGGTCTGGTTTTTCGTTTCCATACTGGCTATCAACAAGGCCGGTTGTGCTTGGGTTCCCCTTGACCCTTCACACCCAGAACAGCGCCAACGACAGGTCATGAAACAGACCCAAGCAAAGCTCGCCTTGACATCGGCCAAACACAGAAGTATCTGTGCCGATGTCATGCCTCAAGTGCTCGTAGTCTCATTCAACTTGGATAGAGTGCTTCGGCGAGACACCTCCCTGCAATCCGCCAATCGCTCTCTTCCCAAAGTCAACCCCCATACGGCATCATACGTGCTCTTCACATCTGGAAGTACGGGAACGCCAAAGGGTTTGATGATTGAGCATGAATCTGTTTGCACCAGCCAAAGATGCATTGGCCAGAGAGTAGGCATAACTCCCAGTACGCGAATGTTGCAGTTTGCATCCTATGTCTTTGACGCTTGTATTGGTGAGGCAATCGGAACTCTTACAGCTGGTGGCTGCCTTTGCGTACCGTCTGATGATGTCCGGATGAACGATATCAGCAATTTCATGGGCCAGTACTCTGTTAACACCGCCCTGCTCACACCGTCATTTATCAGAACGCTCAAGCCCGCCGACGTGCCTAGCCTCAGGGTTCTGATGCTTGCCGGTGAGGCTGTTGGGCGGGATATCTTGGATACATGGCTTCAGCCTGGCAAGATCCGTCTCTTCAACGGTTGGGGACCAGCGGAAACCTGCGTTTTCAGCACCCTCCACGAGTGGCAATCTCTCAATGAATCTCCACGCACCGTTGGGAGACCTGTTGCCGGTTTCTGCTGGATCGTCGACCCCAAAGACCCTGAGCGCTTAGCACCTATTGGCTGCCTGGGCGAAGTGATTATTCAAGGTCCCACGATCCTCAGAGAGTATTTGGCTGACAAGGCTCGTACTGCCGAGAGTATCTCGCCATCGCCAAGCTGGGCCCCGAGACGTGAGATGCCACGCTGGAACCGCATCTACCGGTCAGGAGATTTGTGCTACTACAATCCCGACGGCACGATTGAGTTTTCCAGTCGCAAGGATACTCAGGTAAAGATACGCGGTCTGCGAGTTGAGCTCGGCGAGGTTGAGTTCAGCATCAGAGCCGCGCTTCAAGGTGCCGCCCAGGTTGTTGTGGACGTGTTCAAGACAGACGCCGGCGCCGTCAATCTTGCGGCGTACTTCTGCTTCACCAACGACACGTACACCACAAACAAGTCTGGCAGCAACTGCAATGACATGTTCCTCCCGCTCACGGAAGATCTGCAACGTCGCATAAACCATGTTATGGGGGAGCTTACGGTCAAGTTACCTCGCTACATGGTGCCCTCTATTTTCATACCCTGCCGCTATATGCCGGTTATCACCTCTACCAAGATCGATAGAAACATACTCAAAAAATACAGCGCAGCGTTGCCGAGGGAGGACCTGACCAAGTATTCCTTGCAGGGGAGCAAGAAGCGTGCCCCGGAGACTGCCATCGAGAAGCAGCTTCAGCAACTCTGGGCAGAGGTACTGAAGATTCCCGCCGATTCGATTGGTTTGGATGACAGCTTCCTACGTATTGGTGGCGATTCCATTGCCGCAATTCGTCTTGTTGCCGTAGCTCGGGACGCTGGGATGAAGCTGACGGTCAGAGATATCTTTGACGACCCCAGACTTTCTGGCATGGGTGAGAGAGCTTTGGCCGAGGTGGACGATGACTGGCACTCGGACAAGTCGGAGATCGCCCCATTCAGCCTTTTGCCTGAGCAATTGCAAAACGCGATGAATCTTGAAGGGCCAATGGATGGTCTCAATGAGTCTGCCATGGTCATCCGCAAGTCGTGTTCACTCTCAAGCAGCCAAGTCATTGAGGATACCTACCCTTGCACCAAACTTCAGGAGGGCTTCGCGGCACTCGGTATCAAGCAGCCGGGATCTTACATTGGTAAATATGTGTATAGACTCCCGGAATACGTCGATATTGCCAGGTTCAAAGAGTCTTGGGCCAGAACTGTCGCTCTTTGCGGAAACCTTCGGACTAGAATCACATTCGCAGCTGGGCCTTCAGTCCAGGTCGTTGTCAAAGACGAGTTTGCCTGGGATACGACGGAGGATTCAAACCTCGTCGATGCAATTAATTCCCTACAGAGCATCCAGATGACTGAAGGATCAAGACTGTGTCGGTATGGTTTGGCCAAAGACAACAAGGGCCGATTGTACTTTGTCCTGGCAATTCATCACTCAATCTACGATGGCTGGACCATGCGCCTGGTCATCAACGCTATCAACCGTATCTACAAGAACGACAGTTCCCCAGCTCTTACGCCATATACTCAGTTCATTAAATATGCGATCAACATGGACGAGGGAAGCAGTGCCAGCTACTGGAAGACGCAACTTGTAGACGCTAAACAGGCCACATTCCCACCCATTCCCAGAACCCTCCCATCATCCGCGGGTGCCCAGGTTACTCGTATTTTGAGAGAGACCATTCAGCTCGACCGCTCAGTCAACTCATCTTCTTCGGTAACCAAAGCGACACTCCTTCGTGCTGCTTGGGCGGTTCTCCTTGCGCGATGCTGCGATACAGACGATATTTGCTTCGGAACTTCAGTATCTGGACGGCAAGCACCGGTCCATGGCATCGAAGCCATGGCGGGACCTCTCGTAGCTACTGTCCCGGTCCGGGTACGCCTAGACCCAGCCAAGAAGGTTTCTGAGTTCCTTCAGGAAATGCAGAAGCAGTCTACCGATATGGCAGCCCACGAACAATACGGTCTCCAGAAAATCCTCAAGGTCAGCTCAGACGCCCGCGACGCCTGTGAGTTTTCCAGTTTGTTAGTCGTCCAGCCTGCACAGCTGGTCAAGTTCTCCGAGGACGATTCTCAGAAGCCCATTCTTGAAAATGTTAGCTCGGAGTACTTTGGCCAGGAAGAGCTTCTGGAAGGCTACTTTAACTATCCACTCGTGGTCCAGGGTCTCGTGCATGAGACATCCGTAGAGCTTATGCTAGTTTACGACTGCCGCAGCGTCCCCGAACCTCGAGCCGAGGCAATCTCCCGACAGCTCAACCACATTGTCCAGCAGATGAACAGGGAGCTTGGCGTTCTCGGTGACATCGCTACAGCTGGGCCATGGGATCTGGAGCAAGCAATTGCGTGGAACAACCATGATACCGCAGGGCATGCTGTCGTTCATGCCTGCGTCCATGACTTTGTTCAGCAGCACGCAACCAAGACTCCGGATGCCCTCGCTGTTAATGCGTGGGATATGCAACTTACCTATGCCCAGTTGAACAGCGCCGCCAACAGACTAGCACATCACCTTGTTAATGAATACGACGTCAAAGTGGACGAGTTTATCCATGTCTGCTTCGAAAAGACAGCCTGGTTCTTCGTTGCAATCCTGGCCATCAACAAAGCCGGTGGTGCTTGGGTTCCGTTGGAGCCCTCCCATCCCGAACAACGCCAGATGCAAGTTGCCAAACAGACTGGAGCCCGATTGGCCTTGGCGTCGCCTACCAATGCTGCCAAATGCCATTCTCTGGTTGACCAGGTCGTCGTAGTTTCTGCCGATCTGGATATGGTCTTGAGTGATGAACACAGCCTTGACCCGCCGAAGCGCAACATTTCCCCGAGCAACGCTGCTTACGTTCTGTTCACTTCGGGCAGTACGGGAGTACCGAAGGGTCTGGTGATGGAACATGAGTCTGTATGTACCAGCCAGATCGCCATTGGAAAGCGCGTCGGCTTGCACCCGGGCGCTCGGATGCTTCAGTTTGCCTCTTACGTCTTTGATGCCTGCATTGGCGAAGCCATTGGCTCTTTCATAGCCGGTGCTTGTATTTGTGTGCCGTCTGAAGAGATTCGGATGGACACTTTCCGCCTCACAGAGTTTATCCGAGAGACAGACGTCACCTGGGCGCTACTGACACCAGCCTTCATCCGTACACTGCGGCCCAGCGATGTCCCCAGCTTACAAGTCCTGATGCTTGCCGGTGAGGCGGTAGGACGAGACATCCTTGAGAGGTGGCATGGAAAGGTTCAGCGTTTGTTCAACGGCTGGGGCCCAGCCGAGACATGCGTGTTCAGCACACTTCACGAGTGGAAATCTCCTTCTGAGTCACCCTTGACTATCGGTCGGCCTGTTGGTGGCTTCTGCTGGATCGTAGATCCGAACGATAGCAGTAAGTTGGCGCCAACTGGCTGCATGGGCGAGATTGTCATTCAGGGTCCGACTGTCCTCCGTGAATATCTCTCCAGCCCCGAACAGACGGCAAAATTTGTTGTCAAGAATCTCCCCAAATGGGCCCCACGGCGCTCGCTCTCCCGGTGGAAGCGATTCTACAAATCGGGAGATTTGGGTTTCTACAACGCGGATGGAACCCTCGAGTTTGCCAGTCGTAAGGATACGCAAGTCAAGATCCGCGGCCTTCGTGTGGAACTGGGAGAAGTTGAGCAGCACATCCGAGACCTCCTCCAACCCGTCCAGCATGTCATTGTCGACGTCTATAGGGCGAATGGCGTGGCGAACCTTGTCGCATTCTTCAGCTTTGGAGGAGGATCATCGAAGTTTGAGCCCGGGGAGAGCGTCTTTATGGCACCAACACCCGTGTTCGAAGAACGTATGACGGCTTTGCTCGGGCAGCTCAGCATCCGCCTCCCTCGTTACATGGTTCCCACCCTATTCATCCCCTGCCGATACATGCCAACCATTACATCGACCAAGGTCGACAGGAAGAAGTTACTCCAGCTAAGTGCCACTCTCACCCAGGAAGAGCTAACAGCGTATTCACTTAGCAACAGCAAGAAAAACCCACCACAGACCCCCAATGAGATCTGCCTCCAGGGTATCTGGGCCCAGATCCTCAAGGTTGACGCTGATTCCATTGGTCGCGATGACAGCTTCTTGCGTATTGGAGGCGACTCCATTGCGGCCATCCGGCTGGTGTCTCTAGCCCGTGAGGCAGGCCTTGAACTCAAAGTCCAGGATGTTTTTGATGACCCTCGCCTGAGTGCTGTCAGTAAGAGGGCCATCACTTTGGAAGAGCATGATGACGGCGGTGTCAACCCCATCGCCCCTTTCAGCCTTCTCGATGAGCCCTCTAGATCTATCATCACGGCCCAGGAAGATGCATCATTCCGCGCTCAGTGCGGTCTACCTAATGATGCCGTCATTCAAGACGCTTACCCCTGCTCTAAGCTCCAGGAGGGTCTCATTGCTCTCTCCGAGAAAGATCCTGGCACGTACATCGGAAGACACGTCTATAGACTTCCCAAATCTGTGGATTTGGCGCGTTTCAAAGGGGCATGGGAGAAGACACTGTCCCTTTGCGGCAATCTCCGAACCCGCATAGTCTTCTGCGAGAACAAGCATATCCAGCTTGTGATCGAGAATGATACAGAATGGGATGCGTTTGCGGACCATGATATCGACAGCGTCATTCGTCTTTCGAAATCTGCAAAGATGTCTTACGGATCGAAGTTATGCCGCTATTCTCTCGCCAAAGCAGATGACGGCAGCCATTACTTTTTCTGGACGTTCCATCACGCCATCAACGATGGATGGACTATGCGCCTGGTTATTGACTCTCTTCACGAGTCCTACCATGGGGCCAGCCCCCTAAGCCAACCACAGCCTCACTCCCACTTCATCGAATACGTGAAGAACATGGGTGAGGATGCTGCAGCGGTTAACTATTGGAGACAAGAGCTTGGAGGCGCTACCTGCGCTAGCTTTCCTCCCACAAAGACTATTAAATCGAAACACTCGAGCCGTTCTTTCAACAAAGTCATTGACCTTCCCGCATTCAGTACTTCCTCTTCTGTGACCAAGGCCACGATACTCCGGGCAGCATGGGCGATTCTCCTAGCTCGCTACAGCGATACTGACGATGTGTGCTTTGGGACAACCGTGTCTGGACGACAAGCCCCTGTCCGAAATGCGGAAACCATTACCGGTCCCCTGGTTGCTACTGTGCCTGTTAGAGTCCGACTCGACAAGAAGCAATCCGTGGCAGAGTACCTGCGCTCTGTTCAAAAACAGGCTTCTGACATGGTACCTTACGAGCAATTCGGACTCCAATCCATCTCAAAGCTGGGTAAAGAATTTGAGGCTGTGTGCAACTTTTCGAGTCTTTTCGCAGTGCAGCCGGCCCAACAACTTGCTGCCCCCGGTGACGGAGAGGATCCGCTTGTGGTATCCGCGAATGCCGACATCTATGGCTCGGACGAGCTTGTCCAAGGTTATTTTAACTATCCGCTTGTCGTTCAAGGCCTTGTTTACGGTGACCGGGTCGAACTGTCCCTCATATACGACACAGGTGTTCTCGGCGAATACCAGGTCCAAGCACTATCAAACCAGTTCAACCATATCGTAAGCCAGCTTCTCGGTGACGGTGCTGCCACTCTCGGTTCCGTGTCCGTGGCCGGACCGTGGGACCTTCACCAGGCCCTTTCCTGGAACACGGAGACGCCGGAACCAGTTCAGGATACCCTTCACGGCATGTTCCGCCGCCAGGCTGAGCGTTTCCCAGACAGGGAAGCCATTTACTCTTGGGATGGCAGTCTCTCCTACGCGGCCTTGGATGATGTCTCAACCCGCCTGGCCGCTCACATTATCGGCCTCGGCGTCCAGCTCAACACACCTATCCCGATATGCTTTGAGAAGTCCATGTGGGCTGTCGTTGCTATGCTGGGTATCCTCAAAGCAGGCTGCGCATTCGTGCCTCTTGACGGAACACATCCAATTGAGCGCCGCAAAGCAATCGTTGCGGATATAAACTCACCTATCGTGGTGGCGTCCGCGTCGATGGCAGCGTCAAATGTGACTCTTGGACCAAAGGTGGTGAGCGTGTCTCCCGAATTTATCGAAACACTGCCCGTTGCGAGGGACATTCATCCCCAGGCAGACAGTTCTCCGGAGATGGCATACATCATCTTCACATCGGGATCCACCGGTAAACCCAAGGGCATAGTCGTGGACCACAACGCCATCTGCACGAGCATATTGGCCCAAGGACGTGTTGCCGGGCTTGCAGACGGAAACGAGTGTCGATTCTTGCAGTTCGGAAACTACATTTTCGACGCTTGCATCACCGAGATATTCACATGTTTCGCGTTTGGAGGCACCACTTGCGTTCCGTCCGACGCACAACGTCTCCAAGATATCGCTGGCTTCATGACCGAGGCCCGTGTCACCATTACTGTGCTACCGCCCTCGTTCGTGTCGACTTTCAGCCCCGCCGATGTGCCAACCCTCAAAACACTATTGATTGGAGGTGAACCCGCAACCAGGGACGTTATTAAGACATGGCATGGCCATCTGAGGCTGATGAACGCCTACGGACCCGCGGAGACCTGCGTGTTTTGCACCCTGCATGAGTATCCCTCGCCGGATGCTTCGCCAGTAAACATTGGCCGGGGCTTCAGCAACCGCTGCTGGGTTGTCGAACCGGACAGCAACAGGTTGGCACCTATTGGATGCGTTGGAGAACTCATGGTAGAAGGAGATGCTCTAGCACGCGGGTATCTGAACGATGCGGCGCGTACAAAGGATGTGTTCTCTAATACCCTTGATCTGGCCTGGCTACCCCTTAGCCTTCGCGAGGCTTCTGATGGACGACGTTCCTATAGAACCGGTGACCTGGTGAGGCAGGAACCTGACGGTTCTTTGATATACGTCGGCCGAAAAGATATCCAGGTTAAGTTGAGAGGTCAGCGCATCGAACTCGCCGAAATCGAATACCATATCAAGGAGCTCTACCCCGACGTGTGCAATGTCGCAGCAGACGTTATTAAGCAAAGTTCAGGAGAACTTCTCGTTGCTTACCTGTCATTTGAGGATAACAAGTCAACCAAGGATTTGGACCAAAAGATTCTCTCCATCGACGGCGATCTGAAGGAGCGTCTCGCCAATCTATCGGAGGACTTGCGAGCAAGACTTCCTGGATACATGACTCCAGCACTCTTCATTCCCATCCGACAACTTCCAGTTTTCTTGGCCTCCATGAAGATCGACCGTAAGACGCTTCACGCTTTTGGCAGTAGCCTATCTCCTCGCCAATTGGCAGCTTTGTCCCTGGACGACCGAGTGAAAACCCAGCCTCGTACAGATATGGAGTTCCGTCTTCGCGATGTCTGGGCGCAGGTTCTAAACATTCAAGCCGGCGATATTGGCCTCAATGATAGCTTCCTTCGTATCGGAGGCGACTCGATCAGCGCCATCAAACTTGTTTCTCTCGCGCGGCAGTTCGGCATCGGACTAACAGCCGCGGCAATTTTCCAAGATTCAAGACTTTCGCACTTGGCCTCCGTTGCTACGTTGGAAGAAGAGGTTGTGAATGATTGTTCGCTGCCCTTTAGTTTGGTTCCTGCTGCAGACCGCTCAAGCATTGTATCTGAGGCATTGGTAGCCTGCAAAGTGTCCGATGAAGCCAACATTGAGGACATCTACCCTTGCACAAAGCTTCAAGAAGGTCTAATGGCACTTTCCGTGAAGCAACCCGGTTCCTACATGGCCACCTTCACATACCAGCTCCCAACCTTTGTCGATAAAGCCCGTTTCAAGCAGGCGTGGGAGGCAACTGTAGCATCTTGCGGCAACCTACGCACACGTGTTGTATTTGCAGCCGGGTCTTCTTATCAGGTTCTGCTCAAGGACGATGCAAGCTGGGACTCGGTAAAGGGCTACAGCACAATCTCTCATTGTGAAATGACATACGGTTCCAGACTCAGTCGCTATGCCCTCATGGAGAATAGCAGTGACAACACAACCCACTTTGTCTTGACCCTCCATCATGCCATCTACGACGGCTGGTCTTTCCAACTCCTCATGGAGACGCTGAAAAGCCATTACTATGGCAATTACATACCGGAGCTACCAGCCTACGTCGACTTTGTTCGCACTACGATCAAGCTCGATCAGGCGGCAAGTCGTGAGTTCTGGGAAGATCAGCTGCACGAGGCTAAGAAAGCAACATTCCCATCCCCATCCAACGCTCAGGTATTTGAAACTTTCACAAAATCACACACGGAGTGCCTTCGGAAGACTGTGAGCTTCCCTCGATCGACTGAGTCCAAGATAACAAAGGCGACCATTTTGCGCGCGGCGTGGGCGATGCTTTTAGCCCGCTACTCTGATTCTGATGACATCTGCTTCGCTACAACAGTGTCAGGTCGCCAGGCGGTTGTTGCAGGTATCGACAGGATGGCTGGACCGACTCTTGCGACTTTGCCCGTCCGTGTCCGGATTCAGGGTGAGCAGACGGTCCAGCAATATCTGAACGACGTGCAAGACCAAGCAGCAGCTACAATTGCACATGAACAATTCGGTCTGCAGGACATCTCAAAAATCAGCAATGACATCAAAGACGCCTGCGACTTCACCAGTCTCCTAGTCATCCAGCCCGGACAAGCCGTGAAGTTTGCCAACAATGACGGCAACTCGATCCTGATTGAGACCGAACAGCAGGATCTAGCGGCAGCTGGGGCGGCGGATGGACACTTTAACTACCCACTGGTGATGCAAGGGCAAATACTCGACGAAGAAGTGCAACTTCTTGCAGTATACGACTCATCTGTCCTCGCAGAGTCCCAGATCATTTTGCTTTGCGAAAGGTTCAACCATATTGCGCAACAGCTCATCGCACACCAGGACGAGACTCCCATCCGGGATATCACCATTGCTGGACCTAACGATCTGCAGCAGGCCATCGCATGGAATAGTGAGGAAACGGAGGTGGTTGATGCTTGTCTGCACAAACTCGTTGACAGGCAAGCTCGCTTAACGCCTAACGCACCCGCTGTCCATGGCTGGGACGCGACATTTACTTATGAGGAGCTGAATGGCGCGGCTAACCGGTTGGCTCATCATCTTGCGGCCTTCGGGGTACAACTGGACGAGTTTGTTCATGTGTACTTTGACAAGTCAGCATGGTATGTTGTAGCTATCCTCGCTATTAACAAAGCCGGAGGAACATGGGTTCCTCTTGATCCATCGCATCCCGAGGAGCGCCAGCGCCAGATCGTCTCACAAACTGGCGCAAGATTGGCTTTGACATCACCAGCCCATACGGCAACAGCTCGAAGGATGGTCAAGAGCGTCATCGAAGTCTCGCCTGCTCTAGACGAAAACCTCCTTAGATTTGCGCCGTCTTCCAACACCACCCTTTCAGCCCCAACCAACCTCGCGAGCCCAAGAAACGCAGCCTATGTGCTCTTCACATCAGGCAGCACAGGTGTTCCGAAGGGACTTATCATGGAACATGGATCTGTGTGTACGAGTCAGATTGCGATCGGAAAGAGGCTGCGAATCACTTCAGACGTGCGTATGCTCCAGTTTGCCTCGTATGTATTCGATCTATGCATTGGAGAGATTTTCTGCCCTCTGCTTCACGGCGCTTGCGTCTGCATCCCATCCGAGGAGTCCAAGATGGGCGACCTTGCCGGCTTTGTTCGTACCACGAATGCCAACTGGGCTATTTTGACGCCTTCTTTCGTGAGGACCATGCAACCAGACCAGTACCCTGGCCTGGAACTGCTAATCCTAGCCGGCGAAGCCGTTGGTCGCGATAATCTAGACACTTGGTTCGGAAAGGTGCGCCTTGTGAACGGCTGGGGACCTGCTGAGACCTGCGTTTTCAGCGCAATGCACGAATGGTCTTCTCTTGACGAATCGCCGCTGACCGTGGGACGTCCGGTGGGAGGACACGGCTACATTGTCGATCCTACCGACGCCCATAAGCTGGTCCCGGTCGGGTGTCTCGGAGAACTCGTTATCCAGGGGCCCACGATTATGCGTGAGTACTTGTCGGATGCCGAGCGGACAGCCGTCTCCGCCATCCCGGCGGCGGACTGGGTACCGAACAGCACGTCTCCGAGATGGGCTCGATTCTACCGTTCCGGCGATTTGTGTCGGTACAACGCCGATGGAACGATCGAGTATGTCACGAGAAAGGATACGCAAGTCAAGGTGCGAGGATTGCGTATCGAGCTGGGTGAGATGGAACAAAACATCAGGACGTATCTCGAGGGCGTGAAAGAAGTGGCCGTCGATGTGCTGCAAACCGGCAACGCCGTCCAGCTCGTGGCTTACTTTACCGTGGTGGACAATATGCCGAACACAACCATTGGTATCCCTTGTGAAGGTCTATTTTTGCCGCTGTCTGCAGACTTAGAACGTCGTGTGAACAGTCTGGTTGGCGTTCTTGGTGTCAAACTCCCTAATTACATGATTCCCGCCGTCTTTATCCCATGCAGCTACATGCCTTTTACGAGCTCGACAAAGCTCAACCGAAACCTTCTTCGAAGTCTCGCCTTGGAGCTCAGTTACAACCAGATCTCACGCTACAGTTTGTCAAGCAGCGAAAAGCATGCTCCAGAAACACCTGTAGAGTTCAAGATACGAGAGATCTGGGCAAAGGTTCTCGGATTACCAGTGGAATCCATTGGCCGAGACGATAGCTTTCTCCGAATCGGCGGTGACTCCATCGGTGCAATTCGTCTGGTAACCCTGGCCCGAGAGGTCGGCCTGGAACTGACCGTCAAGAACATATTTGATGACCCACGGTTGTCTGGAATGAGTTCTACGGCAGTGGAGATCGACTTGGACACTTCCAGGGACGTGGAATTGCAAGGTCACAACGATGTTGCTCCCTTCGACCTCCTGGAGCAACCCATTCGCGACCTCATGCAATCACATCCAGCTAACAATGACCTTCGCCAGTTGTACGGGCTATTGGAGACGGACGTTATCAACGATGCCTATCCCTGTACTCAACTTCAAGAAGGTCTCTTGGCCGTCGGAGAGCGCCAGCCTGGATCATACATCCTTAAGACTGTCTACAAACTCCCTGAGCAGGTAGACTTGGCCAAGTTCAAGGCCGCTTGGGAACATGTCGTTTCTGTCTGTGCCAACCTTCGTACGAGGGTCGCCATCTTGAAGGGAGAGACCATTCAACTCACCATCAAGGATGATGTCCACTGGGAAGCCAACGGCCAAGTCAACAACGACTTGGATTCTTTACTCCAAGGCATGAAGAATGTCCGCATGACCTACGGTTCACGGTTGAGCCGTTACGCTATCGCCCAATCTGAGGGCATCCACTACTTTGTGCTATTTATGCATCACTCGATCAGTGATGGGTGGACCATGAGAATCATCATGGAAACCCTCCACAACGCATACAACAATACGGAGATTCGGTCCCTCAAATCGTTTGCTGGGCTCGTCAAGTACGCGAGGAACCTTGACAAGGATGAAGAGGCTCGATACTGGAGAACACAGCTGCAGGATGCCCAGCGAGCTGCTTTCCCATCATCTACGGTGACCAAATCGAGCACCAGCCATGCCACAAAGTCTCTTAAATCCGCGATAGACTTCTTGCCGCTCTCAAAATCCTCCATTACGAAGGCCACTATTATCCGAGCTGCTTGGGCTATCGTTCTGGCACGGTACAGCGACACTGACGACATCACTTTCGGATCGACCGTCTCTGGCCGCCAAGCACCAATTCGGGGGCTGGACAAAATGGCGGGAGCCGCAGTCGCAACCGTACCGGTCAGGCAGAGACTAGACAAGTCAAACTCCATCTCTCAGTTCCTGCACAAGATCCAAGACCAGGCTGCCGACATGATTGCTCACGAGCAGTTTGGCTTGCGTCAGATCTCTGAGACGATTCCTGAAGCCAAAGATGCCCTGGACTTCTCTAGCTTGCTCGTTGTTCAAACAGCTGGAGAGGTCGACCCGACTACCGGTTTGGAGGATCACGTCTTGTCTCCCGTGGAACTCGCTCAGTTGACCCAGGAGTCGGATTTTGAGTTCCAAGGCTACTTCAACTATCCTCTTGTCGTCCAGGGACACATCGCCGCAAAGGTTGAGTTGCTTCTTGTCTATGACTCTAGCATTCTCGAAGATGCTCAGATGGAAGCTCTTTCATCACAATTTAACCACGTAGTTCAGCAACTGCTTACTCAAGACGAGACCGCCGGATCCCTCGGCAATATCTCCTTGTCTGGTCCTTGGGACTCGCAAAAGGTCATCCAGTGGAACGCATCTCCTCCCAAACTGGTCAATACGTGCATCCAGGATATCATCGCGACGCAGGCGGCCAAGCACCCGAACAAGGAAGCCATTGATGCTTGGGACGGAAATGCCACATACGCCCAACTCGAGGCTATGTCCACGACCTTCGCGAAGCACCTTATCCGTAACGGTTTGAAACCAGAAAGCCTGGTGCCTGTCTGCTTGGAGAAGTCTCTCTGGGCTTCCGTTGCGATGTTGGGCGTTTTGAAGGCGGGAGCTGCTATTGTTCCGATTGACCCATCTCATCCTGAGGAGCGTCATCGCGAGGTCATTGAGCAGACTCGAGCTCAGCTTATTGTTGCATCACCTTCTGCGATGGAGGCATGCGTCAAACTATCAGCTCGAGTTATTACCATTTCAGAGCCCGAGATGAATCATCTCATCATGGTGGAAACCAACGTGTACAGGACTGCCTTGCCAAAGACTCAAAGCGATGACCCCGCATATGTCCTATTCACATCTGGTTCGACGGGCAAACCCAAGGGCATCGTTGTCCAGCACCACGCCATATGCTCGAGTTTGACCACTCAGTGCAAGGTTCTAGGCCTATCCGAGTCTAGCCGTGTTCTACAATTCGGCAACCACATCTTCGATGCGGTGATCACTGAGATATTTGGCACCTTGGTCTTTGGCGGCACTGTCTGCACGCCGTCAGAGGCATCGCGTCTTCAGGACATCCAGGCTTACATCAGAGAGACCAGCGTCAACTTTGCCCTTCTCACGCCCTCCTTTGTCAGCACATTCAATCCAGCAAACGTCCCAAGCCTCGAAACCCTTGTCTTGGTAGGTGAGGCTCCGACACCGGATGCCATCAGTTCGTGGTACCCCTATGTCAGGCTTCTCAACGGATACGGACCGACGGAAACATGCGTTATCTGCGTGATCCACGAGTATCCATCGATTGATGCGTCACCTAGGACCATCGGTCGTGGCTTCAACAACCTCTGCTGGATCGTGGAGCCAGATGATCATACCCGCCTTGCACCCGTTGGATGCACCGGTGAGCTCGTCGTCCAGGGCTACGCCTTGGCACAGGGTTACTTGAACGATGAGGCCCGGACCAAGCAGTCCTTTGTTCCTGGGGATGCCGAAGACCTCCGGATGTACAAGACTGGAGATCTTGTTCGATACAACTCCGATGGTACAACTGAATACGTCGGTAGACGCGATGGCCAAGTTAAGCTCCACGGCCAACGTATTGAACTAGGAGAAATTGAGCACAGTATCAAGGAGGCATGTCCCGAGGCGGAACATATCGCTGCAGATGTAGTCAGCAGAGACTCTGCGAAGCTTCTCATCGCATTTGTGTCATTTGCAGATGTCGCCACTACGGATTCTGATATCTCTAGCAACAGCCGTTTGGTTTCCATGAACAACTCGCTACAGACCCGCGTGGCAGGTATCCTTGACCACCTCCGAGTTAAGCTACCGTCATACATGGTGCCGAACGCTCTCTTGGTTTTACGGGACATGCCTTTCAACACGTCTATGAAGCTGGACCGCAAGAATCTCCGCACCTTGGCTGCTGGTCTCACCACCGATGAGCTCAAGGCCTACACCCTCACCCGTCAAGAAAAGGTGGAGCCCAAGACCGACATGGAGGTCCGCATGAGGGAGCTTTGGGCCCAAGTCCTGGGTATTTCTGCAGACTCGATTAGCAGAACGGACAGCTTCCTTGGCATTGGTGGAGATTCGATTTCTGCAATCAAGCTCGTCACACTCGCTCGCGAGAGCAGCGGCATTGCCATCACTGTGGCGTCTATCTTCAAGAACTCGCGTCTTGACAGCATGGCTGCAGCTGCTGGAGTCGTCGAGGGTATGTCAGAAGCCAGATTGCCGATCAGACCATTTGCTCTTTTGCCATCCTCCAAAGTGGATAACTTCATCTCCGAGGTTCAAGAGCATTGCGGCTTGTCCGATGCCAGCCAAATTGAGGACATTTACCCCTGCACTAGCCTCCAAGAGGGTCTGATTGCGCTGGCCGTCAAGCAGCCTGGATCGTATATCAGCAGATTCGTCTATAAGATTTCAGATGGCGTCGATATGGCCCGGCTCATAAGCGCTTGGGAACGTACTGTCTCCGCCTGCAAGATCTTGCGGACTAGGATCGCGCTTCTAGACGATGCAGTGGTGCAGGTTGTAGTTGCAGATGAGCCTGTTTGGGAGACCTTCGGCGCCGAAAACAACCATTTGACGCTGAAGAAGACACTTTCTGAGATGACCAAGATCGAGATGGGTTACGGGGCAAGACTCTGCCGTTATTCACTGGCCAAGGGTGAAGACGGAGCAAACTATCTCGTCTGGGCCCTTCATCATGCCGTCTTTGACGGTTGGACCACTCGTTTGATTGTCGAGACATTCCATCAGGCATACTATGGTACCGACCTGGGTACGCCCCCGCCGTATGCCGACTTCATCAGGTATACCATGGACCTCGACGCGGAAGATTGCAGCGAATACTGGAGAAACGAGCTGCAGGATGCCAAGCGTGCGATTTTCCCTCCCACTAAGGCGGGACCTGGAGGCGCAAGTAGAACTTTCCGTCATCGCCTTGCCATGCCAAACTCTACCGGAACTTCAATCACGAAGGCGACTATCCTCCGAGCCGCCTGGGCTATTGTCCTGGCTCGATACTGCGCGTCGGAAGATATCTGCTTCGGAGCGACCATCTCCGGACGCACTGCGCCCGTTACCGGAGTCGATAGCATTGCCGGCCCGATTATTGCGACGGTCCCTCTCAGGGTGAAGGTTGACAGCGAGAAAGCGACGATATCTTCATTCCTTAACAGCCTTCAGGACAAGGCCATGGACATGGTTCCATTTGAACAGTTTGGTCTCCAAAATATTACCAAGTTAAGCCAGGAGGCGAAAGAAGCATGCGAGTTTAGCAGTCTCTTGGTTGTCCAGCCTGTTGCAGACCTCCTGTTCTCTGATAACCCAACGAAGCCCGTCATCGAGCATGCCGACGCTGACGAGCTTACCTCCGAGGCATTGGATGGTTACTTCAACTACCCCCTCGTCGTCCAAGGCCATGTTCACCGCAACAGGGTTGAGCTAGCACTTGTATATGATCCTGAAGTGCTCTCCAGTGCGCAGATTGACTGTCTTGCACATCAATACGACAATGTTGTCCAGCAACTGCTCAAGCAAGACGAGACTCCTCTCGCCGACGTGGTCATCACGAGCGCGCTTGATGTCCAGCTGGCTCAAGAGTGGAACAGTCGCGATGTTCCAGACATTGTATCCTCTTGCTTCCATGCTATTTTTGAAGGGCAGGTTAGGAAGCAACCCAACGCGCCAGCATTGTACGCGTGGGATGCGCAGTTTACCTACCGCGAGCTGAACATAGCCGCGAACAAGCTTGCTTGGCATCTCATCAAGAGTTGCCATGTCAGGAGGGGCGACATAGTCCACACATGCTTCGAGAAATCCGCGTGGTTCTTCGTTGCCATGTTGGCTATCAACAAAGCCGGCGCCGCGTGGTCGGCGCTGGATCCGGGACACCCGTCTGATCGCCATCGCCAGATCACCGGGCAGACGGGGTCAAGGCTCACACTGGCCTCGCCTTCTACCCACGACATTTGTATGGGACTCACAGACGACGTCCTAGTGGTCTCAGAGGCCCTAGACCGTACCCTGGGCGCGTCTCTCGGTCTTCACACCCCGAAAACCGGCGTTTCGCCCGACAATGCCGCATACATCCTTTTCACCTCTGGCAGTACCGGTGTCCCTAAGGGTTTCGTGATGGAGCATGAGGCGGTTTGCAGCAGTCAAATCGCGATTCTTAAGAGGTTGGGAATGCGTGCAGATGCGAGAATGCTGCAATTTGCATCCTACGTCTTCGATGCCATTATTCTAGAGTCGGTCGGCACTCTCATTGCTGGAGCCTGTATCTGCGTCCCTTCAGACCATATGCGGATGAACAACCTTACGGAGTTCATGAGGGATGCAAATGCTACCTGGTCGCTTCTTACCCCGTCCTTCTTGCGTACCCTTACGCCAGATGACCTGCCCAGCCTCAAAGTGTTGATAGCCACCGGAGAAGCCGTGGGCAAGGACATCGTCGATACGTGGCATGGCCGAGTACGTCTCTTCAACGGCTGGGGCCCTGCCGAGACCTGTGTGTTTAGCACACTTCATGAATTCAGCCCTACTGATTCTTCACTTACCATTGGCCGTGGTGTCGGAGGTTTGTGTTGGATCGTCGAGCCCAAGGACCCTCGACGTCTGGCGCCGACTGGTTGCATTGGCGAAATCGTCATACAAGGGCCGACCCTGTTACGTGAGTATCTCGGCAATAAGCAACTTACAGAGCAAACCACGGTTCGGCCACTCCCTGGCTGGGCACCCCGCCGTGAGCAACCTCGCTGGAATCGATTCTACAAGTCTGGCGATCTCGGTTTCTACAATAAGGCCGACGGCACCATCGAGTTTTCCAGTCGCAAGGACACGCAAGTTAAGATTCGTGGTCTGCGTGTTGAGTTGAGTGAAGTCGAGCATCACGTCCGCGCGGCTCTTGAAGGTGTCTGCCAAGTGGCCGTGGACGTGTTCAAGACTGAAGCCAGCACCAACCTGGTCGCATACTTCTGCTTCAACAATGATACTCAGGCTTCTAGTCTGGAAAGCCCCTTCATGCCCATCACTAGCAGCCTCAAGAGAACCATTGCAACCATGGCTGGTCAGCTGGCTGTGCGTTTGCCTCAGTACATGGTGCCGACGCTTTTCGTACCCTGCAAACACATGCCCGTCATCACATCAACGAAATTGGACAGGAAGAAGCTCAGGAGCCTTACCGCTGCTCTTGACCAACAGGAACTCGTCATGTACTCGCTGGCAGACGGGAAACATCGCCAGCCTGAGACCGAAAGTGAAACTCGGATGCAGAAGCTCTGGTGCGATCTCTTGGGCCTACCAGTAGAGATGGTTGGCCGAGACGACAGTTTCCTCCGCATTGGAGGCGATTCCATCTCGGCTATTCGTCTGGTCTCTGCCGGTCGTAAGGCCGGTTTCGCTTTCTCAGTCAAGGACATTTTTGATGACCCTAGACTTTCGGCTCTAAGTCTGAAGTTGAAGGCAACCGACAGCGAGGATAGTCAAGTCGTCGAAGACAACACTCCCTTCAGCTTATTGACAAAACCAATTCAGGATGTCGTGAGGCATCACTCTGCGGGTAATAGCCCATCTGTCGACGGCCAAGGTTCAAGCCCATCTCTCCGCGATATTTGCAACTTGTCGCAGAATGCTCTCATTGAGGATGCCTACCCCTGCAGTAGACTGCAAGAAGGCCTGATGGCGCTCGCGGTCAAGCAGCCCGGCTCTTATGTAGCGCGCCATGTCTACCGGTTGGGAGACGTCGATATGGCCAGGTTCAAGTCTGCTTGGGAGAAGACAGTCTCTTTGTGTGAGAACCTGCGCACCAGAATTGTACTTTTCCAGGGCGAGTCTATCCAAGTTGTTATCACAGACGATATTGTCTGGGATACAGAACACGACAGCAACAAAACCATGGGCTACGGCTCTAGGCTTTGCCGCTACAAGATCATTCAAGGCGCAGACGGTAGCAATTACTTCATCTGGACCATTCACCACGCCATTAACGATGGCTGGACGGACCGGATGGTCATGGAAACCCTACACCAAGCCTACCGCCACCCCGACCGCAAAATCCGGGCACCGGCTCCGTACTCCAGGTTCATTCGATACATGCTTCACCTGGACCATGAAGCCGGGTCTAGATACTGGGCTGACCAGCTCCGCGATGCAAAGAGAACACATTTCCCGGTAACGCGGTCCGCGCCCCTGCCGGTCACTGAAAGTACGGAGACCATCACGACCCGTATATCAAAGACTAGCATCGCCTTCCCGGAGTCTTTAAACAACCGCGTGACCGCGGCCACTGTCCTTCGCGCAGCCTGGGCTCTTGTCCTCTCTCGCCACACTGACTCGGAGGATGTCTGCTTCGGAACCACCGTCTCCGGCCGTCACGCCCCGTTGGACGGAATTGAAGATGTAGCGGGACCCGTCGTTGCTACGGTTCCCGTCCGAGTCCGGATCGACCGGCAACAGTCCATCACTGGCTTCCTGGACCAAATCCAAAGCCAGGCCACGGGCATGGTGGCACATGAGCAGTTTGGCCTGCAGAATATTGCTAAGCTGAGCCCCGAGGCTAGAGATGCCTGCGATCTATCTAGCCTGTTTATCGTGCAGCCTGCACAGCAGCTTCAGTACACGGCAGCTGACTCTGCTTCCCCGTTCCTAGAGGCTGCTGCTGATAATGAGGATATGGCGAACATGTTTGAGGGTTCCAGCTATGTCAACTACCCTTTCGTCTTGCAGGCACATACCTATACCGGCCGTGTTGAAATCGTCGTATTTTACGATACAAAACTCCTCGAGGAGTCCGAAGTTCAGACAATCGCACACCACTACGAGACTGCCGTGCAACAGCTCTTGTCTCATGACGGCCACGGGTCACTTGAGACGGTTAGTCTTACGGGTGCGAAAGATATGGCGCAAATCATGGAGTGGAACAACATAGTTCCTCGCCTCGAGCAGACATGCGTGCATGATCTGTTCCATATGTCTTGCGCTGAGAACCCAACCAAGGACGCCGTTGCCTCCTGGGACGGAACTCTCACCTATGCGGAGCTGGACGTTCTATCCACCAAGCTCGGTAAGTACCTTATGGACCTTGGTGTTGGTCCTGAGACGGTTGTGCCGTTCTGCTTCGACAAATCCATGTGGGCAGTCGTGGCCATGATGGGCATTATCAAGGGCGGCGGCGCCTTCGTACCCCTCGACCCGTCGCACCCACCATCACGCCATGAGGCAATTCTGCGTCAAGTCGGTGCTACGATGGTACTCACTTCGACTAAAATCGCTGCTTCATTCTCTGGAAGAGTCCCAATCGTCATCCCGCTCTCTCACGAATTCTTTTCCGGGAAACGTGTTCTCCGTCTGCCGCCCCTTTCTGTTTCCACGACCGAGATCATCACACCCGCGGCCCCTCACAATATGGCCTATATTATCTTCACCTCCGGATCAACTGGAACTCCTAAGGGTATTATGGTTGAGCATGCCGCGCTGTGCTCGAGCATCGTTGGTATCAGCAGCGAGTTTGGAGAAAGCCTTGGCTCCCGCGTGCTGCAGTTCTCAAGCTACGTCTTTGATGCCGCTGTCATTGAGATCCTTGGCACTTTGGCATACGGAGGAACTATTTGTGTGCCATCCGATACTCAAAGACTACAAGATATTGCCGGCTACGTCACCGAAGCCCAAGTAAACATGGCTATTGTTACCCCATCGTTCGCGAGCACAATCCACCCCGACACAGCGCCATCAGTGCGGACTTTGGTCCTTGTTGGCGAGGCGTCCAATGAGGAGGTTGTACGGACTTGGACACGAAAAAACGTTCGTCTTCACAATGGATACGGTCTATCCGAGACCTGTGTTGTATGCACAACCTACGACTTTGGAACCGCTGCAGACTTGGGCCAGAATGCCACCACCATTGGCCGTCCGTTTAATGCCAGATGTTGGATTGTCGAGCCCGACAACCACAATGTTTTGACTCCACTGGGATGTATCGGTGAGCTTGTCGTCGAAAGCTATGCCCTCGCCCGCGGCTACCTCAATGATGAGCAACGAACAAAGAGACTGTTCCTCAAAAAGACTGCTTGGTCACCGACTCAGCAAGATGCCAATGGACCAAGGTTATACCGCACCGGAGACTTGGTACGGTACAACTCGGACGGCACAATTGCCTTCGTTGGTCGTGCCGATACACAAGTGAAGCTTCGTGGCCAGCGTATCGAGTTGGCGGAGATCGAGCACCACCTCAAGAATGCCTGCGTCGAGACCTGCCATGCGGTTGTCGATATCATTCACCGTGACTCCAACGAGACTCTAGTTGCGTTCCTCTCCTTCACTGACATTGAACAGGGCTTTGAAGATACTGACATACAGGTTCTGCCCATGGAAGGTGCTCTTCAAGAACGCCTGTCCAAAATGCTGGGTGATCTTCAGGCCAAGCTCCCAAGATACATGGTTCCCGGGCTTCTGCTGCCTCTGAGCAAAATGCCCTTTAGCACGTCTATGAAGCTCGATAAGAAGAAGTTGCAGACGATCGCCAAAGATCTGTCGCAGGAGCAGCTTGCCACGGTCTCCAACCTGATCAGCCACCGCGAAATTGTTGCTCCAACGACCGAAATGGAGTTCAAGCTGCGTGATCTCTGGGCAGATGTACTCAAGATTCGTCCTGAAGGCATTAGTAGACACGACAGCTTCTTGCGCATCGGTGGGGACTCCATCTCAGCCATCAAACTTACAACCCAGGCGCGTCTCCACGGGATTGGCCTCACAGTGGCATCCGTGTTCAAGGACTCCCGGCTCGACATCATGGCCGCCAACGCTGAGATTCTAGAAGACGCAGTGACCATTCAGGCAGAGCCATTCAGCATGCTTCCGATGCCTGAGGTCGACCTCGCCATATCTCATGCCGCCGAGCAGTGTGGCCTCCCTGTTGACGCAATTGAAGACGTCTACCCCTGCACTAGGCTTCAGGAAGGTCTCATGGCACTGGCCGTCAAGCAACCAGGCACCTACATCGCCCGTTTCTTCTTCCGGTTGGCTGAGGATGCGGATATTGACCGATTCAAAGCCGCCTGGGAGCGGACCGTTGCGCTCTGCGGAGTCTTGAGAACCAGAATTGTCTTTTACAAGGGCTCGTTCTACCAGGTTCTGGTTAAAGACGACATCGATTGGACGACAATGGGATCCGCCAATATTGAAGCCTCGCAAGTGTCCAAGAATGCCCGAGAAGTTGAAATGACGACTGGCTCAAGGCTTTGTCACTACGCCCTGAGCAAGGCGCAAGATGGATCGACACACTTCACTTGGGTCATCCACCATGCTGTCTACGACGGTTGGACCGTTCGGTTGATTACGGAAGCTCTCTACCGGGCCTACCACAATATGGAAACAGCCGATTCTACTCCCCGACCGTATTCAAGCTTCATCCAATATGTCAATGGCCTGGATGTCGACGCCGGGGCTGAATACTGGAGATCTCAGCTGCAAGACGCGAAGCGCGCCACTTTCCCTCCCCCTAGTCCGCCAACAGCTGCTGCATCAGGCGTAGACTCCAGTCGCTCCCTTAACCAGACTGTAAAGTTGCCCACTATGGGAACCGAATCTTCCATCACAAAAGCCACGATACTTCGCTCAGCGTGGGCTCTTCTGCTCTCGCGCTACTGCGACAGCGATGATGTGTGCTTCGGCACGACTATTTCTGGCCGACAAGCCCCGGTTGCAGGTATTGAGTCTATCACAGGTCCTATCATCGCAACAGTACCACTGAGAGTGCGACTTAACGGGCGCCAGCAAAAGACAGTATCAGAGTACCTTCTCGATGTACAGAACCAGGGCGTCGACATGGTACCGTACGAACAATTCGGACTACAGTCTATCGCCAAGCTCAGCCCCGAGGCCAAGGACGCATGCGACTTTAGCAGTTTGCTCGTCATTCAACCCATGCCTCACTTGACATACTCGGGTGAGTCTGGCGCGCTTCTGGAGTCATCGGGATCCCGAGAAGACGCCATGAAGGAGCTCCAGGGATACTTCAACTACCCCCTTGTGGCTCAGGGCCATATCCACGACGATAAGGCCGAGCTCGTTCTCATCTATGACTCTCGTGTCTTGTCCGAGAGCCAAGTTGCAGGTCTTTCTCGGCAGTATGCCCATTTGGTGCAGCAACTTGGCTCCGCAAACTCAGACAAACCACTGGCGGATATCGATCTGGCAGGCCCTTGGGACCTTCAGCAAGCGCTCGAGTGGAACAATACTGAGCCTAACGTGATTGACGATTGTGTGCACCACTTCATAGAGCGACATGCCCGGAACGCGCCTAACTCTCTCGCCGTGAGTGCTTGGGACGGCGAGCTTACTTACAGCCAACTGAACACTGCGGCCAACAGGCTCGCGGCGCATCTCGTGACAGACTTTGGTGTGGCCAATGACGATATGGTACATGTCTGTTTCGAAAAGTCAGTCTGGTTCTTCGTGTCTATTGTTGCGCTTAACAAGGCCGGATGTGCCTGGGTTCCTCTCGAGCCGTCCCATCCCCTTGAGCGACAACGCCAGGTTGCCAGCCAAACGGCCGCCAACCTTGCACTATCCTCTCCTTCCAATGCCGCCATGTGTGCTGAACTGGTTCCGCGCGTCCTCCAAGTATCCTCGGCACTTGACGACAAACTTCTTCAATCCAGCTCGAACCCAGCCTGCTTGATGGGTCGTGGAATTACCTCAAGAAACGCTGCTTACGTCCTGTTTACCTCGGGCAGTACCGGCACACCCAAGGGTTTGGTCATGGAGCATAGGTCCGTCTGTACAGCCCTAGTCGATATCGGCAAACGCGTAGGAATTCATTCCGGAGCTCGCATGCTCCAATTCGCGTCCTACGTCTTCGACGCTTGTATTGGAGAGGCTCTCGGTGCTTTCATCGCTGGCGCGTCTATTCATGTCCCCTCTGAGGAGATGCGCATGAACTCCATCAGGGAGTTTATCAAAGAACACAATGTGACTTGGGCGTTATTGACCCCTGCCTTCATCCGAACACTTCAGCCCGAGGACATCTCCTCACTACAGACTCTAATGTTAGCTGGCGAGGCCGTCGGCCGTGATATTCTCCAGAAGTGGTTCGGAAAGGTTCGCCTCTTCAACGGCTGGGGCCCTGCCGAGACGTGCGTCTTCAGCACGGCGCATGAATGGAAATCAGCCACCGACTCGCCTTTGACAATCGGTAAACCCGTGGGCGGCCTTGTCTGGCTTGTTGACCCAGAGGATCCTCAACGCTTGGCGCCTATCGGATGTGTTGGAGAAGCCGTCGTTCAAGGCCCAACTATCCTGAGGGAGTACCTCTCTAACCCGACAAAGACTGCAGAGTCTACGGTCACATCCCTTCCACCGTGGGCGCCGCGTCGACACCAACAAGGGTGGAATCGCTTCTTCAAAACTGGTGATCTAGGATGTTACAACCCAGACGGTACCATCGAGTTCATTAGTCGCAAGGACACACAAGTCAAGATCCGAGGATTCCGAGTAGAGTTGGAAGAGGTTGAAGGCGCTGTTCGCGACTCTCTTGAGGGCGTTCGACAGATTGCAGTTGATGTCTTCCGTGGAGAAACCGCGGGAGTTCATCTTGTTGCGTACTTCTGCTTCAGTCATGCCACCCATACGACAGGCACCAAGGCCGGCGATGAACAGAAAGACGTCTTCACGCCTCTGACGCCGGATCTCCAGCGCCGAATCTCAGCCATGACCTCCGCACTCAGTAGAAAGCTGCCTCAGTATATGGTTCCTACGCTGTTTGTACCTTGCCAGTCTATGCCAGTCATTTCCTCGACCAAGCTGGACAGAAAGACCCTCCGTGCTTTAACTGCGGCTCTTGAAAGGGATGAGATTGCGCAATACTCTCTTATCAGCGCGGAGAAGCGAGCGCCTGAGACCCTGCTGGAGAGCCAGCTGCAGCAAATCTGGGCAGAGGCCCTCGGTATTCCGGCCAAGACTATCGGTCTGGACGACAGCTTCATTGCGCTGGGCGGTGACTCCATCGTGGCTATTGCAGTCACAACAACAGCCCGGGAGCAAGGCATCCTACTAACCGTGGCGGACATGTTCAAAGACCCTCGCCTCTGTGCGGTGGCTGCAACAGCCAAGCTTGTATCGACCGACCTGCCAGTGGACGATGGAAAGCCTTGGAGTTTACTCCCTCCCAGTGAGCACGATTCTGTCAAGGAGACGGCCGTTGAGCAATGCAAGGTCCATCCTCGCCGCATTGTCGATGCGTTCCCATGCACCGGCATCCAAGAAGGCCTGATCACACTTGCGGAGAGATACCCAGGCTCCTACATGGCTCGCTTCAACATCCCCCTTCCGACGATTGTGGACCTTGAACTCTTTAAAGAGGCCGTGGCTTGTATGGTACGCGCATGCGAGAACCTTCGCACCAGGTTCATCATGACCGCGCAGGGCCCCCGCCAGATTATCGTCCATGAGGCAGTGGCATGGCAGAACCACGAACCAGAGCCTCTCTCTGAAGTCGCTGCAAGGGGACCTCCTACGGTGGGCTATGGCACACGTCTATCCTTCTACACCTTGGCTTATGAGGGCGATGATGTTTGCATGGTTTGGGATATACATCACTCCATCTTTGACGGTTGGACGCTAGGTCGCATGGTCCAGGTCCTCCAGGACGCCTGCGCCGGCAACAAAATCACTCAGCCTTTGTCTTACAGCAAGTTCGTCAGTTACACCAAGTCTTGCACCCCCGATCGGGCGCGTGAGTACTGGCTCTCTCAGCTGAGTGGCGCAGACCCTGTTGAGTTCCCTGTTGTTCCCGCTGGTATATCTGAAGTCCGCTGTGACGGAGCCGTCCTCCGCAATATCAATGTTCCGGAAAGACCAGGTTCCAGCATCACTACTGCCACTGTTCTACGAGCTGCTTGGGCTGTTGTATTGTCGCGGTACAGCGGCAGTGCCGGAGTTGTCATGGGCAGCACGGTCTCCGGTCGCGGAGCTCCGATCCCGGGAATCCACAATATCCTCGGCCCCACTATCGGCACCGTCCCGGTACATGTTCAAGTCAACGCATCCGACCGTGTTTCCGACTTCTTGGATGGCGTGCAAAGCCAGTCCAACGCCATGATTCCTTTTGAGCACACTGGTCTGCAGACGATTGCCAAGTACAGCCCGCTCGCCCGCGACGCGTGTGATTTCAAAAACCACCTTGTTATCCAGCCATCTAGCAAGGCAGCTAATGCGCCTGAGACCAGCATCAAGCTCAACGACATGACCGCCGGAAAGAACGACAGCTACGACGTTTATACTCTCGTCTTCCAGTGCATGATAGGCGAGAAGAGCTTGGTCGAGATTATGGCATCGCACGACACCCGCGTCATTCCAACGGCAATGATGGACCGCATCTGCGACCAGTTCGCCCATGTCGTCAGGCAGTTGTCCACCAACGACCGCAGCCTCCATCTCTCAGACGTGGATCTTTGCGGACCGGAGGATCTAAACCAGATCACGCAGTGGAATGTGACAGAACCTCCTACTGCTGTTCGCGAATGCGTCCACGAGATGATCACTAGACGCGCCGCCTCCCAGCCCAAGCACCCAGCTGTTGATTCTTGGGACGGTCAGCTTACCTACGCTGAGCTGGATCAGCTTTCCAATAAACTTGCGGCACATCTGCGTTCTCTTGGCGTCTGTTCGGAGACCTATGTACCGACCTGTTTTGAAAAGTCCAAGTGGGCGACAGTCGCGACGCTGGCAGTGCTCAAGGCCGGCGCAGCGTTTGTTCCTCTCGATCCTACCTATCCAGATTCACGCCGCCATCAGCTCGCAGAGCAGGTGGGCGCACAAGTTATTCTTGTCTCTCCAAAGACGGAATCGTGCTGTGCCGGCACGGCGCCGACTATTGTTTGTGTTTCAGAAACCCTCATGTCGGGGCTGCCGAACGTGGTTCCCAGCTCATCGAACGCAACCCCCGACAACGCTGCCTATGTCATTTTTACCTCTGGGTCCACAGGCAAGCCTAAAGGCGTTGTCATCGATCACCTCGCGCTCTGCTCCAGCATCATGGGCCACGGACCCGCTTACGGACTAACACCGTCATCGCGAGTCTTGCAGTTTTCCAACTACGTGTTTGACGGTAGCTTAAGTGAGATCTTGACGCCGTTGGTTTTCGGCGGAACTATCTGCGTTCCATCCGATACAGACCGATTACAGGAGACAGCCGAGTTCATCCGTAACAAGAACGTCAACGTGGCCATGTTGACCCCTTCTTTTGCAACGACCTTGACCCCTGAAGAAGTCCCCGGCCTTGAGACGCTTCTTTTGGGAGGCGAGGCTTTGAACGCGCAGAATCTCGACACCTGGTTCGGCCACGTCAAGCTTATCAACGCCTACGGTCCTACTGAGACTTGCGTCGACTGCGTCTCGCATATCTTCACCTCGGCAGACGAGTTGCCGGCAACTATAGGCCGGAGCCAGAACGCGGCTTCATGGATTGTGGATCCCGAAGATCACAATCGTCTAGCCCCAATTGGATGTGTTGGAGAGCTGATTGTGCAGGGATATACCCTCGCCCGTGGTTATCTTAATGATACCGAGCAAACCGCCAAAGTCTTCATTGAGAATCCCGCCTGGCTTGCACAGTTCCCCAAGACACCGCAGCCGCTTCAAAGATTCTACAAAACTGGAGACCTGGTTAAGTACAATTCAGACGGTGCCATAGAGTACCTTGGCCGCCGCGACAACCAGGTGAAGCTCCGAGGCCAGCGCATCGAGCTCGCTGAAATCGAATACCAGATCAAAAAGGCTTGTCCCACCATTGAGCACGCCGCAGTAGAGGTCATCAAGCGGGAGACCGGAGATACCTTGCTTGGTTTCGTCACCTTCCGTGGGGACGAAAGCAAAAAAGCTGAAGTTTCATCTCAGGGCCAGCAAGACGCAAACCTCACTCTCGCCCCGACTAATGAGGTCACCGATGCCGAGATTGTCTCTGTGTTGGCCAGTCTCAAGGCTGCGCTGCCTGAGTACATGATTCCCTCCGCTATCCTCACCCTTTTGGAAATGCCTTTCGGAGCATCTATGAAGCTCAACAGAAAAGCCCTTCGAACTTTCGGAAGCAGTCTAGCGGCCGAAAGCCTAGCAAGCAAGGCATTGGTAACCACCCATAAACCATCCGCCTCCCGCCCAACCACCGCAGTGGAACTGAAGCTTCGTGATCTGTGGGCTCAAATCCTCCATAAGTCTCCAGAGACCATTGACAAGAACGATAACTTCTTGCGTATTGGAGGTGACTCCATCACAGCTATTCAGCTTGTCACTCTCGCCCGCAAGAACGGCATCACCATCACCGCCAGCTCCATCTTCAAGGATGCCAGACTGAGCAGCCTTGCTTCGACCGCCACACTTGTTGACGGAGAGTTCGTTCACGTTGAAGCTCTACCTTTCAGCTTGATCAACGCGTCTTCGGTTGATGGGATCCTTAGCCAGGCTGCCGAGCAATGCGGTCTTGCTGGTGTTCAGGCCATTGAAGACACATACCCATGCTCCAAGTTCCAGGAAGGCCTTATGGCGCTGGCCGTGAAACAGCCTGGATCTTATGTTGCGAAGCTTCTCTACAAGATTCCCGGTGACATTGACTTGGACAAGTTCAAGACTGCATGGGAAAAGACGGTGGCTCTCTTCCACAACCTGCGAACCAGGATGGTATTCATTGACGGCGCTACGATCCAGGTGGTGCTGCGAGACGAGGAGAACCAATGGGACTTCTTCGGAGATATCAGCGTCCGTGACGCGTTAGCAGGCACACCAGAGATGGCTCACGGTTTGCGCCTGTGTCGATACGCCGTGGCCAAGGGTGAGGACGGCTCAAACTACTTTGTTCTGACTCTCCACCACGCCATCTACGACGGCTGGTCTTTGGGCATCATCATGCAAGCCCTGCACAAGACATACTACGGTGATGATAATCACGAAGTCGTCCCATACTCTCGGTTCATCAAGTATGTTACCGAATCCGACTACGATGCCGGTAGTCGATACTGGATGGAGCAACTTCGCGATGTCAAGCCAGCAACTTTCCCGCCCGTTGCTCGCGTCGTGGAAACTCCAAAGACATGTATCACTAGCAACATTATCAGCTCCCCGGTCTCGACTGACTCTGCCGTGACCAAAGCCACGATTCTTCGTGCGGCCTGGGCTATCTTGCTCGCTCGGTATTCCGAAGACACGGATGACATCTGCTTCGCAACGTCAGCGTCCGGCAGACAGGCGCCGGTGCCGGGCTTGGAAGACATGGCTGGCCCGGTGGTCGCCACGGTTCCCCATCGTATTCGTCTCGACCAGGAAAAGCCCATATCACAGTTTCTTCGCGATGTCCAGGAGCAGGCGGCTGAGATGGTTCCGTTCGAGCAGTTCGGTCTGCAAGAGATTGCCAAGTTGAACGCCGAGACGAGAGAAGCCTGCAACTTTTCCAGTCTGTTCGTCATCCAGCCGGCCCAGTCTGCCGATGATGCTGATGATGACGCCTCGGGCCAGGTCCTTGTTACGGCCAGCGCTGAACAATTTCACGGCAGCGAGTCCATCGGAGGCTACTTTAGTTACCCTCTGGTGGCGCAAGCTCATGTGTTTGATAATTTTGTCGAGTTGAGTCTCATCTACGACGCCAACATTCTGCCGGAATCCCAAATGCTGGCCCTCTGCAATCAATTCGACAATATTGTGCAGCAACTTCTGCCCCAGAATCAGAGTCCTTTGGGAAGCTTGTCTGTTGCGGGGTCTTTCGATCTTCAGCAGTCGATCCAGTGGAACGACGAGTACACTCCCATCGTCAACGCATGTTTCCACCAGCTTCTCGAGGAGCAGGCGGTCCGAAGACCATCTGCACCAGCCGTCCTCGCTGCTGACGGGGAACTCACCTACGTCGCCCTGAACAGAACCGCAAACAGACTCGCGCACCACCTTGTCAAGCTGGGTGTCGAGGTTGGTGACCTTGTACACGTCTGCTTCGAGAAGTCTGTATGGTTCTTCGTCTCAATCTTGGCCATCAACAAGGCCGGCGCCGCCTGGGTACCGCTCGATCCATCCCATCCCGAGGAGCGTCAGAAGCAGGTGACGACTCAGACCAAGGCAAGATTCGCGCTGGCATCTGTCGCAAATGCTCAGCGAGTCGCCAACCTTGTACCGACAGTCATCGAGGTCTCAAAGGCTCTCGATGAGAGCCTCCTAAAGAACTTCAAGGCCGAAAACAGCAGGGCTGCGCCCAAGACCAGCGTTGGACCTCGAGATATCTGTTATGTGCTCTTCACTTCCGGCAGCACCGGCACACCTAAGGGTGTTGTTCTAGAGCATAGATCTGTCTGCACAAGCCAACTAGCAGCCGGAAAGAGGCTTAAGATGACGCGTGATGTACGCATTATGCAGTTTGCCTCGTACGTCTTCGACATGTCGGTCGCAGAGACAATTATGCCATTGATACACGGAGCTTGTATCTGTGTGCCTTCAGAGGATACTCGGTTGAGCGGTCTTCTTTCTGAGTTCATCCGCAACATGCGCATCAACTGGCTTTTCCTTACGCCGGCTTTTGGTCGTCTTATTTCACCTGACGACGTTCCTGATGTAAAGCTGCTTCTTCTCGGTGGAGAAGCTTTAAGCCGTGACAACCTCGACAGGTGGCTCGGTAGGGTTCGACTCATCAACGCTTGGGGCCCGACCGAGACATGCGTTTTCGGCACCATGCATGAATGGACCTCGTCCGCTGAGTCTCCGTCCCCACTTACTATCGGTCGACCGATCGGCGGCTACTGCTGGATTGTCGATCCCCGAGACCACAAACGGCTTGCGCCCATCGGATGTGCCGGTGAGATTGTCTTCCAAGGCCCCACTATGCTCCGCGAGTATCTTGACAACCCCGAGCGCACGGCGGAGAGCACAGTCCGAGAACTACCGGAGTGGGCACCCAAGCTGCCCGGATTCGAGAGGTTCTTCAAGTGCGGCGATTTGGGACGGTACAATGCAGACGGAACCATCGAGTTCATCAGCCGCAAAGACACACAAGTAAAGATCCGTGGTTTGCGTGTTGAACTTGGGGAAGTAGAGTACAGTATTCGTGCCGTCATGGACATTGAGGAGGTTGCTGTTGACGTCTTCCGAACCGAAGAACGTGCGATACTCGTGGCATACTTTGGCTGTGGCAACGAGAACACTGAAGACGACGGTGATCTCTTCCTAGCCACCTCTCCTAACTTTGAGCGCCGCGTAAGGGCCATGGTCGGCGATCTGCGTGCCCAACTACCGCATTACATGGTGCCTACAGCATTCATCCCATGTCGGAGACTACCTTTCGTTACCTCTGCCAAGCTTGACAGGAAGAAGTTGCAGAAACTCACGGCCGACCTAGACCGCGATCAACTGGCAACTTACTCTCTTGTTGACGCACAGAAGCGAGCTCCCGTTACGGCCATGGAGATGCGTCTTCAAAAGATATGGGCTGACGTTTTGCGTCTGCCTGTGGAGTCTATCGGTCGAGATGACGACTTCATCGCCCTCGGAGGCGACTCCATCGCAGCCATCTCCGTCTCAACTAAGGCCCGCGAGAGCGATATTTCCATCACTGTCGCCAAGCTCTTCGAAGACCCACGTCTCCTCGCCGTCGCCGCCACTGCTACTTGGCTGAGCGAGTCCCCGTTCAACGACGACGCTGAACCCTGGAGCTTGATGCCGAGTGACAGCCGAAATATGATTACTGAGACGGCCATCGAGCAATGCCGAGAACACCGACTGCTGCTCTCAGAGTCCATCGTTGATGCGTTCCCCTGTACGCCACTGCAAGAGGGTCTCCTCACTCTTGCAGAGACAAGACCGGGATCGTACATGGCACGCTTGACGATTACTGCGCCTGAGGGGCAGTCACTCGACATCAACCGGCTCAAAGAAGCCGTGGCCATGACCGTATCGGTTTGCACCAATCTTCGGACCCGTTTCCTCTTATCCGCGCAAGGCCCTGTTCAGATCATTGTCGATGAAGTGATGACCTGGCAGCAACCAGATGAGCTCATCCGGCTCTCGGATGCCCTGTCTACTGCTGCGCCTACGGTCAGTTACGGATCACCGCTATCCTACTTCACACTTACCAGAGACGACCAAGACCGGGTTTCTCTGCTCTGGGATGTGCATCACTCCGTTTTCGACGGCTGGACAATGGGCCACATGATGCAGATTATGCAGGAGGCCTATTACAACGGCAGCGTATCGACTCAACCCGTCTCCATCGCCAACTATGTCAGACACACACAAGCCGTGACCGAGGAAGAGTGCCGCTACTACTGGCTTGATCAGCTCGACGGAGTCGACTCCACCAAGTTCCCGAGCCTCCCCGTCGGCATGTCCGGTTCCGAGGTCCGGTGCACTGGCACTTTAACCCGCCGCCTCCGTATTGTCGAGTGGCCCAGATCCGGAATTACAACCCCCAGCCTGTTACGTGCTGCCTGGGCCCTTCTAGTAGGCCGGTACTCGGAGAGTGACCGCGTAGTCTTCGGCGGTACCGTGTCCGGTCGTACTGCATCTGTCGTCGGCATCGAGAGAATTCTCGGTCCTACCATCTCCACCGTCCCGATCCAAGTTCACGTTGACAAGAGTCTAACAGTGGGCGATTTCTTGGGCAAGATCCAGAAGCAAGCGAACTCAATGATTCCTTTTGAGCACACCGGCCTCCAGAACATCGCCAAGTACAGTTCAGAGGCACAGGAGGCCTGTGATTTCCACAATCACCTTGTCATTCAGCCTGCGCCCCCTGCCACCGACGAACAGCAGCAGGCTTCAGGGCTCGTAATCACCGATGTTGCCAACGAAAACGAGAGCTTTGATATTTATCCTCTTGTGATGCAGTGCAATGTCGGATCCGACAACACTGTGGACGTCAGTGCCTCCTTTGATCCTCGTGTCATCCCAGAGACGCAGTTACGCCGAGTTTGTGATCAATTCGGACACGTTGTCAACCTGTTGGCCAGCGCCAATGAAACTTTAAAGATGTCTGATATCAATGCGTGCGGTCCTCTTGATATCGACCAGATTCGGGAATGGAATTTCGAGACTCGGCCACCGCCAGAGGCCGTCCGCGCTTGTGCTCATGAGCTGATTCATCAGCAAGCCATCAAGAACCCGAGAAGTGAGGCCATCTACTCATGGGAAGGTAACCTGACCTATGGTCAACTCGACGCTTTGTCAACAGCCTTGGCTGCCCACCTTGTCGGCCTCGGTGTCGGGCCGGAGGTTCTGGTTCCCATGTGCTTTGAGAAATCCAGGTGGGCAGTGGTCGCTATGCTTGGTATTATGAAAGCCGGTGGTGCTTTCGTGCCTCTGGATCCCTCATACCCGGCCGACCGCAAGGAAGAACTTGTACGGAGAGTAGATGCTCGGGTCGTTGTGGTATCGTCTGCGATGGCTGAATCCTGCGCCAGCTTGGCACAGCATGTCGTTCAACTCTCCTCCACGACGATTTCTCAACTTTCCTCTTTCTCCGAGCATCAACCAGCATCATCTCTTCCCTCAACTTCGTATGAGAGCCCGGCCTACGTCATCTTTACTTCGGGCTCGACTGGAAAGCCCAAGGGTGTTGTCATGGAACACATGGCCCTTTCATCCAGCATGATGGGCCACGGCAAGGCATACGGCCTTTCTTCCTCTTCTCGCGTGCTTCAATTCTCCAACTTTGTCTTCGACGGAAGCCTCAGCGAAATCCTGACCCCCTTGGTCTTTGGAGGCACTGTTTGTATCCCGGCCGAAGGCGACCGTATCCATAACGTCGCTCGCTTCATGAACGATGCCGGTGTGAACGTCGCAATGCTTACCCCGTCATTCGTTACTACACTGTCACCCGAAGATCTTCCACGACTCAACACACTCCTACTCGGTGGCGAGGCCTTGACAAAGCAAAACGTGGAACTTTGGTTCCCCCTTGTTGACAGACTCATCAACGCCTACGGACCAACCGAGACCTGCGTCGACTGCATGTCCCATATCTTCAAGTCCGCAGATGAATCCCCTACCACAATCGGCCGCAGCCAGAACGCAACAGCCTGGATTGTAGACCCTGATAACCATCATCAACTAGCCCCTATCGGCTGCGTTGGTGAGCTTCTCGTCCAGGGCTATACATTGGCCCGCGGCTACCATGATAATGCGCAGCAAACCCAGGATGCTTTTGTCGAAAACCCTGGGTTCCTGTCCGCCTTCAATACCACAGCGCCCCCGCGCCTCTACAAGACGGGCGATCTCGTTCAGTACAACCCCGACGGTACCATCAACTACATTGGCCGCCGTGATACACAAGTCAAGCTACGTGGTCAACGTATCGAACTCGCTGAAATCGAACAAGTGATAATGACGGCGGTTCCAGAATTGGTTGAGCATGCAGTCGTTGACGTCGTCTCTCGCGACTCGGGCGACGTGCTCACGGCTTTCTTGTCCTTGTTCAACAGTCACCAAGATAAGGATACAAACGACGATGATTTCACCAGCAACCTTGTTTCTCTAGATGAAAGTCTCCAGGAATCCCTCGCCTCCATCGCCGAGGCCCTCAAGCGCTCGCTCCCCGTCTACATGGTACCCGCCACCACCCTCGTACTCAAACGCATGCCCTTCGCCTCAGCCATGAAACTTGACAGAAAGAAGCTTCGCCAGCAAGCCGTAAATCTCCCCGCCGAAGTCACCGCCGCATATGCCCTCGAACAGCGCTCAACATTCCGTGAACCTACCACGGAGCTGGAAGTCAAACTCCGCAAATCCTGGGCTCGTGTCCTCCAGATTCCCGAGGAGTCCATCAGCACAGACGATAACTTCTATCAACTTGGTGGTGATTCTATCCGAGTCGTGACCCTTTCTAGGTACATCAAAGACAACCACGACGTACAGCTCGGACTCTCTGAGATCAACGGCGGCAACTCAACCATCCGCGGTATGGCAAAGTACATCGAACAAGCATCCGCCGTTGGCGCCTCCGCTGCGCTTCCCTTCGTGGATTTGATGAGCAAGATCACACCCTTGTTGGAGGAGACATGGTCAGCTTCTCAGGAGGAGCTTCTAGCTCACCCACTTACCGGTCTACCCGACAGAGCTACTGTTCTTCTCACTGGTGCCACCGGCTACCTTGGCAATGAGATTCTCAAACAACTGGTGCAGTCGGACAAGATTGGCACCGTCGTTGCGCTCGTTCGCGCTCCTTCACCCGCTCACGGTCTCGAACGTGTCAAGAAAACAGCAAAGATCGCCTCGTGGTGGGACGACTCGTACATCAGCAAGCTCGAAATCTGGGCTGGAGACCTTTCGGTCGAAGGCATGGGTCTGGATAACAACCAGTGGGCACGCATCTCAGGCCAGTCTCAGGAGGCCGTTAATATCGATGCCATCATCCACAATGGCGCCTCCATGAGCTGGACCGCAGACTATGATCGTGTACGCGCCGCCAACGTTGAATCCACCGTCGCTCTCGTCAAGGCCGCTGCTGCCTCTCCCCGTCGCGCCAGATTTGTCTACGTCTCGGGCGGAGCCAAGGCCGACACGCAATCAGACCGCGCCAGCTTCGCTCAGATTCTTGGCCACGGCACCGGCTATGCTCAGACAAAGTTCGTTTCTGAGAGCATCGTCTATGGCATGGCAACGCGTCTTCCAACCAGCCAGAACCGCTTATCCGTCGTCAAACCTGGCCTTATCATTGGTACTGCCAATGAGGGCGTAGCCAACGTTGACGACTACCTCTGGCGTGTTGTTTCCGCCGCCACGGCTTTGGGATCCTACCCATCGGAGCCTGAAGACTACCGAATTCCGATGCTCGACTTAGGACGTGTCGCTGGCGCCGTCATGACCCAGCTGTTTGCCGGTACACAGGAGGTCGTCGAAGGCTTCGTCGATATTCCCGATGGCGTGTCCGTCTCCGAATTCTGGGGCCTAGTCAACGCGGAGCTTCGAGAGCCCTGCACTCCAATGCCATGGTCTGAGTGGCTTCCGTTGGCTCACGCGCATATGGAAAAGGTTGGCGACACTCACCCTCTGTGGCCAGTGCAGGCTTTCCTCGGCGAGATCGGAGCGCCGTCCGGAGAAGATGCTCCTGCTGCAGATGGTGAGCTGAGGCTCGCCGTTCGGGAGAACGTCAAGTATCTCTCCCACGTTGGCTTCTTGGCCTCTGCGCCTGGAAAGCAGGGCTCACTTCAGGAGGACGTCATCAAGCGTACGGAGACTATCAAGTTTTAAGGTCTCAATCATCTTTCTTTTGTAACGAATACTGTCGTTTCCTCCAAGGCGGAAGGGAGAAGAATGGTATTAAATGGTTGATGATGGTTTTCTTTGTTTACATTCTGTCTTTTCCAGTCTGTCTTGTAATGTTTTCTAATGGCACCTTTCGATGTCATACTCACGATGCGTCTAATCAAGACGAATTTCTTTTGTCATTGTCTCTATCTGTTATTCACATCAGGCACACTCATCTGGGCTACAAATATGAATAGAAATGACCTGAATTAAATACATTCTACATTAATAACCTGTGCTTTAAAAAAACTCGCAAAGTCTTATGTGCTTTCATTGATCATGCATAAACAACTGACTGATGATAAAGAAACTGGCTTTATGTCAATCGACCAAGCGAGGTGGAGTCTACATTCAAAGCAGTGTCCTATTATGCGTAAGACGTTCGCGAATTAAAAGTCACCGGCTAATTAGATAAGAGGGGCAGCCCTTGTCACACTTCCAATTCGTAACACGCATCTCTGACAGCTTGTTGATGCCTAAACCACCGCACCATTACATCTTCAGGATCATAACAAATGCTTCCATCATCGACATGGAGCTATGTAACATCTGTTCTAACTTGGTATTGGAGTTGAAGTACCGTCAGAGACAATGCCTTGGATTCTACGATGAAATACTCAACAAGTCCCAAAGTCTTGGTCTAGGCCGCGACGGCTGTGGTGGCTGCGCGTTCTTTTGTAAGGTTCTTCAGACCTCCGGACGATGGTCACATCGCCTATCAGAGCTCTCAGGCCAAGTCGTCTTTTTTTACTCTCTTCGTCTGGATGTGAAACAACCAAAAGACAACTCTCACACCTACAGTGTGGATGATTTGCTCCTTGATCTGTGCACGGAAAAAGAAGAAGCCAGTGAGTGAGGAACCATCAAGTGTCATGAGAAAGCAAGGCTGAATTCCGCAGATCCGCACCCGGAAATCGATTATTTGCATCCAGTGGCTGCTAATCCTCTCGATGAAAGCTGCCTCGCTCTGGTCCGTTCCTGGATGGAAGAATGCAGAGCCCACAATGGTTGCTCCATTTCTGACTCTACTGTACTCCCCAAAAGAGTCATCGAAATATCAAGTGATCCTTCAGTGGCGCCTAGATTACTTGTCAGCAATGGGGAAGTAGGCCAGTATTGCGTACTGTCACATTGCTGGGGCAAGACACCAGTCCTAAAACTGACGGAATCGCTTAAACCCAAGTTTCAGAATGGGATTCCGATTGGCTTACTTCCAAAGACCTTCATCGATGCAATTGTCATTACGCGTTGGTTGGGGTTTCAATATCTCTGGATCGACGCCTTATGCATTAGTCAGGATAACGCAGAAGACTGGGCAGAAGAATCCCAGAAGATGGCTTCGTATTATGGCAGGTCAGCGCTGATGATATCAGCAACCGTAGCAAAAGACAGCACTAAAGGTATTCTTCACGACCGACACGTTCCAATATCTCCCATCATGGGTCGGGAAATGACATACTGCCTACGCCAACGGCTGCTTCGATGGGATTGGGACATTAAACGCTCCGTCTTATCGACCCGGGGATGGGCTGCTCAAGAACGAATGCTCGCTCCTCGTATCCTACACTTTACAAAACGCCAGCTCATTTGGGAATGTTTAGAAGGTTTCAAATTTGAGGCTTCAGGTATCCAAGAGAAGAAAATCGGAAGAGGTCAGACCGATCTGGATTTCAACAAAAGCAAGTTACAACCCTATATCACAAGAGCATTTGACCCGCCGATTAACCTCGGCATCAACGAAGCAAAACCGAAGGATATACTTAAACGAGTTCGCGTCTGGCAGCAGTGCGTCGATGAATATTCAAAGCGCCACTTGACAATACCTTCAGATAAATTTCCTGCTATATCTGGAATTGCTGCAATCATAAACCATGATGGAAAGATGGGGCAGTATTTGGCTGGTTTATGGAGCAATCATGTTGCCGCCGGACTCGCTTGGGGAAGGCAGAATAACATCCTGGCTCATCCTCCCTCCTACAGGGCACCCAGCTGGAGCTGGGCAAGCGTGGATGGGTGGACGAGTTCGTTGATCCTAAGCTCTCGTTCACAGTTACTGGAAACTCCTAACAACGATACGGGTAAGTTGTGGGCAGACAAGTTCGATATCGCGCTGGTGGATCATAACATTAATATGCACGATAAATCAAATCCTTACGGAATCGTTTTGGAAGGGTCATACATCACTATTGAAGGTACTTATGTCACAAGGGACGAGTTTTTGCACTTGGCCGAGGACCTGTCGAAAATCGAATTCGATGGACCGACCATAGGACTGGACAGATCCGATGTTTTCACCTGCCCTTGCTGCAAACCTTCGGGACCCGATGATGCGGAAGCTTTTTCTGACGAAGAGAACCTGGACTTACTAGAACGACTTCGGGAATCTTCCAAGGGGGATGCACATTTTGATCTGTGTCTTTTCCTTTTTGCGGATGTTTGGCATAACACTAAAGGTTTTGTCGACTTGCTACACCTTCGCTGGACGGACGAAAATAAGGGAGTTGCTGTACGAGTGGGGATGTCGAGAACGACAATATGGGAACATCAAGGATCTAGGGAGAGCTTTTGTGAGACGTTCCTTGCAGCTGATTGGAAACGAAGAGCAGTCAAACTGGTTTAAATATTGTCTAGCCAAGTGTCTATTGTTTTCTCATCCTTTCCTTATAAATCTAGGAACACGATCTTCCGGCTCGTAGTAAATCCTTGATTTGTTATCAGACTACTTTTTGTAGTGCAACCTAATTGACCAAACCACAATCTAGTCATTGCAGCTAAGATGCTCGCTGATATGATCCTTCTGGATCCTTTGAGTCCCGAGGAGGTCAAAGCCTTAGCTGGCCATTAAGTCCACTTGTAAGCATGACGAGGCAAGTCAACGCGTATTACCTATGAGGACTACTTCAGCATCTTAGTAAGAAAGTGCGCATCTACCAGTGTCTGACTGCATCTTTGTAGCCCTTTGGTTATACTCTCTAGCAGCATAGCTGACAGGGGTAGCAATTTGACATTCTGCCTCCACTGCAGTAAATATGGTTCGATACTAGTTTTCCTTATTTACAAGCTCATCCCAATTACTTTCATTCGACTTGAACTTCTAAAGCAGACAGTATCAGGATGCCTTCTTGAAAATTAGTAAAATCCCACAGCTTGCTGGCGTTCTAAGGTAACATCATTTTTAAATACTTGTAGATAAAATAGTTTAAAGATAGTTTCACCATACCAAGCGCAGTAAACCACAAGAAAACTATCAAAACTTTCCATGATCATAACACAGAGTGAGGTCAGAATACCTTCTGACCGTGGCACCATACAGAACAACAGACATAAACAATGATCGCATACGGGATCAATTGCTTAAGCATTCAACTCATCTAGTTCTGCATCAATCGAAGGATCGGAATAACGTAGATCCGTCAGCCATCGTCTCTGTGGATACCAAGTTCCCCGCACCAACTCCCACATGGAAAAGGATTTTGAAAGACGCATTAAGCAAGCGTTGGCTGGCATAGCCTCCTCAACCAATGAACCAATGTTTGATCCTTGGACTAGAAATATGTCTCAGAGAATAAGCTATATTTAAAAGTGGAAAGAAGTCTGTATAGATACTTCGATTATGTGCGATCGGCCAGCTAGTAGATGTACTACTACAGAGCCTGATTTCATATGTGGCTGTTTTTGTGTTAACTGCCTGGTGGGACGCGTTACCCCTGTCAGTTGGTTAGACGCATTTAATAAGTCTGCATTGTTTGCCAAACCACAGTAGGTAAACCTACATCTATTTGGCTTGGGATATGAGACAAAAAATGCACATCCGTAAGCACACTGAGTACGCAGGTTATGACGTGCCGCCTTGGCGAAACCAGTCAGTGATTTTGAGGCGCGATCGAGCTTACTGTCCATATCCCTTGGACCACTCAGCCGAAACAAACTTTGGATCGGACAGTAAGCTGTGCGCCATTCCGCGCCGTGACGGCTCCTATCGCCGCTTCGAAGAGTAACAACCTGCCGCCCCGGTCTGCAATATACGGCTCTCAGCTCTACAGGGGACTCGATATACGTAAGCTTTCCAGTGTCTTGCTTCAAGATACTAGCGAGATGAGGCTGTGCTCGCAATGAGTTTGCGACAAGACGGGCGCAGCAACTGCTTTGGAAGAATGTCGTGCCAAATCAACAATAGAGAGGTCGGGAGGGAATAGCATCATTACCTACCCATGGGAGCACATCTACCGTAGCCAAAAGAACCTCATTGTACTCTTTCTCGCATGATTAACTCGTCCATTAAGTCTCTTTCTCTGACACAAACGATATTTCAAGGCAACTAGACTCTTTCGAGGCCAATCGATACCTCAATAGCCATAAATTTATTCGAAATGGTAGACAACGGTAGATACAGTGCGTATTTATCTTTCCTTGTGGTCATAGCAGGAAGAAAGTCGAAACAGAGCTGACAATGGTCGATGCAGCGGACGGGAGTGTCTGGTTTTATGACCCAAACAAGATCGCGCCAATCGTCTTTGCCGCCATCTTTGGTGCTTCAGGACTTGCCTATGCCTGGCAATGCTAGTACGTGAACCATACGGTAGAAGTTTGTGTAAATCTGCGTTCTGACAATTCGAAAAGCCGTTATAGATGCTGGAAGCTCACAGGGTGGGGCGTAGCCGGCGCCGCGGTTTACTGTGCCAGCTTCATCGCTCGTGCTATGGGCGCTGCAGACTACAAGAATCTGATCATATACGTCGTACACTTTAACATTGTATATGCCGCGCCGTAAGTCCTTTTTCTCTTTCCATCGGAGTCCGATTCCCCGACGGGGTGGCCGCGGCTCCCGAGTCGATGAGTTAGCAGAAAGCCATCCCACTTGTCAACGAAAGAATCAAGTAGCCGGTTAGCTAACCCAAATCCGATCACTCCTCTCGCAGGCCCTTATTCGAGATGCTCAACTACAGCATCCTAGCCCGTGTAGCCTACTACCTCCCATACCACTGCCCGATCCACCCAGGACGTCTCAAGACCACTTTCGTAACGCTCGCTACCATCATCGAGGTCCTTGGTGGTTACGGTGCCTACTACACCTCCAAGCGGAATGAGCCTGAGAGTGAACGAGCCATTGGGCGCGGGTGCCTCGCAGCGTCCCTGTTTCTTCAGATCGTTGTCCTTGTCGTCTACGTCGCGCTGGCGGCTGTCTTTCACATCCGTGCCCGTCGTACCCGTAGCGCGCGTGGCTCCGGTACCAACATTATACTATGGACACTTTACCTCAGCTCCCTTCTGATTCTTGCCCGCACCATTTTCCGCGTTGTTGAGTTCTTCGGCCTTGACGCTTTCCGCCCTGAAAAGCCTGGATTCAACCCATTGTCCGTCCCGCGCGTCGTCCGTTACGAGTGGCACTTCTATGTGTTTGAGGCATCCATCATGCTCTGCAATCAGCTCCTACTCCAGGGGTTCCACCCACGCATGTACCTCCCTGAGGGCAACGCTGTATACTTGGCCCAGGATGGCGTGACAGAGCTTGAGGGACCTGGGTTCAAGGACCAGCGTCCCTGGCTCCTCATTCTCATGGACCCGCTTGACTTCATTGGTATGATCAAGGGAACCAACAGGTCGACGAAGTTCTGGGAGGACAACGGCTTCAGTGAGCTGAGCGAGCCCAACTCGGAGACGGGTAGTCGCGTCCAGCATCACGACAGACGCAAGCGTTGATTAAAGTCTGGAGAAGGCGGGCGATGAAGGGCCTAGGATATCGGGCCCATCTGATATCTGGTTCAGCAGGATTTGGGTAGACTAGGAGCCGTAGACTTATGAGTTATGTCGGCGTGTCACCCATGGCACACATAGCGTTCATGTTGTTTCTGGATATGATTGATTAGATAGATTGAATACGCATCTCCCCTCGTCATTTCTCATTCATGCTCAACTTTTGTGGGTGGTTATAGTGAAATTGGTGCCCTTTTCATTTTTAAAAAATGAGAAATGAACCTTTGGCCATAACGAACTTGATGTTCTACGCATAGCCTCGGCGAAGCTAAGGCCATTGTAATGGATCCATTTCAAGATAGCTGCTCAAGTGACGCAATTATCAAAATAATGTAGAACGATTGTTGGAGTGGAATTAAATACTGCCATCCTAACGCCCCGTCGCGCCCCATTCTATTGTAAAAACGTATACCTTTATACAATGACCAAGACATTCCCAAAATTGTAGATTTACTCCCCGCCTCCCGCCGACAACTCGAATAACCTCTTGAAAGCCGAGTCTTCCTGGTCCACGAGCTTCTTTGGCTCGTCATACTCAACCACTCTACCCGAGCTAAGGACTGCTACTCGGTCAAACTCCATGATGGGCTCTAATTTATGTGCGATGGCGATCACCGTCCATCCTTCAAAAGATTCTTGCACGAGCTTATATATGATTGATGAAGTATCTTCATCCAAGCTGCGGCGTGTTAGCTCCTATTCCATGAAATATCTTGGTGGAGGGTGTTGCCTTACCTGCTTGTAAACTCGTCGAGTATAAGTACCTTGCTCTTTTGCAGCATTGCTCTTGCAAACACGAGCAGTTGAGACTCGCCCCGGGAGAAGAACTTGTCGTGAATGATCGCGTCGAGGCCGCCTCTTTGCTCGACTTTGTTCCACAAACGCACCTTTCCCAGTGCCTGCTTAATTTCCTCGTCCGATGACGTCTTCTCCGGATCGACATTCAGCCGTACTGTTCCGTCGAATATGAAGACGTCTTGGGGCACGGCCGTCAACCTGGATCGCACGTGCTCATGGGGAACAGTAGATAGATCAACGCCATCGATGGTGATGCTTCCAGAATCCAGCTGCATCAAACGAAGGATGCAGAGAACCAGGGAGCTCTTGCCACTGCCGCAATAAGTTAGTCGCTAATACTTGGGGTTTCTATAACGTAGACATACCTTCCACTTCGACCACAAATGGCTACCTTCTCACCAGGCTTAATAGAAAGATTGACGTCGTGTAGAATGGTTCCTGAGGATCTAATGTATAGTTAGTATGTGAAATGGCTACTTGTTCACGACGAAATACGTACGGATAGGAAGCCGTGAGACCACGCAGCTCTATCCCTCCCTTGTTCGGCCAGTCCTCTGGTGGCTCGGTCAGGACGTCGTTAGGATCAGCTTCCTGCTCTGTTGTAATGGAAAAGTCGCGAATGCGAGCGACGGCGCTGATGGCAATTTCCAACGTGACCCACGATGTCAAGGCGGCTTTGATAGTACCACTAAATGAAAGGATGTTGCTCAGGGCAATTCCCATGTAGCCAGGTCCAATCTGTTCTCTCAAAGTAGTTGTTACTACGATCAAGACTATGGCGATCACCGCGATCATCATGTCCACAGAAAGGGTGAGCCAGCGCTGAATGCAAAACAGAAGATAGTTTGGTCTCTGCGAGATGTTGAGCAGATCCAAGTTCTTCTGCTCAAACTCGTCCTGACGCTGAAATGCTCTGATTGTGACGAGGCCATCCAGCGTTTTTATCAGTTGCGAATACAGAGGTGCTTTGTACTCGATGTCTAGAAGACGAATCTGCCTAGATGTACGGAGATAAAAGTGCTGAATGGCGTAAAAGATGAGTATAAGAAATGGAAGTAGGATGGCAATGTAGCGAGAGGCAACGGAAATCATCACGAACTCGGCACAGCCGAAAGCGACGCCTATAAGCTCAGTTTATCAGCACCTCTCATGAATCGTCTTCAGTTTGATCTATACGCACCAACGGCTAAACCCAGTGCCGTACTGGGCAACTCCATGTCAATAAGCTGTAAGTCTTGGCTGAACCTATTGACAGTGATACCGCTGTCCGTGGCGACGTGGAACGATAACGGGGCCCTAAGTGTGTTTAGTAACAAGAAGTCGTGAGCGAAAAGCCATGTGGCTGATACAACTTACTTGGATGTCGTATCCGCGAGAAGACTATGGAAGTGAGTTCCCGAGTTGTTGATGATGTTAATGAAAAGTTGCCTAGAAAAGAACCTGTCAGATAGCGTCTCTGAAACATGGACTTTCGAAGCCATACCATGCGCCCACAGCAACAGCAAGAACTGAGCCTACTCCGAGAGCCACATAGACACCAAGCCATTTACCGAGATTCGCTCCAGGATTCCTGGCTTCTGCCCACCATTTGAGCCAAATATCTGTTTATCGCGTCGAGATTAGCTACGATGTATTATTGCGGTAGCAAATCTTGACTCACTCGGAAAAGAGCTGCAGAAAGCAAAAACGACCATCGAGAGGACGAAGCACACAAGTGGCCACCACCCAGCAGATCTGGCGTAGAATCCGTAGACAGCGGAATCGCCCAAGCGACGGGCCGCCTTTGCCTGGTACTCTATATCGACAACGGCCGTCTCACCGGCTTGCACTCTTCCTCCAGCTCGCTGCGCAATTTGGGCGTCGCTTCCTGCACTGGCATGAGTGACTGCTTTCATGCCCCCAGGTCGGGCCTCGAGCTTAGAGGACAGCTCTGCCGGAGTGCCAACTTCGCTAATCTGGCCCCTTTCATTGAGGAGCACTACTTGGTCCGCATACGGTATGCGTCGGACTGCCTTTTCGTTAGACATGGCACAATGTGGTTTTTAGGGGCTTGTTACTCACCGTCAGAGGACGCGACCACGACTGTCATGTCAGCTTGCCGGAGCAGCCCTTGCTCTCCGAGCAAGTTATGGAATATTACGTCTTCTGTCTCTGAATCTAGACCGCTAAAGGGGTCGTCTAACATGAGGAATTCTGTTTTAGAGTACACAGCTCTCGCGAGGGACTACTATCTGTCAGTTTCAGTAAGATGCATGCTCTCTTGGGTATCCTACCAGACGATGTCGTTGACCACCACTCATGGATATTCCCATTGTTCCAACAACGGTTCCTTCCCCCTTAGGCCAGTCGTTCAAATCCTGTTCAAGGTTACACGCTGCAATTACCTTGCGGTACCACGACTCGTCAAAATCCGCCTGGCCTAGAATGATATTTGCAACTGTATCATTAGGCATCCAAGCGTTCTGGTCACAGTAGCCAACCCTGGGATAATTGATACGAATAGTCCCTTCGAAACTGGACAGCTCACCCAAGAGGGCCTTGAGTAGGGTCGATTTGCCACACCCGACAGGTCCGAGAACAAGTGTGAAGGTCTTGGCTCGGATTTTCAAGTCGCTGATGTCAATGACAGGCTCAGATTCGGCGTCCCAGGCAAATTTTCCCTGCAAAGATGCGACGATTTTGTCACTGATTCGAGGCGCTGCTGTCCGAGTTGGGGCTCTTTCTTGTGGTTCCGGTTTCTCTTTGATGGCTTCATCAACCGTAGCAGGCTCTGGGCCGCTCTCCCAGGGAAACTTTCCATGTTTGGATGTAACGACTTTTTCATCGAGTTGAGGCGTCATATCCTGGACTGAAATCTTTTCTTGCGACTCTGATTCCTCGCTCACAGAGTTGCTAATCTTAAGGGGCATTTCTGTCTCAGCGGAGATTTTGTGTTCCCCTTCCTGAGATAATCTGTTGTCCTGTCTTTCCTTGCCATTTAAGTAATCTTGAATACGTTGAAAAGAGGTTACTGATCCAGCCAAGATGGGGAGCGCAAGAATGATGTCCCCCAGCGGCCGATTTACCAAGGTCAACAGCGAGTAAGCCGTAAAGGCGCGCTGAATGTTTAAATCGGAACTGGATTGCGCTGCAAAAACGCAAAAAGTAAGGATTGGAGACCAGATTGGGATGCAAATCACTTGGTATGGTTAGCGTCAAGGTGGAAAGTAAATGAAAATAACCGCAGGAGGGAAAAGAACACGTACTCAGCACCAAAGTTGCTCCTAACAATTTTCTGTATTTTTCCGACACACCAAGTTCTTTGGTTCTCAAGTCACGAATTAGGGAGAACACAAGGTCACTCAGTCCGGAGATCTTGAGGGATTTGATGCTTCCAAGTACCTTGGAGGTAGTCGTGACGCGATCTTGTGAAGCGCGGATCCAGTTTGCCTGTGACGTGCCAATTGGTATAGAAATTATGGCTGTCACAACAAGCACAGCTGCAGAACATTAGTTGATGCGTGTGAGGTCATAAAATGGGACATTACCAAAAACGATGGCTACTGGCATTGCACATGCCGATCCGAGTTGCCGATAGATCAGGTATATACCCACAGCAATTTCTACAAAGGCACCCCAAATATCGTGGAGGTAGACCACGCCTTGTGTGATTGTCTCGACGTCGGTCGTGACTAAGGTCAAGGCGCCTTCAGGGCTGACGTCTGGCATCGTCATGTCGAGTCGCAATGACTTTTGGTAGACCAAACCAATGATACTTCCTCGCATTACCGATGCGGCTCGGTACGCGCGCCATTCGTACTGGCCCGTTGAAATCTACGAAATCACCACGATTAAAACACTGATCTAACTGGAAAGGAAATATTGAAAACAAAACTCACAGCAATTCCAGTATAGACTAATGCGTAGGCGCCAATCAAACCGTAGCCTGTGTTATTGTCTGAGCCACCTTGGGGTCTTGCAGCCAAGCCAATGCCCAGTTCGATGAGAAACGGTTGTGTGTACGTGAAGCCTATTTGGCATATCTTGGGGATGAATGCGGACATGACCTGGCCCACGAAGCACTTAAGCCAAGTTATGTACAAGGCGCCGCCGGCAGTTTTGTCGGGAACTGAGACCATGTATAAGTATTTTGTATAATGAGTGTCTCTTTTAACCGCACTTACCCTTCTCCCAAGCCTCACGATACGAGCGGTAAAGAGGTTCAGACTCTAAACCGGGTTCAAGTGGGTCAAGGTCTTCAAGTGAAAGGTTTCTCTTATACCCCCCAATAAAGAGTGATTTTAGCCAGAAGAAGGTGCTTCTGCTGAGGGTGCCCGCAGTCGTTGACTTTGCGTAAGCACGGTAATCCGGCAGCAGAATGCGCCGCTTTCCAGAGGACTCATGGACGAGCATGCAAAAGCGCAATGCCAGGCTAACAGTGAAAATAGGAGGTACAATTCTACCTGGCTCGGACATCCACAAGGTCCGACATCGTGGGAGGTCGAGTATGACGGATAAGAGGAGGTACGCAAAGGGGATGAAAGACGGCTTGACATTGCGGTCATGCTCGAGCCAGGTGAGAACACAATAGGCGAGAGAAGCCGCCAGCACCAGAGCGGCAGTTGGAATTGTTGCTTCAGTCTTCAGCATGGCCTTGCCACTGGCCCAAAGGGCGAGTAGGGCCGTGCTACAGGCGAAAACGCAAATGGAGGAGACCTACATGAAAAGTCAATTAAAAGGGAAAGGTGATTGCATCTTTGATTTGAAGAGAAAAGTAAATACGACTCGAGGTATGATGAACAGTTACTTACAACTTTCAGCAAGCCTTCAATGTTTTGGACCGTCTTTCTATTCATGTAATACAGCTGGCCCAGCCTGAGTGGAAGCACAAGCAAAAATATGCATTGGAGAGGAATGGTAAGAATGGTCTCCTCAAACTTCAACGTAAAGTCGAATCCGCCGCGACAGTTATCTCCGGCCCATGGGCCGAAGGACTGATCGGGACAGTCCGGCCGTAGAAGTGGCGACGACATATTGAGGAAGGGTGTGGATCCGAGCCGGTGCGGGTCCGGGGCCGGAGGCGGGCCGGTCCGTCCTCTTGCCGAAGATGGAAGGTGCGAAAACGCGCGGGGGTTGATTCTAGCGGTTTGGGCGGTTATGTTTCGCAGAACGAACCTCCTTTACGGGCAAATGCAGCAATGGCTGGCCAAGAGCTTCTGTTCGGCGGCAAATCAGCACCAATCAGGGAATTTCCAGCGATGGTGTCAGTTTTGGCAGCAGTAGGGAGGCTACAGGAGGCAGCAGAAGGGAAAAGGGTAGAAAGACAAGTGGAAGTGGGTAATGTCAGGCTAGGACAGCAGCTAAGGGAGGAGAAAAACACCCGATTGCCCTCAGAATCAGATGGCATCTGCCAGAAAGACAGTCTAACAAACAGACCTGCGCCCCATTTGATTCGTAGTACTGAGTACATTCAAGCTGAAGTGCGACACTGGGAGTGGGTCGGACAGTAAGCCGGTAGGGGTTCGCATATGCGCTCTAGATTGAGTACTGGTTACCTTGATCTGCGCTCCAAATTGCAGCCAAGCACACCCCCTGATACATTCGTTATTGCCCATTCTACCGCCTTGAGATGATGTATTGATCTTGATCTCCCAGGACATGCATCGACTCCAATATCTCGAGCTACGTACCCGATACTTTGGCCACAACGTCCCGTCCCGTTGCATCCAACATACGTAGTAAAGACACACAGCCACACTCAGCTGCCTACTATCTGCATCCAAGAGGCGGCACATGCTACGTTGTTGACCAGCTTCCTTTTACTGAAAGGCTTACCTGTCCAGTGATCCTATTTCATCACTTACTACTCGACCTACGGCCCTAAGCAATCCCATCAGTAAAGCTCAGCCATGGTCTGACAGCATTATGCATGTGGGAATTGAGAATTACTCGCAAGTGACTTATAAGAGAGGGAAACAAATTCCTTCATGCCCAAAGACTAGTCAACCTGCCCTCGACTCGTGATCTGATCGTCCACATCCACGTTGCCCAAGCCCACCTATACTTAGTATCCAAACCATGTCTGCTCTCCTGCCAGTTAAACGCGCAGGTGCTGTGGCGGCGTCTCTGCTCCGCCTCCCTGCGGAAGGAGGGCGACCAAGGGCACTGGTAATGGCATCGCGACAGTACCATTCCAGTTCCCAGCCACAGGGAAAGGCAAAGACCAGTACCGTCCGACAGGCTCCCGCCCGCGGCGCCGCAACCGCAGCTGTCGCTCACCAGCCTCAGTTCGTCATGCCGGACCCCATCTCCATCCCGGTCTCGATCTCAGCAAAGAAGCCACAACTGAACCTGCCAGAGCAGGCCTACAAGCCCGAGTACTATGAGGCTATATCCGCCATCATGCAGCTACGCGACAAGTACATCGAGGATCGTGTCCTCTTTGTACCCGGACGCGAGATGGCCCGTCTCCTAAAGCAACTTGGTGCACGGGATGAAGACTTTGAAGCCCTGCAGAATGTCAGTGACAATCTTGTCGGCGACCCTACCCTCCCTTACCGGAAAACACGGAACGGTCGCTTCTGCCTCGACTTTGACGCCGGTACTCTCCGCCGGCTCGAGTTCCAGCCTTTCATTCTTTCAAAGGCCGAGGACTTTAGCCGCTACGACTCGGACAAGGTCCGCCACTTTGACGAGGTCGAAGACGAGCTCCAGCTCAACAGCGTCTTCCAGGCCCTCATGATCTTTAAGTCGGCCATCTACCATGGCGTGCAATCTTTCCGTCGCCCTAACATGGACTACGACACAAACAAGTGGATATGTACCCTCTTCTCTGTCCGCACCACCACCACCCCGGAGCGCCTTGGCGAACCCGCTCTCGAAGGTGTCCACACTGACGGCGTCGACCACACCATGACCACGTTTCTCGGCAGCCAGAACATGAAACCCGAGAGCGCCGTCACCTACGTCCACGATATGAGAGAGACGACAGGGATCCGCTACACCGACGCCTCACCCGACTACATCAACGGTCGCGTCCACCACCGCCACTTTCTCGACACAATGATGGTTGTTGACAGCGAGCGCAAGCACAGCCTGTCGCCTGTCTACGCCATTGAGCCCAACAAGCCAGCAACCCGCGACATGCTTGTTTTCTTCAGCCGCAAGCCGACTGTTGCCGGCCACGTCTCTGCAGATTTAGATTCAATGAGCCCTCACCTGGAGATGCCTATGGAAATACCCGTTTTTGTTCCTTTTCCACCTCATCTTCGTGGAGGAACCGAGGGTCGGGAGAATTAGTTTATTTTTTTAATGTGATACTTGGGGGCCCAACGTAGCCAAGATTCTTGGACAATTAGAGGCTGTTTACGTGCTTTTATCATCTATCCAACTTGAAGACCAAAATGTGAGATGCCTGCGGCAAGCGGGTGTCGGGGTTTGCACGACTTTCCACACAACGAATGATACATAGACAGACATATACACAAATGTTGCAACTTGGCATGCAGGAAACCCAATTCGTACTTTTGTGACCGTGTAACCATTCTCAAAGATCTCCTGGATCGACCAGTAAAAAGTGTCAGCGCGTCATCTCTTCCCATTTATACACCACTGCAACGGAATGATGACCACCGGGGTAAAGGAGCACGTGAGCTGACAAGGAACCAAAACCTTTTTCATCAATGCCGGGGAGCCTTGAGGAATACAATTTGGTAAGATACCCCAAAGTCTTTCCGCAAATAGGCACCAACAAATCGAGGATTCGAAAGCTTCAGGTGCACGAAGCTTGGGAGCCCAAATGTTCTATTTTTTTGAGGGGAGGTAACTCGAATACGTGATCTAGTCCAAGTATTCTGTCTCGTTCAGGAGAGGAGAGTATGCTTCTACACTTTGTAACCCCAAGTTAACGCCGAAATGCTAGTCTACAGTGATGCCCAACATGACTGCCAAAGTATCCTTCAGCTCTCGCGCCGACCTGTCCTCCTCCTCCTTCAAATCCTCTTCAAAACCACCACCGTAGCCAAAGTATTGCCTGGCGCTGCTGATGTAGAAAGCCAAGTCCAGCATGAACAGCGACCAGCTGGCCCGGAAAGACTTCCACACAGTTTCTTGCCTACCGAAATCCACTGAGCGTATAGCCGCGACGCCAATGAGCTTGACGCGGTTGACAGGCGATCCAAGGAAGCGGTTGCTGCCTTGTACCAGACCGAGATTGCGCTCCAAGAAGACAAGCTCAGGCGGCCACAGGCCGTCCGTTCCAAAATAGCCAGCAGCTTCGGCAATCATTCGCTCCTCGCGCTCCTCCGGCGTCTCGTCGCTGCGCGCTTTGTCGAGCTTCTTGGAGCTCATCGTGAACGCGTCAGCCCACGGCTCCGGATCTTCCATACCCCAGGCCTTTGACACCTTTGTCAGGCTCTCTGTGTCCTGTGTCAAGAGACCTTTCCAGAATTGGGCGTACTGCTGTCGCAGGTCTTCAGAGAGAGTAATGTAGAGGCCGTGGTCGAGCAGAACTATCTCAGGCTTGCCCGAGGGCAATCGCCGCACAAAGATGTTACCGGGATGGGGGTCGCAATGCACAAATCCGTAGCGGAACATCTGGGCCGAGAAGAGCTCAATGACAGTCTCCATGACGTCGCCCAGATTGAGACCTAAGCCGTTACCTCCCGGCGTATACGGCGCTGAGATGCCCTCTTTCTCCCACAGGTTCAGACCGTGGATCCATTCGGTCGTCAGAACGCGTTTTGAACTCAGATCATGGTGGACCTTGGGAATGTGGACGCGGTCACGTAGTTGTGCGTCTTCTTGGATGAAAGCCGCAAGACGCTCCGCATTAGCCTTTTCTTGCTCGAAATCCGTCTCTTGCATAACATGGTTCATGACGAAGCCACCGAGCGACCCCATGGGGATCGAGGTTGCTTCGGCCGTGTATTCGATCATGCGCCTATGCAGACCCGGATGCAAGTGTCAGCCCTCGAAACCGCGACAATCAGACGTGACTCAAAGTCGGGTTAAGCCAACATGAAGTTGTGGGCAAAGGGGGAAAACATACTTGAGCGTCGACAGGTCTGATGACACCTGGGCGGCAATTTGCCTCCGTTGCACCTTAATGGCGACCTCACGACCGTCTGACAAGCGAGCATAATGGACCTGGGCAATGGAGGCCGCTGCACGAGGGTCGCGCTCGACACCAGGACCGAAAAATTGGTCTACGGTTTGCCCAAAGTCCTCTCTGACGACTGCCTCGATGTCGGACCATGGAGCGGGCGTGGCATCGTCAAACATCTCAGAAAACAGGCGCTGGTACCGGTCGGGCAGCACGCTGCCCTGCATGGCTATAGCCTGGCCAGCTTTAAGATACAAGCCGCCATTGCGCTTCAGCATGTCGCAAACGCGCCGGGCATTACGATCGTGCAGTACCTCGACCGGGACGCCGGCGATGTAGGGATTGTTTCCAAAGTGCAGCTTGTAGTCGAGGCCGACGAGAGCCATGGTCCCGTAGGCCCTGACGCTACGCATACCTACGCTCCCCAGATAAAACCGGTCGGTAGCATATCCTGCTAGGCCCAGGCCTCCTAGTAGATACAGCAGCTTTCGGAATATGCGCCTTGGCTTCCGGGGAGTGGTAGTGGGTTTGGACGGGCCAGGCGTAGTGCCCAGCTCTACTACGCGGGGGCGGGTACCAATAGATCTGGCATGCTGGAGTACTGTAGCGATCGGTGGAGCTCCGACGGGTGATCGGGAACGGCTGAGTATTTGGAAGGGAGATGGTCGGTCGCAAGGGATGTGTGACAAACGAGAGAAAGTGCTGGAACGGAGAACAGCCTGGACAGTCACCGGCCCCAACCGGCAGAGAATTGGCTGGTACATGGTCGAGGCCCGGTTACCAGAGAGCTCCCAGAAAGTCGAAGGGGGGGAGGGAGGAAAGGAGGAAAAGGACGGATGGATGGAAAGTGAAGATGTCAGAGAAGGGTGGGCGGCCGACCTCGACTAGGGTGTCAGGGCGGTGATGCGGGCGTTGTACATTGTTTGTCGAGACAGTAAGCAAAAGTGGTTCCTTGGCGAATCCAACCTATTCAGACAGTAATTAAGTGACGCCAAGTTGGGGAAATGCATGCATGCATACCTTAGTATCGGTTGGTATATTGGGGGTGGCACAGCAGCGGCAGGAATCGGATAATTAACAAAATGTTCGTCTGGAAAAAGGACGAAAGGCAACTAAGTACCGTAGGATGAGATGAGACGGTACATGCTCTTATCTTACTACGCATGGCGCAGGTATCTACGTACTCAGAATCTTGCATGGCAGGGGTTCACAAATCCAGGGGTTCTGAACTTTGGAGGATGTTCATGTAACATGACAGGCTGAGAATAGGGCGTGTCTCAACCAAGAAATTGTATATATCCTGTGCATGTGTTTCCAAACTCCTAAAACTCTCATATAAATAGTCCGTAGGAACTAATGCTGGCTATGTGTCGCTAAAAGGCGGACACTAGGGTTGCTTAGCACTAGATAGGAGTAGGATTCCTAACGCTAGCCAGGGTTAGGGTTGGGATTATCTTTTCGGTCACGTCATAGATCACGGCATATCTCTCTGTTCTAGATGCAAAAGCAGGTCCTTATGCAAGCAAAATGTGGCTAGACTTCTGAACCCCTGTTGTATTACCATACTAAACTCCTAAATACTTGTCTAACCAGTGAGCGACCCCACTAGACAAGTTGGTAAGGCTGATTACAGCCCCATTCTGCTTGACATTTGACACCCCGCACCATTACGAACTTTAGCGCAAGAATTTGGTGACGGGATCTACACTCGACAGCGAGTGATATGGGATCGCTCAGATGGCGGTGGTGTTGTTGGTGGTGGTAGAAATCCTTCCAATGTCACTGCATGTTAAGCCACAATCTGCACAACCAATTGCCGCCATCGGAAGCACCCTCCCGGAAACCTAAATGATCCATTGCGTTTTGAAAGTATAGATGCCAGTTCTACTGTCTGTATTGTATGATGCTTAATGCTTGTAGGCTAATCTGCGTCCTCGCTTAATGCTCTCTATCTACTGGTGTTCTTCCCATGCGGTCTTACCCATGCCCTTGCTAAATTTACAAGAGACAATTTTGTCATGATTAGTTATCATAGTCAGTACTCCATACTCCTTGTTCTCTAGAACTGAAGCCATCTCACAAACACATATCCAGGAGCCGCAGGAGTTGCTCCTTGGGCATCCGCCCGGCGCAGTGCATTAACAAAATGCTGCCCAGGGCTGTATTCGACCGGTCTCTCTGCCGCCAGTCGCCGTCATTTGCTACCAGGGCCGAATTCAGTGCCCACAGATTCGGTACCTACACACCGTTAGTTTTGGTTAGCTTGACATTTCATTCCAGCCAGATTCCTGTGGTCTTGGCGAGCTCTTGGGGTGCCAGGCAGCAGGACAAGCTTACCAGATCCTGGACCATCCTCCTGATTCTAAGGCAGATCTTGTCTCTGTCCCCTCCCTCCAACAGCGGCTGTATGTCGGTCGCTAATGCCGTGCGCACAGCCACCCCTTCTGATGTCAACATTGTCTCGGCGATCTTGAGCATCTCCTCGTAGAATCCTCTCCTCTCCCATACGCTCCATTCGCTTGCTCTGTGGAAAATTTCCGATACCACCCGTGGCAGTCTCCGATTGCGGCTGAGCCGTTGTTCATTGGCCAACGGGGACGATTCCCCAAGCTGCTCGCCGTAGTATGCCATCACCAATTCATCGAAGCTCGTGAACCCCACCGCCTTAGCTTGCTCCATGACACTTCCTAAGCGCTCATCCAGTGGTGCCTCCCTGTTCGGCATTGGCGGAGAGCTCCTGTCTATCGTAGGATACTGGTTTTCTGTCGTTTTGTTTGCCGCAGATGCGATGCTTGAAGGTGTTTCCGGCAGACCGTGCTGGCTTCGCCTGTTTGTCATAGGCCCCGATTGAGGGCGAGTGTCGCTGTAAAAGAGGTTGTATGGTTTTGAGTTATCTGTAATCGGGTCGAAGTCAAAAAACATGTCTTCCTCGTTCGGTGGTGAAAAAGCGATGTTGTTCGAGGGAGCTGGTGTCATAAGGCTAGGGGCAGCAGTCGTGGCAACACCATCCAAAGATTCGGTGGGCGTTACGATATGAGCTGCTGGGAGTAAATTAGCACAACTGCTATAAGGTAACATTTGCTGCCATTGACAATGTAAAACAAGACGAATCAAACGAGAACTAAGGGGGTTTGCGTGCCTGTGCGTCCATCATCTTGGGGCTGTGCATCTGGCACTTGCGTCTTCTCTCGCATCGTCTTCAACTTGTCTAGCATCTGGGTCTGTAGGCACAAACATTTAAGCATAAAGTCCTGCGAGATGTCTCCCGACCACTCCGCGCCGTCAATGTCGGTCGCCGTGGCCGTCAGGGGCTGCGGAGGCATCAAGCCGCCCCTGAAGAAACTTCCATCGCTGCAATCCATGGGCGTGAGATGAGGATCTTGGTTAAGATGCAGCATGTCGTAAGGCGCTGGTGCAGCCTTATCTGTCGTTGGACACAAGTGTGATTGGTGGCCCTCAACCGTGGATATCATGTTTGTGGAAGTAAAGGCCACGCCAGGTGTTGTGACACTGCTGCTGTTGGCCAAGGGATTGGGTATTGGGTTCGGATTCGGGTTCTGGTTGCGTTGGGTCTCATGATACTCGAGTCTGTCCTGTAGCATCTTGATTCTTTCCTTCATGCGGTGACCTGTGTCTCATGTTAATAGATCTACACATATGCAGCATAATGCCAAGATAGCCCGCGGGACAGGTCCTACTAACGATATACCCGCTGTGCAACCCTGTTCTGCAGTTTCTTCTTCTCTTTGGGATCTTCTATCCCCGTCCAGTCGTCTTCGGGGGACAGTTGGCTTACTCCTGGCAGAGAGTATGGTCTAGGATGCATGGTCGAAGACGCGTCTGTGCTCATGTTGCACTCGTCTGTTTGGACCATGGTATCCATCGTTGCCATCTTGTACGTTGAGGAGGGGGGTTTATGAAGATCGGATACAAAAGAAACCACCTTTAGAAAGGAAAAAGGGAGCTACAAAGGAACTGAGGCAGTCTATTTTATGGTTGACCTTTCTGATGAACCGATATCAGTCCACAGCCTGAAGCTGCCGGCGTGGAGGTGAGTAGTATATATATAGAGGTAGTCTAGGTTGACAAACCGCCTGCTCTTGAAGCGAAACGCCTTGCATTGCCATCGACCGGGCGGTAGGAAGCTCTCTCTCCGGTCGATTGAGAGACGAAGCATGTAAGCGGCACACACTGTTCCTGGATAGTTGTCGGTTGAAAATCAGCCTTCTTTTTTTCCCTTTTGGCGCACTTGGAGCACGTAGCTGGGGGCGGGAAGGATTTCATGTTTGCATAACAGACCAGGCTGCAGAAATATGAACACCACACCCTGACGACGTCTACCGCCATGATTGGAGGATTCCTGTATGTCTAAACCTACGCCATGTTATTTATGTTCATTCCTAGTTCTTCTTCTGCCGTTTGTGGCGGTCATTGCCTTCCATCTTAGGGCTCCTGACCCAAACAAGGTTTCAGTGCTAGAAACAGGGCCACTGAAGAAAAGCGTTGATCACACCATCCGGGCCCTGGATAACTGCAGTCAGCCAATTGATTCACAAGATGGAGGGGGCGAGTCTTGTCAGCCGTAGCAATTGAAAGTAGATATCCAATGAGACAGAAAAAGAGATATTGATGCTGCCTACATGGGATGAACTTGACTAGCCCGAATCAGACATGTAGGTTCCAGGCGAACATACATGGCCAGACTTGGTTACGAGGTGGTCGCGAAGGCGTTCAGACCATGACATGGTGAAATGGCCAAGCAATGGCTGATTAATCGGCATGAGTAGCAGGGGGTCCTCTAAGAGATGCTTCTATTTGTTCTTCCCTGCGGAGGTTGAACTCTAGCTTTTCCTAACCAAGACCTAATTCTTAGATGGCTGTGCATTGGCATTGGTTACCAAACATAACCATGCATCTCAGCCAACACAAGGCACAGTAACGGTGTGCATCCCGTCGGCCGCTGTTGGGCTACAGATATATTGAATGATGAGAATCAACCACTCATAGGGAGCTACCCCTGCTTCTTATCAACCAAACAAACGATTTTCAAGGTACTTCGGTTGGCTTTTTAGTCTGACTGCAGGAGAGGCACCGGCAACTCTCTTGCGGTACATGTCGTAACCCCACATTATTACCATGCAGTCTTGTCTTTTCCTCATCGAGTCATGTACTTATCATCAGCCAAGTTATGAGAGGGGAAAGTAACTACAAAGCTGGGCAAATGTATCTGGAGCCCAAGCGCCGTTCCTGAGGCAGGATAAGTCTCCTGCTGGGCACTGGGTACTGCGACCCTTGCTGGATGTGAACAAAAGGAACGTACTATGCATAGCCCGATACATAGAATAGCTGCAACTGGCAGTTAAGATCTCCCAATTCAACCCACATATGGTCATTGGCTGGTTCGCATAGGGCTGGGTAAGGTAGGTTCTAGCGAAGTGTCACCCGCCTGCAGCAATCCATCGCATACATCCAAAGGCCAAAAGCCCACGGGAGGCACATCAAGCCCAGTCCATTTGACAATTAGTAGCCACTTCGATACTCGCTATTGGCTAACATACGCGGCCCCTGTCTGGCCGATGGCACACGCTACTACTGAGACATACTTCTTCCCAAGACTAACATTTCCTTCGGTGACAAGGATGATTTGCATCGGTGACAAGGATATAGTTCTTCCTTCCAGGGATGAAAATGTCTTTTCCTCCCTAAGCCACGACTGATTCTGCGAGTCACGTTTTTGGCCCCAGGTCTGCTGGTGGCGAGCAAGGACTTTTTCTTACTGTTGCATCAGGCACATACATATCACATCCCATTCGATACCTGCATGTCATATTTTAGCGTAATGCTTCCAGGCAGATGCATTGGCTACTAGAGCCGTTGGTTCTGGAGTCTCCGTTCCAAAGTCGTTTGAAGACTACCTGAAGATTTGCAAAACTAAATTACGTAGTGCTTGGCGGGGATTTTACTGTCTAATCCGTCCCAGGTCTAATTATGTAAAGCAGCAACAGAGTCTTTAACTCCGCACCATCAGCCTTACGGGCAGTGATTGCTACTGTCATCCAGTCACCTCCAAATAATTGACCCCCACGATCTTGAGCGAATAAATCCCCCCTGGCCCTACAGGACATTCTCTATCCCTTCATTGATCCTTCGCCGGGAGTTCTTGTAGCACACCTCCTTCACGTACAACCAAAGCAAGCAAGCCCTGAGACTTGGCGCCATCAGCCATACCCAGAATGTCTCCATCAGCCGTACCAAGCATGCCGCAAGAGCAAGCCTCGGCGGCAAAGTCGGCCGTTCCCGCAGCCGACGGCGGGATGGCGTGCCAACTTGACAAAATGTGTATTGGCCCGAATCCACTGACCGGTAGGTAAGACCCTGTTACACACGGTGTCTCCCGTGTCTCCCGTGGGCAACGGCGCGTGGTCATTCCGTGGCTGACATGGTGTGTCTCTGCCCTAAGGGATCCCCGAATTTGTCTCATACCATGAGCACAGAAAACACATCCTCTTGCACATGGCGGCCGTTTTCAGGAACTGGGCTCGTGTCGGCTTCACTGAGGGCATCTCAGGCCACATCAGCGTGCGCGACCCAGAGCACGAGGACTGTATCTGGATGAACCCGATCGGCAAACACTTCGGCCTCATGAACGCCAGTGACATGGTCTGCTTGGAAATCAGTACCGGCCGTATCGTTGGGGGTAATCGGGTAAGCTATACCCGACTCTTACCATGTCTCTAGATTGTTTGACTCACACGTTTCGGCGCGGGATTAAGAATCGTCCCGTTAATTCCCCCGGGTTTTTCATCCACTCGGAGATACACAAGGCACGACCTGATGTACACTCCATCTGTCACGCCCACACCATGGCGGGTCGCGCCTGGACGGTGTTTGGTAAGCCACTGGACATGATCACGCAGGACGTCTGCGACTTTTATGGGGTGATTGCCACCATGAATGAGTACAGCGGCATTGTCACTGCCGAGGAGGAGGGCAGGGAGATTGCTCGCTGGCTCGGCCCGAAGGGTAAGGCTGCCCTGCTTCTCAACCACGGTCTCCTTACAGTGGGCTCTACCGTCGATGAAGCTTCTTTCTTGTTCGGCCTGCTTGATCGTAGCTGCGACATTCAGCTGCGGGTGGAGGCGGCCAAGTCTGGCAACCCGGAGCTGAAGAAGCATATTATTCCTGACGAGCTCGCTCGTCTCAATTTTTCCATGGCGGGAGAAGAGAACTGGCTGTATGTAGAAGCTCAACCGGATATCGAGTATGAGATTGCGCTGGCTGGGGATGTCATTAAGGAGGGTCTTGATGACATGACCGTTGATTCCTTGTAGGCTATCGAATTGTAGGCCAAGCAGGATGCTTTCTTCTGTCATAACTAGTTTCATGATGAATTACACGTTGAATCAGCAGACATATCGCTTAATGTGATGAACCCATTATCTGTTTCTTCTAAGAATCTGAATTATCGGAAGTGATAAGCGTGCAGTTACAGCACATTCATGTATGTGAGTGTGTGGCTCGACATTGTAAGTCCTGCCCAACGTGACCGTCGAAGCCTTGTAAATAGGTAGGTAAAACCAAAATGTGGCTGGAAAACAATTCCCACCGCAAAGTTTTAATCTAATTTCAATATATTGAGTTTTTAAAGGATGTCCAAAGCCGGCACAAAATTTCATTCACTATGAGGCATGGTGTGATAAAAGCCACAAATCATCGTGACTAAGACAGCATTGTAATCTCTATTATGAGCATTTTCATCTAGTGATTCCGAGCCTCTAAAAGCAGTTTGTTGCACCCGTCTTTGTATCTCAAACATAGATCACAGGCTCGGAAACGTTAAGGCTATCCAAAACCTCCAACCCTTCATTGATCTGCTTTGTGACTTGTGTGATCTAAAAAAAAAAAAGGTCATTACAAGGGCAAAACGAAATAAAAAGGGACTTTGCTTACATTTGAAAATTGGAATACGTTGAAATGATGCGCATCCGCTTCAATTACGGCCTTGAGAAACTCGGGGTGGTTACCCTCCCAGCCCAGAAGAGGCTCATCACGGTCCAGGTCAACTTGCACTGGATCAGTCGTGCTGCCCTTCACCGGTACGCGTTGCACGCACTTTATGAGGACACCTGGCGGCGGAGATATGGGCTGGCGCAACGGCATCTGGACTCCGTCGAATGTCCGCGTCTCCAAGGTCTGCCACCGGTCGTTAATGGGCTTGTAGAGGACCTCGTCATTTTGCAGACGAAATTTTTCGCCGTCTACGGACACGCACACATCCCTGCCGTCGCATACGGGCTTGTCCCAGGGCAGCAACTTCCATGTGTCAAGCAGACCGTTGCAGTTGTCAAAGCACTTTTGCACGAGCTCCGGAATGTCGCCAAGGTCAGGATTCGATGTCTCCACTGCCAACTCCGACCAAGGGGTGTGATGCGGAGAGTCCACCAGTAAGAGACCCGCGATGGAGAGTTTCGATCGAGGACGCCTGGCGAGTATTTGAGCGATAGTGAGTGAGAGAAGGCCCCCGAGAGACCAGCCTGCGATGCAAGGTAAGTGGATGCTTAACTAAATCTCTTGCCTGTAGGTTCACTCACCTCCCAACATTATGGGACCGCTAAGGCCAGCCATAAGCATCAGGCCGATGTAATGGCGTGCCATTTGCTCCATGCCCCCCGGCCAAGTGTCTCCTGTATGGTAATGAGGGTTATGAATAGCCCAAACATCACGATGCAAGCTTTCGAGGAGAAAGTATGTGAAGGTGGTGCCGCCTCCGTCGTGGATGAGAACCAGCGGTAGCCGGCGCTGTCGCTGGTTCACTGGCGCAAATTGCACTTGGAGAGGGTTTCTTTCATGCATTTTGCAACAGTATTCGGGTTGATGGGAATATGCGAGGAGCTGTTGGAGAACACAACGTTAATCATTCATAGGTATCCATGGGAGCGGATGCGGCACTGGCCAGGGGCTTGGGACCAGCTTACTGTCTGTATCACCTCATCTCGATGCATCGAGTGTTGCATGTCTTGGCTTCGTGACACTAATCCCCACCTCTGGCACCGTGTGTCATTTGTACAACTATAAAATAAGCAGGTTGTTAGATAGAGCTGACATACCAAGCAAGGATGTGTTCATGCGATCGACACAAGGTTTTTCTTTGGGGTGCAACACACATGCGGAGATGATCAAGGCTTAGCTTGAAAGAATGCAGGATGCTAATGAGTAAGATTGAACATAGCTTATTTTGTGGATTAGGTAGAGGGCGTTTTGCGGTTCGTGGTTACAGAGAATTTAGGCTTCAATATATCGGTTGCCAGTTTCCCGGACGCCCACTGGCATGAATACTCTAAAGCGGCAAAGCTAAATTTTGGGTTGGAACTCCGTATTGAGAGACCGATTACATCCAAGGTACCGTTATTGCTACCCTTGAGCTTCTCCTTTGTGCGCGTAGACCTCCTTCTATCTCCAGGCTGTGGCACTTGCAAAACAATACGCACAGTGATCTCAAATTATTCGTCTAGAGAGAACACACAAAGTATAGTCAACTCCAGTAACTCACGAAATGCTCTTCTTCACAAAGTTTTCTTCCCCATTTCAAGCAGCTGCAAGAACATTTAGTTGTTAATTTTTGTATAAAGTTGAACCTAAGAACACTGATGAAAGGAGATATTGAAAGCCAGATAAACTACATGTGTGTGTCTTGACATCCAGCTTAGAACCATGACGGGTGGTAGCACTGGGGGCTAAGATACGACGTAATGACGAGCTTCCCCTTCTTGTAAGCGCATGAGATGTAAGTCTGTACCCCGCTTGAGTTACTCGTGCCATCTTTCGTCGCTATGGTATCGAGAATCTCAAGATACTGTTGCACATAGGCACCCCGACCCTGGCTTTCGAGGTACTGGGCTAATCCGTTCGCAGCAACCTCGTCAGTAGGAGCGTAGTGTCTTACGGGGATGTAGACCTTGACATCAGGGAGTGTGGCCTTGAATCCTACGTCGAAATAGAAGAGCACACCTGCCGTCTCGTGAGAATTGGAGGGGAGCTCCTTGTCCGTGGGGTAGTCGTCAGGCAGCCCGAGAGTCAGATTCCAAAGCTGGTGTAGCTCTTTCTCAACCTCATTGAGGCCCTTGAGCTGACCGCCAACGGACATGACGCGGCGAACAAGGTCAAAAGTGGTAACACGAGAACGAGAGTATATCTTTAAGCGTGACTCGGCGGGACTGATGCAGTCTATGCCCAACATGAAGGGGCTGATGGTTCGACCGTGCGTATCATTGCGGAGGAAGCTATACAATACGTTGATGGCGGGGAGATCGGGAGAGCCGGCAGAGGCGATGGCTCTCGAAATCTGATCACTGACTTTGTTTCCGGGTGCATCCACAGGAATGAAATAAGCTTTGACGCCCACGGGGCCATTGGCGATTTCGAAGGCCATGAAGAGGGTGGACTGGCTAACGACATCAGTCTTAGACGCCGGGGTTCCGGGACCCAGGAGGGCATGTTTGAAGTGGTTGAACCATTCTAGATCGAGACCTTGAAGGCCGCTACTGTATAGCTGGGTGAGGAAGTCACAGGTAGCGGTTTGGTTAAGAGGATCTGGAGATGCGCCAGCATAGTGCCCAATGGGTTCAATGCTGTAACGCACCTCAGGAGCGTCGTTGCCAAAGCCCCATTTCCAAGAGTACTCAACAGGAGTGTAGTCGTCTGTCATGAAGCTCTTCCATTTGGCCCTAGGGCTGCTTGGTTTGGAACCAAGACGGGGCGTCACCAAATGATAGAAGAAGTGAAGGGCTTCGAACTGGTCAGTGATAGAATAACCAGCAGCAGAGAGCATGGTCTCGAGGTGGCTTCCCATGGTCTGCCACCACCAGTCGCGGTCTGGGGATCGTGGAGGATACCATTTGGCCAGAGAAGCCAGGGCTGAGTTGAAGGAGAGCTCCAACGGGATCTGGGGCGAAGGCACAATGTGCTTGTTGTTTGGGTTTGCAATCAAAGCCATTGTTGAGAAGGGATGAAATTGTCACGAATGTGTAAAATGGCAGTAATTCCGGTTGATGGCAGATGTCGAAGGGGAGAATCAAGGGGATTTACGGAATCTCTTCCTGGTGTGTGACCAACCATATCAATTGACCTTGGACTGATCTAGTCGGGCAATCTAGCAATCCCCATAAGCAACGAGGCCGCATGCGTGAGAATTCTGGTCTCATTAGTAGCATGGATACAAACATCCGTTACTCATTTGCTGCCCGAAATCACTTCTCACTCCGTACTTTGCATTAGCTTCGAGATAACCTTCCGTATTAGAAAACGGTCTAATCGGCTTCTGACTATGATTCTATGAACATAATCCCGTAGACAGTAATAGTGCTGACAGTCAAAAAACTTTTTCTAAAAGAGGGCAATATTATTAAGATGTAGCCTGAAGTGAATTGTATCACTTTATCATCCAGCATGGGTGAATTTAGTGTGAGTGATATGAGAATGCAGCCTGACTGTCCAAATATCATCCTAGTGGTGTGAAACCAACATCAGGAACCTATTTTGAGAGGACGAAATTAACGCGCTGCGGGGACTCACAACCTGGGTTGCCAGCAGGGAGACTTGCTTATGTGCCATAACAAACGGTGATTAGCATATCCAATATCATTTAATAGCGAATATATAACCGAAGATTAGCTACATCGCGTGGACTGAGAGAGGCGACGCCGTAGTCTACACTTCTATTCATAGAATTGTCCACTCAATTGTACCGCTGAGTGTCAAGGCGACCTGTTGCTAATGCGAACCGTGTTTCTCGTATGATGTTTACAAATAATTTTGAACTGTACGTTAAGGTGGTTCATTATAGTCTAGGATCTCAAAGCGAAGAGGGGTTTAGACGTCAAGCAGAAGGGAAGAGATCGAGTGGCCTATTTCATAAGTTATGCCCGGCGAAAGCTTGAACAGAGTTTACGGATTTGGCGGCATGAATCTGAGGCACTGATGTGAGAAATTAGCTCACATCGCTTGCACCGATGGCCCGGGGCTATGACTCAGTGAATCAGGAAAGGCAAAGAAGAAGTAATTCATATATATATATATATGAATAAATAAAAACAAAATAATTACCAATGTATCTTCTCTTTAAGTTTCATAAGCGGCATGCGCTCTGGTGTTACGACCCGACAGTTAACAGACCACTGACGACGACCCCGCAGGGGCTCAGCGGTTATAGGGACGGCCGTCAGCCGTTACGTCGTAACAACCCCCACGGAACGGAAGAACTAGGATACAGGTCACGTGACGATAAGCAGGACCGACGGACGATAAGCGGTCCTGGGACAGGACCGACGGTGCCAAGGGCGGTCCATGGCGATGGACCGACGTCCTGGGTGTCGGTCCCCCAGGATCAGGAAGTGTTCAGCATGGAACCAGACTTGTATATAGTTGGGACTCGAGTCCTCTCGAGTCCTACCTTTCCTAGTTCTTCAGCAATCAACTTCGTGACTACCCTCACCGGTACTTTCAGCTATCCTAAGTGACGACTACTCTACGACTCTTGTTGAGGCCTTGACTGATCACCAAGACCTTTGAAGATCTACGATCTATTCGACCAGGACCACGGAACGACTGTTACTACTCTCAATCCCTGACTTACTGCTAACACAAACCCACTGTCAGTTAGCTGGCCGTAACACTCGTCTAGGGATTTATTAAGAAACTAGCAGGCGCTTCGTAATTAGCACCGCGCGTAGGGGATAGTTATAGTTAGGGAAGTTATTATCCCTTATAAGATTCGTAAATCTTCGCCCTTATAGCGTAAAGAGGTTAGAAGACCGTCGATTCGGTAGGTCTCTTCTTCTAGTAATTAAAAACGCGTAATAGAACGCTCTTACTAGCGATAATTAGCTACGATTAACCTTATCCCGCCTAAGGTAAGCATAGCAGTCCCTAGGTTACTCGAATAATCGGATTACTAGTAGATTCGAGGAAAAGAAGCTTTCTTCTACTAGTTTCCATAGATCCTAGTTACTCTCGCTTCTTCTCTCGTTAGCACGAAATCCCTACTTTTACCTAGGCTTAGGTATCTAGTTCAAGAAGTCGTCTCTTCTAGTATTAACCTTGCTAATCTACGGTTTATCCATAGCAAAGTAGTAATTATAAAGTTAACTAAATTAATAGCAACTATAAGGTTTACTACTAATTAGTATAGGTTTCACAGGGGGTAAAACGGAATTCCGTTCGTTAATAACACTGGGGAACGGCGGGCAAGCCGCCTGTTGAAGTAAGCCTCCCGTTAGGAAGACGAGCTAGTAATCGGGTTAATGTTTCACCGGTCCAGGATTAGTAATCCTACCAAGACGACTCCATGTTCATGCATAATTACGGGTGATCACGGCGCTTAACTATCAGATCCTTTCCCCTCACCTTAGACAATTCTGGGTTTTCTTGATATTGCGCTTCAAGTTATGGCTCAACAAGCTCTTATCAACTTGCCAGCTGAACTGATAACCGAAATCTTTTATCATCTATTATCACCAGACCCTAAGCACTTGCGGGACTATCAGAACTTCCGGGAAACATGCAAAACTATAGCTGAGGCAACGTCTTCAGCTTTCAAAGCACGCTTCTTCCGCATTCGCTACGTAATGCTAGAGAAGGAAAGCCTATTGAATCTTGTGAACATTTCACGCCACCATATTCTGAGTCAAGCGGTTGAAGTTGTCGAGCTCTGCGTTGATCATCTCATCCAACCCAAAGACTACATGAGCCACGAAGAACTAGAGATTTGTGGACTCAAAGACGAGTATGATTTCTTCCGAGTTCGGAATGGCGAAGTTGTCTTACTGGGCGACGATAGTTGGGAGCAAATAATCCAAACCTATAAGGATGGATGGCAGGAGCAAACGGAATTCTTCTCCCAAAGGCAACATATGAGTTATTTAGCGATAGCTCTCACTAACCTCAAAAACTGCAAAGCTATTGGGATATCGGATCATACCCGACCATGGGGCGCCTTTAAGCTTGGGCGACGTATTGGCGTACTTCCAAATAGGTTTATTTCTGATTTCTTACCTAATAGCATGGTTCATGCCTTAGTAGTAATCAGAACACTGTTTTTCGCACTTATTAAGAGCCGCCTTCCCATAGAGGAGATATATATCGAGTTTGGAGATATGATGGAAGGTTGTACGTCTGTTATTCCACGGATGCTATCGCTCCCAAGCAGTCTCGCAAAAGCCGTAAAATCCGAAATCACGACCATCACAAAGCTCAGTCTTGTTATCAATCCTAAGGATAGCGATAATCATTTCAGCCAAGAAATTAGAAAATTCTTTGCAGAGAATGACCCAGTACAGGAAGAAAAATATGATTGGCAATCAGACTTTCACAGCTTCTCTAGCCTTTTTCCAGCGCTCACCGATATTACTTTATTCTTCAACTATTGCGAAGAGAAGCAACAATTTCCAGGACTTTCAGAAAGCCTCTATATTCCTCTTCTTCAAAGGTTATGCCTTGAGTATCTAGACTGCACGAGAGACGAACTCCTGACGCTCTTACGGCGACATCAAAATACACTTCGAAGACTTACTCTCGAAAATGTTAAAATTACTACCCAAGGTCTAGACGCTTGGTCTTTTCTCATACAAACTCTTCAGAACGAATTTAGATTAGATGAGTTGGAAATAAGAGGGTGTGGTATTGACGATTGCGATTTTAATATAGATTTTGATCTCCCTGATCGACTTTCTGCACATACCAGCGAGGAAATGAATTTACTATAAAAGGAAATACTTCAGGTTGAAGAAGAAGAAAGACTTAAAGGGATCCAAGCATAGATAGCGATCTTCTTAGTATTGAATTTTGATATGCCTCATGTTTTCCAACGCAGACTATTTCCTCCCACGCAAACTGCCCCGTTTAGGCCGCTTCGTTGGACTCGCCCCATCACTGCTGTCTTCAATAGTCTCTACCTCTCCGGATCGCTTTATATTAATAGGCGCGACGTCGCGGAGGCCGTTAACAGAAAACGGATCATCATTATCGACAATGGCGTCCGAGGCTTGTGAACCTAAGCATATTAGCTTTCAGAATAATAAAGTAGAATCGTCAAGCTTACCATTATTAAACAGAGGCCCAGGCACTTTCGCGTCGGCAGACATCTGTGCGAGAGGATCGAACTTGAATTTTCCCTTCGTACGTTCAGTCATATCTCCTTTTGACGGCGTAGAAAACGGATCGCGCGAGGCTGCGGTCTGCCTAGGCTCCCCAGCAGCCCAGTCAACTTTGATAATCTCGATGAGTGGGACAAACTCAAGGGGGTTATAAGGATAATCAGAGGTAAAGACGGTATTCTTGTTGCAGAAACCATGGAAATAGCCAGTAATATAGGCTTTTTTTCCATGCTTGCGAAATGGTGTTGTCTCGACGCGGTAATCCTCGCACTTCTTCTTCATATGTGCTTTGCATTTGGGAAGCATCGCGTAAACGTAGTTAGCATACCATCCAGTTTTGGGGGTATAAGCAGCCTCTGTAGAAGTAAATCTAGACCACACCCTGAAGACGGCTGACGAGTTCCTGGTTATTTCATCGAGACCAACGGAGGGATCATCGGCAAGGGGGAACTTTTGGGTATCGACAAACCCGTTGAAAGTTACGAACGGAGGAGTTATCGGGAAACGAGGAGATAAGTCGGCGCAGGTACGGTCAGAAATACTAAGAGGGAGCTTTAGGATAAGTATTCTAATGCCACGGATGAAGAAACTTACGGCGTGAGGGCATCGTCCTGGATCCATGCCAGACGTTTATATTCCACCTCGTCTTCGCCAGATAGACCACAGGGGACGTAACTGAAGTGGGGATCGCAGATAATAGTAAACCATTGGTCTTCCCAATCCTCGGTAGTTAACGAACCTCCCAAGTGGAAGCGAGAGAGATCTAGCGATAAGGCCCCGGCGTGTAAGTTGTCAAGTATATTAGGGAAGACATTAGTCAACCACTCTGGCGTATGAATCGGTA